AGTCTCGAATCTAATTTCTACCGCAACTTCGGAATCACCGGTGCACGTAAATAACTTTCGATCGTGAACGATCGTCCGTGCAGAAATCGATCCCTCGTTTTCACGTACAGCCAATGGCCACTGCCGAACGCCTGTTGCGTTCTAATCACCGACGGCGTTCCAGCGCACGGTGAAAATATCCCCGTGTCCGAAATACGCCCCCTGGTGGCGTTTATTTAAGTCTTACGCTCGGAACAACAAACCGTTGCCACCGTTCTCACCGGAGATCTATTTTTTTTTCCACCCTCGGGACGAGAAACAGTGCCAAACGGTCAACGGTTTTCGAACGCGACACGTGCACGGCACACACACACGCGTACGCGCACACGCACGCCACTTTCGAACGATCCGCAGGATCGCGTTTCAACCGACGCGCGATTCGAACGCTTCTCCCCGGTAATTAGAAGCGTTTCAGAGACTGGAACGAGAACGGATCGCCGCTCGACAATTTTCCCGGCCCCGTTGGCGAGCGCCGCTGGACGATTGGTCGAGAAAGAAGCTGGCGAGCTTTGAATCCCGTGAACGAAACCGCGCGGAACGGACTGACAATGACAATGAGCCCACGTCGATGGATATATTATATACATGTGTGCGAGAGAGCAGCGGGGCATAGCAGCGAGTGACCGAATCCCATGGAAAGCGGAGCTACGAAGAGATTGGCCCCCGGCTATCCGATTAGAGCACTGCCTAGACCAATCCAACGGCACGCGCGTCAAGAGGGTATTTCTAGCATTGTCGATCAAAAAAATCCGTTTTTTTTTTTATAGTTTGGAGTTTTAAATATGGACAAATATTTTTCTCGAAAACCACTGGGTGGATCAGCTTCAAGTTTTTTACGCGTATTAATTACGCTTCGGACTATCGTTTGGACCTTCATAATATTTTTAAAAAATACAGTTTTATATAAAAATAAATTGTGAAACTTTCACAAACTTTTAACAAAAATAAAAATATATCTGTATTCAGCGCATGGAAATCTATCGGGTAAAAAAAGAAGTTTAAATTTAGATGGGCTATTCTTTAGTTTTGACTTTATTTAAAGCTTTATTTAACTTCTTTAAATGATGTATATTTTTAACCCCGACGAGTTGAAAATTCAATCCACGATTCAGCCACTGAAGTGTGCGACCCCCTTCAGGTACAATAACAAAATAATTCACTTTTCAATTATTAACGTTGCGCGACCTTGCAGCGAAGTATGACGTAAATCAGGATAAAAACTAAATGGCTTCTGAAGGTTAGACCAAATTATACTCCATTGTTCCCACAGTTGAACGTAACAGACGTCAACAAATTTTAATCCAAAATCATAATCGTTAATTTCTGTTGCCAGAATTACTTGGAATTGAAACACTCTAAAACTTGGACAAAACAAAAACTTGAATTTTCAGTTTTAATCCGTAGTATATTATTTCAACGATTAAACAAAAATAAACCTAATTTTCGTTCAAATCTGTGTTTAAAAAGTTACTAATCATGTTTGACGCTACTTGTATTTCCAGTAAGTTACGGATGCAGTTAAATGAGTATTAAATTTAATATAATTAATATACATATATAGATACAAACCTAAGATGTCTCAAATTTAAACTTTCAGACACCTCTGTCGAATGGTATAACAAGACAATGTTTAAATGCAAAAGTTATGTCTCCTTAAAGACTTCTGGAGAAACCAAATTACTCTTATACTTTTTAAATATTTCACTTCACAACACTAAAATACCAAGACACTGAAAAAATTGCTTTCATTGGTTCTGATTTGCCAACCAGGAATCACCTGAACGAAGTAGAGTCATAGACGTATTTCATTGGAATATTTATTCCTTTGAGATCACTGTATTTAATTGGAATTTATAACCCCAGTAATTCTCGTGGAATTCAAAAAATTAGCCCCACTTTTCTTCGATCCAGTCTCGATTAAATTTTGTTTGCACTTATTAAATCACGGTTTTTCCAACGAGTAAAATCGATCCAAACCGATCGCGACGATAGCCTCACGTATACAAATAGGAAAGCAGTGAACGATGACGTCAAAGAATTGTGAAATTTACGGTAATATTTATGAACCGAGTTTTTGTACGAGTGATAATCTAACTACGTCAGAATCGGTGTTTTTTAAAACATCGGTTTTTCTAACGGAACGATAAGAAAAGACTCGGCGCTGGAGACGTATGCGCGTGTCACTCTTTTCAAACCTAATTCGGTGAATACTATTTTCGGTGAATTATATTTTTATATCTGTAAACAAGTATAGAAATAGATAAATATACAGGGTGTTCGGGCAACCCTGGGAAAAATTTTAATGGGAGATTATAGAGGCCAAAATAAGACGAAAATCAAGAATACCAATTTGTTGATGCAGGCCTTGTTAAAAAGTTATTAACATTTAAAGTTCCGCCTGTACTGAATTTTTTTCTCGAAAATGCGCAGGATTTCGGGGGTATGTCTATTCACCAAAAATGATTGTAATTGACCCCCGCAACCGAAAATAATTTTTCCAGAACGGTTTGAAATTTTTGAATTTTGTCGAAAAATTGCATACCTCCTCGAATTTTTTTCTCGAAAGTCAGTAGGATTTCGAGGATATGTATAATGACCAAATCTGATTATAATTGACCCCCGCAATCGAAAATAATTTTTTCAGAATGATTTGAAATTTTTGAATTTTGTCGAAAAATTGCATACCTCCTCGAATTTTTTTCTCGAAAGTCAGTAGGATTTCGAGGGTATGTCTATTCACCAAAAATGCTTGTAATTGACCCCTGTATCTAAATATAATTTTTTTAATATGATTTGAAATTTTTTAATTTCGCCGAAAAATTTCAGTATCTAGTCGAATTTTTTTCTCGAAAGTCTGTAGGATTTCGAGGATATGTCTATTCACCAAAAATGCTTGTAATTGACCCCTGTATCTAAATATAATTTTTTTAATATGATTTGAAATTTTTTAATTTCGCCGAAAAATTTCAGTATCTACTCGAATTTTTTTCTCGAAAGTCAGTAGGATTTCGGGGGTATGTCTATTCACCAAAAATGCTTGTAATTGACCCCTGTATCTAAATATAATTTTTTTAATATGATTTGAAATTTTTTAATTTCGCCGAAAAATTTCAGTATCTAGTCGAATTTTTTTCTCGAAAGTCAGTAGGATTTCGAGGATATGTCTATTCACCAAAAATGCTTGTAATTGACCCCTGTATCTAAATATAATTTTTTTAATATGATTTGAAATTTTTTAATTTCGCCGAAAAAGTTCAGTATCTACTCGAATTTTTTTCTCGAAAATCAGTAGGATTTCGAGGATATGTCTATTCACCAAAAATGATTCTAATTGACCCCCGCAACCGAAAATAATTTTTCCAAAACGATTTGAAATTTTTGAATTTTGTCGAGAAACTTCACACCTTCTCGAATTTTTTTCTCGAAACTGTGTAGGATTTCGAGGATATGTATAATGACCAAAACTAATTATAATTGACCCCCGCAATCGAAAATAATTTTTTCAGAGCGATTTGAAATTTTTGAATTTAATTGTTAATAACTTTTTAACGAAGCCCCCATCAACAAATTGATATTCTTGATTTTCGTCTTATTTTGGCCTCTAGAGTCTCCCATTAAAATTTTTCTCAGGGGTGGTCGAGCACCCTGTATATTTATAAGATAGAATCATGTATATGGAACCGGAAGCTGTACGAAATCAAGGGGCACAGATTAAATAAATAAATAAATAACAACAGATAAAAAAAACACTTTTGTTCAATATTCAGCAAAAACAAAGCGTTGTCCGTGGTGGTTATTTCTTCCCAAACGCAGTGGCTGCGAACGCGTTAATGGGTTTCAGATAAATTGTCCGAATTCTATTTTGGAACGCTATCGCGTTCCATTCGAACGTGTTCAGTGTTCGGAGAGCGAGGACGTCAGTTGAACCCACGCGAAGAATGCACAAAGCGTGCACGTGCGCGACGAGTTTGTAAACACGCTGATCTGTATGTAAAGTAAGTACTTATATAAAAACAAGCAGGTATATACGTTTATATGTACAAAAGGAAGGCATGCATAACAGATCCCACGGTCTGCGTACGATACTGTGCGCTACGTCCTCTGCATTCTTCGCGAGGGGCCCGTCGGAACGAGAATAACAGTTTTGCAAAACGTCGAAGGATGCTTCACAGTTACACATCATTTTTTAAAATATCAAACTTCCCTCGTTATCGTCATTCTCTTTGCTCAAGAGAAACAAGCAGAAATACGTTTCTGTGATGCTTATGTTTCCCCCATTGAGAAAACATAACCTATTTCTTGACGTCTCGTATTTGTCTGATCTACAGATAAATCCCGTATAAGGTTTCGGTTGATCGTGAAATAAGACGTTTGGACTATTTAAAAAATCGATTAAAGTATCGATTGCTATCAGTATCGATTCGTGAGCATCGCGTTCCAATCGCAGAGGTCGCGTTTCATTGCAAACACGCCGTGAGCGAACCAAACAAGGTTGGTTCGATAGAAAAAGTAAAAAACGATAAAAATAAAAGCAACGAAATATCTCGTTCGAGACGAACGTAATTTACAGATAAATGTTAACCGCGCGCAGGCACGATCCTCGTCTACTTTGAACGTTACTGAACACCAAGACGAATTCCGTGTTCGACAGATACAGAACGATTCGTTTGTTCTCAACTGGAGCAGAAGCGTGACGTTGCGTAAGACAAATTACGCGCGTGTTCGCGGGAACAACAATGTGTTGGTGGTGTATCACGCTAAACATAGCCTTTCCTTCGTCGTAACATTGAAATATTTATACACCTGGAATGGAAGCTCGTCCAGAGCCATTTAACGAATTTCCATTTATTCATACTTTTTTTTTTTATTTCATACAATATATTGCTTTCCTCAAAATAGTTTCCTAAAGACAAATCAAAGAGATGTTTAAAAATGAAAAGCAAAACGATATCGACACTCACCCTGGCAGGTTTCACTTGCTGGAGTTCGATGACGTCGGATTCGTCGCCGCTGAGGCTGGAGATAGAGCCGTCCGAGATCTTCCGCGGCGGAATGTCCAAAAATTCGATCTTCCTCGTTTCCTGCAAGCCCGGTGCATTGTTTTCTTCGCCGTACGACGAGTCCCTGGTATAGTAAGGATTGGTAGCGTCCAAGCAGGAGTTCCGTCTGTTGCCAGCATTGTTAATCTTTCTGAAACAAATCGTCCAACCGTTAACCGGGCGCGTGGCAAACTTTCTCGCTATAGGGTTCTTGGAAAAGTGTAACAGATACCTCGTGGCGGCAGCATTCATAGAGTCGAGGCACAGGCAGGAGGAGTCCGAGTGCCGCCTGCTGCGACAAACTTGCAGGAACTGATTATCCAAAGATTCGCGTATCTCGTCGCAATCCAAGCAGGAGCAGCTGCTCGCCTGACTCGGTGTCCCGCTGGTCCCGTCATATTTCTCAAGGTCAAGATCATGCCTTTCCAGCTTCTCGTCCGAATAAGAGCAATCCGAATAGTCGCTGACAACAACGCTCGGCGTTCTCCAATATCTGGGCCTTCCCTCGTTGTGCTCCGATTCGCTCCCCTCCACCGCGTTCGAACCGTCCCATCCTGCAAACATTGTTTCATCAATTCACCGTTCAAACGCTTTTACGATCTTTGCACAGTTTCTATTCGCGTTACGTTTCACAACTAATACCGTACATCTATGGATTTTCCATGAACGTTATCGATAAATATTTTCTCAATTACGTCTTTGTACGAAGAATGGTAAAAATTTAGAATCGATGATCGAAGCGCTTCGGTTCGTAAAGTTATACGCGTTTGAAGATGCGTGTTGCACGGCTTGTTTCAACGACATGAAACTCGGTCGGTAAAGAAGTTTGTGGTTTGGCCGAATTATCGGTACGATGAGTTGGGTGTATTTATTTGCACAGTCGCCAAACTGAATACCACTTGTTGAATAAGCAAGAGGACTATTTATTATTTGAATACATATTGCTTTTGAATACATTGATTAGGTTTGACATTAAATCCTGGGGCAAAGGCCCCCATTTACTGCCAACTGTTTAGTACCATCGCTCTAAACTCTTGTACTTGAAATACCGAATAAACCTCGTGAAGTAATATGCGTAAAAAATCTAACATAACGTAACAAATCCCATTTTTTTAAATTATATAAGCATCATAGAAAATATCGTAATACAATGATTTATAAAATTTTCTTTATTTAATATTTGGATGACAATGACTGGTGGAAGCATTTCATGCATTTTGGAATCACTGCCATGGAATTGCATCCATGTTGTAGCTGTGTGCACCTAACCTAACTTTTCACATGTATATTACACGTACGATGTTTCTAGTATTACAGTACGACATACATTTTCATTTATAGAAATATGTAATAAAATGCTATCACTTCAAAGTTATCACTTCTTTAATACATAAACTTAATTTATCTTAACTTAGTTAAGAGGACAATAATTGGGTCTCTTAACCTGAAAATATTTGGTCAGTTGACAGTAATTGAGGGGTCAATGATTCTATGAAACACAATTTTAAATTAAATGTATTTAATAACAACAAATAATTTTTAATAATTCAGTATCTATGTCAGCATTTGAAGCATCACCAAATGTGACAAAATGTATTACTGTTCATTGATCTTGTGGAATTCCTTTAAAGTTTTCTTCCAATACTACATTTTTACAGCACTTCTTTCTTCTTCTTTGCAATAAACTAAATAGAATTGCAGACAAACAAAACAGCTAGATGAAAATGTGTCCCTAGAACATTAAATGTAACATTCCTTTTACGTGCCAAGGCAAAAATGAGTCAATAATTTTTCTTTGTTACATTCAAACAAAAAGCTCAAATTTATAAAAATATCTTACACAAGCTGAAACTGACATATATATCTACAAAACTTACTTTTCATACGGCATATTATTTGCAGCAATAAATAATGATCTACTAAAAAGTTCCTAATATTGATTCAGGCAAGCTTTTTACAGTGTCCAACACAAATATGCATAGGACCATGGCAGAGATACTGTTAGATAAGCAAAAATGATCAAAAATTGCGTAGACTGTCTGAATTAATAGCATTAATTCCGACAACCGAGCTGGTAAAAAAAATCAGGCGAAACGTTATTCCCCCGAAACGAGGATTAACCCCTTGACATACAAATAACGAGTTTGACTCGACGCGAGTTCTGTGTGCCACGTTTCACGATAATGAGCTCTCGTCGAGTAGTCTACGCTCTGTTCAGCGAGAACTGGCAACTATAAACAAGTGTCCAAAAGATGAAGCAGATCAGACGAATAAAGACGGATGCTGCCTCTTCTCATCGAAATATGACGTATCAAAACTAACAAGCTTTCACGTTCGAGAGGTATTCGTGAAAATTTCAATTCAAAGAAAATTAAAAACGTTCGAAAAATTTTAATCGAATCGTACGTGAAGGGGACTCGACCAAGAAAACTAAACGAACGGTGATGTCACTGGCACAGAGCCACGCGTGGTTCGGGTAAACGTGTTTTAACGGACTGCCCCCCACCACTCGGGCAAAAGCAACCGGTGTCACGATAATCCCCATCCCCCTCACCTTTTATTTGATCCTCGTCGCTCAGGACCGCGCTGTCGGAGCTGCAACATCTAGTGACCCGCAGCTTGTGCCGTTTGAGCTGGTGCGTGGTGATCATCAGCGACGCGTCCTCGTCGCTGGCCGCCGCTGAATCGAGGCTCCAGCAACGGGCCACGGAGCCCCTCCTTCGCTCGGGATCCACCTCGATGCCCTCGTCGCTCTGCGGGCTCTTGCTCAGAGAACGCACCACCGGCATCCTGATCGTGTCGAACTCGTCGTAGGTCTCGTTCGCCTCGATCGGATCCACCACGGTCTCCTCCTCGGCGTTCTGTTGCTTCTTCGACCTCATAGCGGACACGCCGCCCTCGTTACCGGCGTTTCCCTCACCGAACAGACGCTCGAGGCCGCGCACCAGCTCGCATACCGACGAACCGCCGTCGCTCTCGGCGATGTACTGATTCTCCACGATACCGACGCGCCGTTTACGCGAGATCTGCGCGCTCGAAGACGGCCCGTCGGCGTTCTGCGTCCGCGACGATTCCACGACGGCGGTCGTTTTTCGCGGCCGCACGGCACCCGCGCGTCGTCGCGGCAACAGCTGTTTCGGCTGCCTTCGTCTCAGGATCGCGGAACGGTTCCCGTCACCTCGTTTGCGTTTTCGAGATGATTCGCATCGTCCTCTCGGCACTAGGTCGCGAGACGTTCGATTTGAAATACGGGAGACGCATCGCGCACCGAGCCTGAACCAATCGCGACCGCGTCGTCGATGGTGGTAGTAAACGCCGCCATGTTGAATGCCGTGGACCACGCGGGAACTAGATGGGAAACGCGGCGAGATCGTCTGACCCGGTTTCAGCGATCGTGCACGACTCGATTCGAAAGGTATTCCATCGCGATCGTCGACAGTGTCGTTGCTTTCTTTGTTTTTCGCCTCGTTTGCGGGACGTTCGTTTCGATATTGACCGTTTGGAACCTCGTCGAAGCCCGACGTCGAGTTGGACGTTATGCTAATGTTCGTAGCGAAGTTCACCCTCTTTTTGATCGGACTTTTCTCGGGACTGGTTCTGACGTTCTTCCATGACCGATTCGGGACAGCAGTGTCGCTCGACGGGGATGCTCGACTGAAACGAGAAAAGAAACGTGACTCGGATTTCGGAACCGAGACTCGAATAAATTTTTTACGCGGCACGAGCACGATTCTCGAAACTTTACGATAACCTTTCGATCGAGGCTTTGAAAACTGTTATAAAATAGACCAAAATTATTTTCAAGAACGAGTCATTTTTATTCCTCTGGTGGTAGAAGTAGGTTACCCGTGAGTCGTCGGTGGTTTTGTCACTGTTTCCTTATGAATGAATTTCGAATTGAAATGATGGTTATTTTTAAAAAGCATATCTCGAGTATGAATGGCAAAGCGATGCTATAATTAACACCGCGCCGTACGTGTAACTGTCTCTGTCAAAACATTGACAGCCGGCTAACAAGGAAAAAGATTTTCGTTCTTATTTAACATAATTTTTACCGTTATATACGTCAACGCCGCGTAGAAAAAAAGTAGTTATTTAAAGACAAACTGTCTTTATAGCAATGTATACCGAACGACATAAATTTTTCTAATACCAATGTCGTCATTACGAGCTCTTATCTAATCTAGGAATTAGACTATTATACCGCGTCGTTGTTCCCCATACGAAACGGTTGTTATGATTCTATTTTAATCTTTTTCTCTCCGCTTTAGAGTAATTGAACACAGGTACGATATAACGGCAATGAATACAGACTTATATCGAATGTTATCTTAAAATACTTTTAGCCTGTGTTTTAGAAAAATTAGAATATTTTTATTCGACTTTCATTTTCGTAGAGTCGTAATATGGATTACGACCGATTGCTTGGAGGAAAAATTGCATATTTGCTGTTGACCAGTGTTACTTATCGCAATGTCTATAAAGTTTGCTGAAAACGACGAAAGTTAAGGACCGAGTATCCGGGTCGAAGAAATGCGGAGGGAGAAATGTATGGAAGGTATGCCAGGGTTGCTTCTTGCTCCTTCGATTGACGTCATAAGTGCGTCATAGGAGGCAAAGAAACAAGAAAGTGGGATTGAATGATCGCGCGCGTCTGTGCGCCGACCGCGTACGTACCGCTGGCTCTCGTGTATCGTTGCTTCTTTCTCTTTCTCGACAAGCGGTCCATTATCTCGTCAGTTCAAGTGCCCCTTGGCCACTTGAGCCTATCTGTGCTGCGACCGTTTGTTCGTTCGGCTGTTTCATTGTACGAAATAACCCTGTACCGTAACGAGCGGAATTACGAATTCTCTTTTTTTTTCTCTCTCTTTTTATATCACCCGCACCAGACTCGCGGCAAATTTTATTCACGAATAACGGACACAAATTTCATTTTTATTCGCGAAGTAACTATTTGCAAATTATGTTGCTCCTTGTTCGCGAATTAAATTTGCCCCACTCTTGTCGCCCCATGCATTGTTCTCCATCGACGAAACGAGAATGTTACTTTTTTTCAAAACACCGCAGAAAATCTGCGCGGTTGGCAAAACGTAAATAGCGCACGTTCGAATGCTCGGGCGGGCCACTGTATTTCGATGCACCGTTCTCGCTTGGAACCATGGAGAAAATTTACACGCAACCTAGAACGATCTCGCGGCATTTCTGTTCGAGAAATGAAGAGAAGATACGCACGCAGGAAGGCTTAGACACGTCTGGTCGGGCTCATATTTCTGTCGGAATCGGGTCAATGTCGGGCCAAGCAAGGCTAATGATTCGTTCGTGTACCAGACAAGCAACAACAAATCGTACGAATACGTTAAACTCCAGGTGGACGGTGTTCCGTAAAAATATCGGAGGAAACTTTTCTCGCGTTCCCGTCGTTGTTACCTTGGCAACGAAATCTACGTTGTCCAATAAAAGCGTTTGAATTTTCGTCGCGGGCAAACGCGAGAAAAAATAATTTATTGTCGCGGCGACGAGAGGCCGAAAACTTATTACGAAACTGTTCGACGCCGTGCAACTAGCATGGAAGTGGTACGGAATAACGTATTGCTGTCGACGTGCACGTAATTAACTAAGATGCGTGTTATTCTAGAATCTCGATTTCACGTTACGTTTCTTCTTACCTTTCCATCTCGATGTCGTATTCCGCATTTCATTCTTGACACCCGATCAGAAACGGTTCAAAGGATAAACGAAATATTTGTGAAAAAAAAAAAGAAATAAATAGAATAAGGAAACATTCGTGGTCGACGTACAACTTCATTTACAACTCGAAATAATCTGTATCGTGTAATTGGAATCCGGAGCAATTCGACCGGACGTCCTCGGCGTTCATTATTGCTCGCTATCTCCACGGGCTGTTAATTTTTAACCGTGGACGACTGAAAGAATCAATGTATGCGATGATTGTACGTCAATCGTAGCTGATGGCTGACTGAACTCGAGATTTGAACTTGACCACTCCACGGTGACTACCTATACATTAGTTCCTGTATAAAAGGAGGGGATCGATTGCATTTAAATCGGCTCTCTTAGAATTGAAGGTTCCCACCTACGATTGACGCAAAACTTGTAAATACGATATCACCTGTATCTCTGGATTTTCTATTATCTCATAATCGCGCCGATTCTTTTCTTCTCCCACGTGGGAAGGTCATGGTTTTTAACGCGAACAATCCCCAATTACCTTATCGACTAATATAAGATATTATAACACGTAAAAGACATGTATTTAAGAACTTAAAAATCCTTTATTTTTCAAACTTTTACTCTTAAGAAATTATCTTCTTTCGTAATATTTCCTTTCTTGTAAAATGTAACATTAAACTTCGTTATTTATTACAGCATACTTTTATATGTACATAAAATTCTTATAGCATAACGTTCTTCGTACAGCATCTATGAAAATATTTCTTTCTTTCTCGGTCGTTTCGTTACATCACTTCGTAGAAGTTGATGTCAGAGTGTTCATCAGGATTCACGATCAGGGATCCAAATACTTCAGGTTCGCCTGTAATTTTTTCTGACGCGTACGGTTTCAACCACTTCGTTATGGATATTCCTGTCCGCAGATTCTCTAAAGTTGTTTCGATAGACGGTCTGGTAACTAGAATCGTTCCTCTTTGGATGTTGGCTTTAAAAAATTTCCAGATTTCCGCGTGCACGGATTCTGGCACATAAAATTCGAACGGATTATTCATGACAATTATATCGCTACTTTGTACAATCTTTGAACAGTCTTCGATTCTCTCGTTCACAATATCAATACGATCGTTCATTTTATATTTTTTTATCATATCGCATTGTAACGTACAAAGTTCTTTATTCATTTCAACGCCGATGATATTCGAAGCAGATGTAAATATGTATGCCTAAAAATGATCGTATACATGTTTCGGTCAAATTCAAGGTTCTAAGAGATACAAAATATTATTTTACCCCGTATAACACAGCACCCAACCTAGATCCTACGTCCAGTAAAGTTTTTCCTTCCAGCGATGGTAAAACATTGTGAAATATGTACAGCATGGCGGACACCGACATGGAATGCGATATGATATCTATAACAAAGTTTTGTTTGATTTTGATTCAATTGTTCGTTGAATTATCGATGATCTCTTACTATATTCTTTTACATCACTGGACCCACAATTGACACAATACAAGTTGCTTAACTTTCCTTCGTCTATAAGCTCGTCGACTTCCCTGTTGTCATAAAGAAATGCATCAACGTGTTTCGTCGATGTCGCGTCACAATTTGAATTCTGTAAAGTTGTCACGATTAATGACATTTTTCCATCACCAAGTTTACAACGTTTATTAAACGGACCTCTCCAACATTCGGCGGAGTAATGAATTCCGACGAGAGAATACCATCGAATGGGATTCTACTTCTAACATCAGTAGCAATTCTTTTTATATTTCTTAATAGCTCTTCTTGCGAGTCGGTTTCGTTACGGCAATTATCTATAAAATAACCATTGCAGATTAGTCTTTACGTTAACGTTTACTGCACGGATTTGAACGTAGTGTACCTGTTGAATTTCTCGAGGCATATTCAATTTTCGCTTCCTCGGGACGCCAATTATCGGCAATAAATGATAAAAAGATTTGTTGATCCGTCGAATTCAAAGACCTCATGGTGTCTGTGAATACTCTTATAGCATCCTTAACGGACATCGTACCGATTCCATCAGCAACGTTCATTCTCTGTCTACACGTTTATTTACGAGGTTGTTACGTTTAATCAGTTCCATGTTTGAATTTTAGATGACTGAAGTGTCAGGCGGCCCATCATCATGCATGTCGAAGAAGCAGCGTCAGTAAGGTGCTTCGATCAAGAAAAAAGTGGCGTCATTCGGGCCCCCGAGTTTGTTGTTTCCGTAAATTATTTCAAAGTTTCTGGAAAATCAATAAAGTATGCGGGGTATAGATAACGATTAAAATACTTTTTCCTTTCAATTGAGAAATTAAACTCAAAAATCGTCTAAAAAAAATTAAAATCAAATCGTTTACAGTGTCGATTGCAATCGCGATCTGGCTGAAGCGAGAAAGTGCAACGAGATGTTTCCGGTGCACCCCGGGGCACTGTTTGTCATCTCTGTTCCGAGTTTGTTCTAGCTTCTCATTCGCTCTACAGGTAATATTGTGGCCGTAAAGTGGCCTCGTTTAGTGATTTGTAATTTCCATGATCAAATAAGAAAAACCTGTAGCAGCGTATTTGTAAGACGAGCGTGTTATCCTTGAAATCGCTTTCGATCGTGGAACGAGCTGTTCTCCAAAGTGTTCCCTGTTGAAACTGACGTACCCGCAATAACACAGTCAGTTGTTGTAACAGCGATGCCGTTACCAATGGGCATTTAACGTTTCAAATATCGTGAAAAATTCTTCGTGCCTCGTGAAATCATCACGAGACATCGAAGCTTGGTTGTTATGACGCGGTGTTGTTTAAATGTCTAACTAAGATTATCGAATCTAACAAAGGTAAGGATGTCGCCATCTCCGTGTCTGTCAATTTACGCAGTTAACTCTTTAGAAAAGTGACAATGTGACACAAAATTATGTATTTAGTGAAGAAAGCGTCGATACGGTGGTTTGCAAGTGTACTTTTAATACTTTTTCTACCGCGATATATGCTTCGTACCGCTTAGCTGACTAAATAATACAAATGAATAACAGTAATCGATGTAAACAAAAATAACAATCTCTGATATGGTATGTGCTTTCACAATCTCAAAAAAATTGTTGGAGAAATATTATGAGCTTTGATTGTGTTTGTTTTCTATAAGAAGAATTGACATTTTACAAAATTCTCCTGATATTTTGCAACTACCGGTAAAACAACATTTTTAATATTCCAGAATTAACACCGTCGAACAACACCATGAGCGGATTGTGGGAAAAAAATAAATTTGAAGCTAGCGGACCGGCCATTATGAAAAGTCTTAATAATATATGTATTTGCGACAGGGATAACTCAGTTTCCGAGAATGGAATACCTGCGAATGGATTGTACATAAAATGCTCGTGCAGAACGTTTAAGAGTTTTTTATTGATAGACGAACAAGAATATCTTAAAGTTTCCACTGCCAAACAATTCGTGGAGAAATTGAATTGTAGCGCGAAAGACGTTAAAGTAAAGGTGGTGTCTGTTTTTGGAAATATAGGCGATGGCAAAAGTCATATGTTGAATCAGACGTTCTTCAAGGGGAAAGAAGTGTTTAAAACTTCGAACAAACAAAACTCTTGTACGATAGGTGTTTGGGCAGCATTCGATCCGCTCCTTAATGTGATCTGTTTGGATACAGAAGGTTTGTTAGGTATTGACACTTACGTATGCATGGTACACCTTAACGCGTAATTCGCAAATTACAAATAGTACGTACGAGTCAGAGTGGTAGACATTTTTTATGTAGATAACGAATAACAAATAGTGCTTTATCTGGATAAAATTTTGTAACAAAATTTTCTGTTTTGGACACTTCGACGCTAGATTTATGTATGACGTAAGTTGTTAAAAAATAATATTTACGCGTTCTGCAATTTTAAACATGGAATCAGACATCCGTAAATCTAGTGTCGAAGGCTTTAAATCTCGTGTGGTTTGCATGTTGTTTGTGATTTTTCTGTGGTACAAAGATCTAATATTACAAACAGTTACGAACAAGTGTTACACAACCCGTACACAAGTCACACTTTCTACACAAATATACAAGTACCATAGAATAGTCACAGAAATATTATACACGATATTCCACACGCACACGCGCCACGAACAACGAGTAATCTTTCATTCTGGAATCTTTACTCGAACAAAAGTTTTATCTAGATAAAACCATACTCGTCACCGACGATCAACATATTTCCGCGATTCGATTATAACATAATAATGCCCGACACTTGTGGGAACTAGCCGTGGATAGAGAGATTTTAAAAGTTAAGGAGTGCCATATGTAGTCATTAAATGAAAGCTTTCCTTGCGTGTAATCGATTTCATTGTTTTTACTCAGGTATTAACGAAAGTGAAAATGAACGTACGAGACTATTACTTAAAGTTCTCGCCGTATCTGATATTGTAGTATATAGGACGCAATCCGAGAAATTGAAGAGGGATTTATTCACGTTCCTTGGTACAGCGTCGAGAGCTTACAGTCGTCATTTTCAAGCTGCCTTGCAGGCAGTGGGACAGAAAGAGGATGTTCTGAGCTCCTCGAGCGTAATGGGACCAAGCGTTATAGTATTACACGAAACAAGATACACCGAACCTTTGAACAACAGTACATATTGTCACATTCTCAGATTGATAGTAATTTCAAACTAAAAATTTTTTGCAAACTTGAACACCAGCGCCAGAATAAATATACCGTATTCCTTTCTGTCGCAGATGATTTGGAGAGCGCCGAAAACATTCTCAAAACCCAGTTCAATCAAATGAAACTGGAAACGGAGGCATTTAGTAGCATAAAATACGTTGGCGTGCAGGCGACAAATTCCACGACTGATTATAGACAGTTTCTGACTACTATTAAAAACGAAATAAATAATACGAGTGTGCGGTCGGCCAGGCATCCACGTTTAGTTTACGATATATTGAAAATTCTGAACGACAGGTTTTCCGAAAAGATCGACAATTTTTCCAATATTTTGTTCCCCGATCAGTATTTTACGTGCCCGGTTAAATGTCTTAGCTGTGAATGCAGATGTAGCAATAGCATGGGGCACCTTCGCGAGGGGAAACCTCACTGTTCCAGTACCAGGTTAGCTTCGTAATCGATTAGACGAGACGTTAAAAAAAATTATATTTCTCCATTAATATTTCGATAGGTGTCAGTATCAGCATCAGTATGAAAATATAATGTATACGTGTAAAAAGTGTTACGATAACGGAAACGAAGTACAAGTAACGAAAAAAACGGAGAACAACAGTAGTTGGTATGGTTTAGTTAAGTATGCATGGTCCGGGGATGTGATAGATTGTCCGCATTGTGGAGAAATATATAGGAGCCGTCAGTATTGGTACGGTAATAAGAATCCAGAAGAGTTCGTTGTTCGCACAGAAATCGTACACGTGTGGAATGCGGTATGTTGGTAGTAGATTACTTCTTTTTTTTTCAGCAGTAACCGCCATGACAGTTAACGCGTCAACGGGTGTTTCATTACCCGACGTTTAATAGTCCGAATACTTTTTTTTTAGGCGAAAAATTTAGTAGCGTCGCAAAATACGGCACAGAGGGTGGTCGATGGCGTGTCGTACATTACGGAAGCTGTAACCAATGTGTCTTTGCAACCGACAAAGATGATCTCAGCGTGGGTCGCCGATCAGGTGGCGCCGTCGTATTGGAGGCCCAACAACGAAATAAAGCATTGTCACAAATGTAAAACCGTGTTTGGGCCGACGGATACGAAACACCATTGTCGAGCGTGCGGCGAGGGATTTTGCGCGCAATGCTCGTCCCAAACGAAATGTGTTCCGTCGAGAAACTGGTACACGCATGTACGAGTCTGTGATACGTGTTACAACAACAACGACGAGGCGATCGAGTATTCGGAAGATGTGAACGCCAGAAAAGTAACGGAAACGGTAGTGTCCACTTTAAGCACGGTTGGCACGGTTTTGAACTATTCGAAATGTAAGGGGAAATGCGTAAAAATTTTAAGTACAGGGTGTGTCCCACGCACCTGGGTATATCTCTGAAACGGTTTTACAGTTTTCCCCAGTTGCGCGGTATACCCTGTATATTAACGTGTCAGAATTCTTTGGTTATTTAACATTTTCTTTTAATTTATTCAGCATTCATAAAGGACACTGCTCGACCTTCCTATTGGGTCCCCGACTCGGAGATCGTTAGTTGTTGCATATGCAACCAAAAATTTTCCGTCGTTGCCACTCTACATCACTGTAGAGACTGTGGACGCGGAGTGTGCGAGAATTGCTCGCAACATCGCAATCCTGTCCCGTCCAGGGGATGGGACAAACCAGTGCGCGTTTGCGATTCGTGCAGAAAGATCCATTAACGACTGTTAGATACAAAAATTAACGAGAAGTAAATTATTCATGAAAGACCATATCATGAAAGACCATTTGCAGATTGCTCTATTATAATTTTCAGTATGTATTACGATTTTATGTAAGATAAAGAAAAAGAGAATTACTTTCCATTAAATACTGTAAGTTATTTTCGTTTAAAATACCAAAATAAAGTATTGATACCTGAATAAAAGACGCCATATTATTTACACGATAGTCAAGTCGATTTCAATGACCCAGTGTACCCGTAACCTTCGGACGACCTTGAAGCGATGAAAGTGAAATTTTTTTACTAAAAACGACAATCGTCTCGAATCGCAATATTTTTCCATTTTTCGGAAAAGCTCGTTAATCGACATGAATATTCTGTAGATCATTTTTCAAGAAAAAATCACGCGGAGAATATTTGTCGAAGCGATTTTGAATTCGTACAGTTCGAGAAAATGCTCGTGAGAAACGTGTGGACGGCGTTTTGCCGCCATGCGATAATCGTTCGCTCGACTTTGATCGACAGTGCCGTAGCTACGCGTAATCGACATCGATAAAGTCGCCCAACAGGACACCAACTTTCGCTGTGTAGCGTTTAATTTTTTAATATTCAACGTTTTCATATATTCCCGACTGCTGATCGCCAAATTGCAAAGAATGACTACTATTCTATTAATTTTTTTAGTAATCGTATCTTGTTCTATGTTTTAATAATCAACGTTCTGCTGATTCTAGTACAGGAGAGATTTGGGGCTGAAATCAAGTTTGCACTCAAAATTTCTCGGTGCGCCCTCTGGTCGCAGAACATCGGTGAATTTATTCCATGGTAAGTTGTTGATTTTAATAATAATCCTGTTTCGGTAGCAGCATTCGTGGCAACGTTGAATATTTCGTTCAGTTCGTGTTTTCGCGGTTAGGTTGCGATAGATCGATGTCTGCGATGCGATACGATACAAGATGTTTCGGCAACCACGTGATGACGTCAAAACATGGCGTCTCAATCAGCTGGGTGTTGTGTAGAGTGTGCTTGAGATGCCCGTCTTTAGAAAACCAACGAAGACTGCCGTCTGTCTACTCGAATACGTGAGTTTTTTTAAAAAGTTTCGCACCGTTTCGTTCCACGCGTCCGCTCATAGGTGAGAGAATTTAAACGTGCCGCGACAAACGAACGCCAGACTAAAAACTAGAAAGACGCAAAACGCCGTTTCATTTGTTAAACGTTACTCGCTGGATCTCGTCGACGAAATTTCTCGACAACAGTGAACATCTACGAAACGTATCGCGAACGGGACCGTACGTTCGCTACGTAGCGAACGAAAAGCTTCGTTCTCCCGATTTTTCGTGCCCCAAATCCTGACGCGTACGTAAAAATACAGAAAAAAATATGGTTGGTAGAAGAGGTGTTTTTCTGTATGCATGATTCTTCTTCGACCGAATTCCCGCACGGGGCTGTTCGCCGTTGAAATAGAACGATACGGGACACGGGTTTGCATTGTACACGATGTTGATATCGTGTGCAAGCGATGCCGTGGCCATTTTCATGTTTGCTCCAGTTTCGTAATCATTATCAACTCCATATTTAAATTCAACAAGTATCGCAGTGGCATGTCTCGACTGTTCTCAAATTATTTGTGTGTCGCTTCACGTGGGACCCAGTTTCCACCAACGACGTGTTCGATTCGGTTTTATTCTTTTTTCTTGTTTCTTTATTTATTTTTTTCTCGCGCCCGCGGACACCACGAAACGATCGCGATCGTGCCACGGTACGAATTTTCGTACGAATTAAATGTCTGCGTGTAATTTGTCGCGTTTCCACGCGTCGACGGCCGATTTCTGTCCCGTGTCCTCTCGTGCTGATAATGGAGACGCAAATTTACAAACGCAGCCGTCGAGATTGTTTCGCGTAGCAAGTGTGTTAATAACAAGGACGGAGAAACATGTTGCGAAAACAGACTGCACCGAGCGGACGCCATTTTTTTCGAAAACGATTTAAATGTAGAATATCGGTGCGGAAAATTGTGTGAAATGGGACACGCACGAAGTACCTGCGACACTGTCGAGCAAACCGACGGATATCATTTAAGGTATTGAGGAACGCATCGATTCCATCAAAGTTTATTTTCAGATTTCAATGTGTTCGTAATGGTACGGCCATTTTGTCGCTTATTAGTGGATAAACAAATGACGATGTTGGTACTTTGGGTTCGAGGCTACAGGCGCGTCATATGCGCGGAAATTCAATTTCACTAGCTACGCGTCCCTTCCTTAATTATAGTATTCCTATATGATACCAAAAATAGGTAAACGTACGAACAATATTTAGAACGATTATTCTCCAATGCTGTTTCTCATCCGACGTTATTTATCCATTTAACGTTGTACACATAATTCTCCTGCCGTGGCTCAATCTGAAACTTGAGATATTCAGATTTTCGTGCTTCGTGAAACGATTGATAACGCAAACCAAAATATTTAAACACTAGATAAATAAAACTTCATTCGGAGTCGTAAAAAAGAAAGTTTTGAAAATAATAGAATCTGATCTCGAAGTAAAACTCGGACAGTGGGGCAATTTTTTTTTTTTGTATCATACATGTGTTTCCTTCTGTCTGTTACTGTTCAATATCTTTACTGCGAGAAAAATAATAACGCGACTCTAAAAATCTCCGTTTTTCTTTATAAATTCACTGATTAAGGTATCCATATTGGAGCTGTTAGTGTCATCCCTAATGCAATTATTGTAACTTGATTCAGTATCGAATTCTAGCATTAATAAACAATATTTGGCAATCTTTTAATTTTGTTGTTGCATAGATGTATATATATTATACGGTATGAAAAAACAGTCATAATAATTAAACGACAAGTCGAATTATAGGTTATGTAGTACCATTGGCGTCAGTAACAGTGTACAATTTTCGTTTCTACGAGTTAATACTGTCATAACAGTAATGGTAAAATGCAGAAATTGTTTATACCAGTCATTGTTACCAAAAATAAAAAGTTTTTAATGGGATTGACTGTATATGTAGTCAGTGTGTAAATATAGTGTTAAAGAAACTTTTCTTTTATTATTCACGATGCTCGTAAATAATTGAAATCGAAATGAAAATCCGTAACATGTACGTGGCGAACACGTTGTCAATGATTGGATTTCTGCGAGTGAGTCGATGCATTCGAGAAACTAGGTGTAACCACGTTGCTAGGATTATGAGGAAGCTGTTGCTTGGCAACAGCATTTCTGCTTCGTTGCCGGTCGAATCGTCGACGCTTATCTACTTGGCCCCTCCCCCCTCCCCCCACTTTGTCGATTAAACGTCTTTTCCCCCTTTGAAAACAAAACGAACATTTTTACAGCAGACGAGCGGAATTCTTACCTGCACAAAAGTTTCGAACAACGGATAAAAAGTTAAACAACTACTAAATCGTTATCGATCGAATAAAAAATTAGAATGTGAATCGTAAAATTAAACTCCGCGACGAAAAGATAACGCGCTAAGTAATTCTTTTAATTTTCTCATACGTAATTAAATATAACAACAACTCTTGTAGTAAATATACAGACAGGGATGTTCAGTTAACCCTGGGAAAAATTTTAATGGGAGATTCTGGAGTCCAAAATAAGACGAAAATCAAGAATAACAATTTGTTGATGGAGTCTTCGTTAAAAGGTTATTAACAATTAAATTCAAAAATTTCGAATCGTTCTGGAAAAATTATTTTCGGTTAAGGGGGTCGATTACAATCATTTTTGGTGAATACACATACCTTCGAAATCTTATCCACTTACGAGAAAAAAAATCAAGTTGGTACTGAAATTTTAAGACGAAATTAAAAAATTTCGAATCATATTAAAAAAATTATATTTAGTCACGGGGGTAAATTACAAGCATTTTTGGTGAATAGACATATCCTCGAAATCCTACTCATTTTCGAGAAAAAAATTCAGAAAGGTAGACCAATTTTTCGGTGAAAAAAAAATTTCGAATCGTTCTAAAAAAATTATTACTAGGTTCTGGGGTCAATTATAATCATTTTTGGTGAATAGACATACCCCCAAAATCCTGCGCATTTTCGAGAAAAAAATTCAGAAAGGTAGATAAATTTTTCGGTGAAAAAAAAATTTCGAATCCTTCTAAAAAAATTATTACTAGGTTCTGGGGTCAATTATAATCATTTTTGGTGAATACACATACCCCCGAAATCCTACACATTTTCGAGAAAAAAATTTATAAAGGTAGACCAATTTTTCGGTGAAAAAAAAATTTCGAATCGTTCTAAAAAAATTATTACTAGGTTCTAGGGTCAATTATAATCATTTTTGGTGAATAGACATACCCCCGAAATCCTACACATTTTCGAGAAAAAAATTCAGAATGGTAGACAAATTTTTCGGTGAAAAAAAAATGTCGAATCGTTCTAAAAAAATTATTACTATGTTCTGGGGTCAAATAAAACTATTTTTGGTGAATACACATACCCCCGAAATCCTACACATTTTCGAGAAAAAAATTCAGAAAGGTAGATAAATTTTTCGGTGAAAAAAAAAATTTCGAATCGTTCTAAAAAAATTATTACTAGGTTCTAGGGTCAATTATAATCATTTTTGGTGAATAGACATACCCCAAAAATCCTGCGCATTTTCGAGAAAAAAATTCCGTACGTGCGAAACTTTAAAGTTTAATAACTTTTTAACAAAGCCTCCATCAACAAATTGGTATTCTTGATTTTCGTCTTATTTTGGCCTCCAGAATCCCACATTAAAATTTTTGCCATGGTTGACCGAACACCCTGTATTACTTCTAAAATTTAACATTTACATTTCCTCGTTTCTAAATTCGCTGTAGTTTAATTTTTCTTTTTTACTATCCGAGAATTGGTTTTCATGATTTAACAAATGCAATTTTATTTTACAGTGACGAAAAGAGATACTTGACACAATATGCCGCCAGATAGACCAGATGCATCCGAAGTAGAAACTGAAATTGGACTGAACAGTACTCAGGTCTTCAGTTTTGGGGAAACGGTGTACACGATGAAAGAAAAAGAAAACACAAGTGCTTTCGTCGAGACAAATTCGACCGACGAGCTTCATGGGGAAATTTCAATGTCGGAAAAGTCCATAGAAAAGAACAGTCAGTTAGACGATGATTTGACTTCATTGAGTTGGCTCCATCAACAAAATCTGTTGAAGGATTTGGATATTTCGAATCCCTCGAAAGATATGAAAAACAAAAACGTATTAAACAACAACATTTGCGACGACATGGCAGACTTTTCTGAAAACACTAATTCGATTTCGAGTTTGGATGATGGTTATTGTCCAGGTAATTGTTTCACGTTATTCGCGTTATGTTTCGTTCGATGGTATGGTATTAATTAAATGTAATTTTCTCCCTTTTTCGCGTCACTGCAACAGATAATAATGGCAAGATAAATAACTCAACGTCACACGAACATAGTCAGAGCTTTCAGCACTCCAACAAAACTGGTCAAAAGACAATGCAAATCTTTCAAGAGTCGGTAAAAAATCACTACAATTCCTCACAAAATAATCAAACGAAGATATCTCTGAGCAACAATAATCTGCCAGTTTCGAATCGCAACAAACATCCAACACATATACCGTATGATCCTCATTTACACAGGAACAGTAAACCACCATATTCATTTTCCTGTTTAATTTTCATGGCTATTGAAGATAGCCCTGTAAAAGCTCTGCCAGTCAAGGAGGTGTACGCCTGGATTTTGGACCACTTTCCATATTTTAGGAACGCACCCACCGGATGGAAGAACTCTGTTAGACATAACCTAAGCTTGAATAAGTGCTTTCGTAAAGTGGAAAAAGCTCCAGTAAGTATATTGTGTTAGATTTTCACTAAAGGTGTTTGCACAAAAATAAAGAAGCAGCGAGTTTCGAGGTTTCGAGCGTTAATTTTTACTTGTTTATTTTTTCAGAATTTGGGCAAAGGTTCGTTATGGATGGTAGATGCACAATATCGTCCGAATTTAATACAAGCATTGTCTCGTGCTCCATTTCCACCTCCCACTGCTCAAACTTTGTCTTCCCCAGAAAAACCGCAGAGAAAGAACACGAGCACGCGCCTTCCAGATCCTATCCTCTTCCCATACCTTTCCAAAAGACTGGCATCGAGCAACATTACCGATAACACAGAAACTGAAGTAGACAGCGACGTAGATGCAGCTGCCGCTGCTATGCTTTCTTTCAAACACGGTCCTATTATTTTAAATCATAATAAAGGTAACTTGACCGAAAATTCGCGTATAATTTCCACAAATATTGCGTTCATATTACACTGGTCAACGGCGTTAAATCAATCATTTTTTGTTCCAATATACAGGGTGCTTAACCCTGGGAAAAATTTTCATGCGAGACTCTTGAGGCCAAAATAAGACGAAAATAAAGAATACCAATTTGTTGTTGGAGGCTTCGTTAAAAAGTTATTTACAATTAAATTCAAAAATTTCAAATCGTACTGGAAAAATTATCTTCGCTTGCGGGGGTCAATTCTAATCAGTTTTGGTCATTATACATATCCTCGAAATCCTACGTACTTTCGAGAAAAAAATTCTTCACTGAAAATCTAATTAGATGCTCAAATTTTTCGGTGAAAAAGAAAAATTTCAAATCGTTCTAAAAAAATTATCTTAGCTTGCGGGAGTCAATTATAATCATTTTTTATCATTATACATACCCCCGAAATCCTACACACTTTCGAGAAAAAAATTCGAAAAGGTGTGAAGTTTTTCGACAAAATTCAAAAATTTCAAATCGTCCTGGAAAAATTATTTTCGGTTGCGGGGATCAATTATAATTAGTTTTGGTCATTATACATATCCTCGAAATCCTACTGACTTTCGAGAAAAAAATTCGAAAAGGTGTGAAGTTTTTCGACAAAATTCAAAAATTTCAAATCGTCCTGGAAAAATTATTTTCGGTTACGGGGGTCAATTATAATCATTTTTGATCATTACACATACCCACGAAATCCTACGCACTTTCGAGAAAAAAATTCGAGAAGTTATGAAGTTTTTCGACAAAATTCAAAAATTTCAAATCGTTCTAAAAAAATTATCTTTGCTTGCGGAGGTCAATTATAATCATTTTTTATCATTACACATACCCCCGAAATCCTGCGCATTTTCGAGAAAAAAATTCGGTACGCACGGAGCTTTCAACGTTAATAATTTTTAAACAAAGCCTCCATCAACAAATTGGTGTTTTTGATTTTCGTCTTATTTTGGCCTCCAGAATCCCCCATTAAAATTTTTCCCAGGGTTGACCGACCACCCTGTATATAAACAAATGAGAAAATGCTCAATTATGAAAGATACAAATAATTATTGAAAAGTTGTTCACCAGTGTTATTAGCAGGAGGCACTAAACGACGATACTAATGTTTCGAATCTTATTTATAGTAGTGTTTTAAATTTTCACACAGATCGTAAACGAAAATTAGTGGAGTCTGAAAAGTTGGTTCCAGTAATCACTAGAAGCTCCAGCGAGGACCACACGTACAGCTGCATTACCTCAATAAAACAAGAGAGGTGAGTGTATCGTTGAAAATTGTAATAACACGATAAAAATTACAGACGATAACGTGAATTACATGTAGTAAATAATGTTTGATTGTTCAGCAAATATTCCTGCGAAGAAACGAACCCCGACTTCGACGAGCAACGGAAAATAGCGGAGGGTGCGGACGCTCTTTTGAATTTGGCGGGTGTTACCACGGCGGTTAGTCACAGTAGAATATCTCATGTACAGGGTGTCAATCCGGTACCAAAGTCTGAGAGCACGTCGAAGCCGAAGAAACGCTCGGTTCCGAACGATTACTCGAATCCGCCTGAAAAGAGACGTAAACATTGGCCAAAGTGGAGCGAGGGAAAGCGGTATTTAAAGCAGATTATATAAAAGTTTCTGTCGCGCGTGCGCGCAACTGAATCGCGCGCCACCCATGTATCCTTACCACGCATCGAGCGCAAAAAAAAAAAAAAAAGAGAAAAACGAAAAGAAACATTTCGAAATTATATTTTCAATATCGATTGTCGGGACAGAACGGACATTTAATCTTACATCGCTGACAATGAATCAATCGTCTTTCGAATACGACTAATAATAGCAAAGAATTTGCATCGAAGTTATATTGCCAGTTTTTTAGGCATGTAAGGGCGAAGAAAAAAATGAGTGAGAGAATTGAACGGCGATCCGCGTCGCGTCGCATTCGAAGGGAAGGCTCTGTCGGCAGGTGCATTTCTATTTAAAGTATAATTAAAAAGGAAGAAGAAAAAAATGGAAAAAAAAAAAGAAGAACGAAGTGAAAACGAGAAATGAAAATATTATTGGCGAACGCTCAGGGTTTAGAACTCGCTATATGCCAAAATAAATTCAGTAGCACTAAGCAACAAGCAATAATAGAAGGGTAGTGTTTAAAAAAGTTACTTTTCTCAACATGTTACTAAGACATGATACAAACTAAGCGGTTCATGGAAATGTCAATGAAGTAAAAAGCAAAAAAAAAAAAAAAGAATCACTATCGCGTACTAAATAACGATGAACTTTTTAGACCTGTTGTGACGATTATACATATTAATTCATAGAGAGTTTAATTAATGATAATAGAGTTCTATATATTAGGTTTTTGTAGATATGTATAGAGATATAATTGATATCTATTCGATAGAGAAATTGATAATATATTTAAAAAAAAAAAAAGATTATATATATACATATATATATGTGTACACATATATATATATATATACACACACCATACACACGTTCATGTTACGTGCTCATTCATCACGCTCGGAATACATCTGGTCATGTACACGGCTGTATGTGTGCGTAAAATCGTTCCGCGAGAACTATCAGTAACGGGGAGAAAGAAATACGGAAAGTCCAGTTACGCTGAGCATGGATTTGAAATGAGGGAGATCTTATCATTTCATGCCTTTTTCTACTATCTTCGTGGCTTTTGAGATGATTTTGAACAGTGCTGTATATATGTAGATCCTACAATGTATGCATAGACCAGTTGCAAAATTTTGTTAACGGATCAATATATATATCATATATTGATAATATTGAGCGTATGGTATAAGAACAAGAGGTCATCCTATTTTTATAAAAAAATAAAATAAAAAAATAAATATATTCATAATATTAAGAGCATTGTGAATACCTGATAAGTAAACGAGTTGTATATGTGGTGAAAAAGCGGATATCGATGAGGAAACTGGTCTTGTGTACATTAACACGTAGTTCTATATAGAGAGAACGTATATTTTTACAGGGCACTGCCCGCGTGATAAAAGCTCTTCCTAATAATTCGCTAAAAAAACACAGTTCATTAGCTTAAACCACTTACTAATTGTAATCATAGTAACTTGCGTGACACTACAAAAAAAACACGAGCATGGTAGCGCAGCCTGAAACAGTTTCATGTGTTTATGATTACACGCCATATAATTGTAAAATTTCCGTGAAAGAGACGTTTAATCGTTCGATTCGTTTTTTTTTTTTTAATAGCGAAATGCATATAGTGAAGGGGTACTCAGCTCGGTGAGGACTTGGTTACCAATTTAAAATTACAAAATTTTAAATCGGACACACGTTTCTAGTCTTACGACTATATGTATAAACGTAAAAAGAAAACGAGAAAAAAAAAGTAAATAATGAAGTAATATCACTTGTTAGGTCGATAATGATATTTAAGCGTCACAGTTGCAAATAATGATGAATTGTTACCTGTAATATATGTTACTGCTGGCTCAGATATATTCAGACGCAAGACTCATGATTATTGCTTTCACAAAGGTGCAATTTAGTTTAACTTATTGATAATGACATCGTTTATTTCTCTAATGTTTAATGTCTGGTTGCTTTGGAACATTTTTTAAATTACACCTGGTAATAAATTTAATTAAGTCACCGACCGCGATCATTTTGTCTGCGAAGCAACGGGAAAATTATAAATAATATAACAAAATTCTGATGTGTTATTAATGTAAAGAAAAAAAGAAGAAGAATTATACTTAATTTAGCATAACCGAGAAGTTCGAAAAAGTACGATAAATTGAATGGACATATTGACGGGGACGCGCTGCCAAAACTTTTTATGTGATTGTAGCTAATCGGCTACAGAGAAAGATCCAAGATAAGGGTGCAAGGAAGAATGCCATGTTATATACGATCGAGGAACCTAAATTTTTGAGAGAAATGTACATTTTTTATGTAACGTAAAATTTATCCTATTTAGATGCACGTGCCCCGAGGGCTGGGCACACTTTTCGAAATTTGTATACACACAAGCAAGACCAGTTTTTGTAGACTTTACGTTTTCTATTGTCTGTGATATTATTGCAAAACTAAACACGCCTTGTTGTTGTTGTTATACTTTGGTGAAACGAAAATTTTTAGAGCTTTATAAGTTTTTATTGTTTAGAGAGAAAAAAAGAGGTGTTTGAATCACACTTTCTGATATTATTAATTGGCATTCTTGCTGACAACCTTAACATTCTAATCTAGATAGGGAAACTGGCATCTTCAAATTAGTAGTGTTATATACATATATGTATATATATATGTGTGTGTGTGTATAATACATATATATATGTATACATACATAAAAAGAAATATATATACGCATATATATGTATATATATATATGTATATATCTATAATTATATTATATACTGAAAGTAATATCACAGTTTTCGCTATTTGTTGAAATTTTTAGTCCTAGCTTTTGTTTGCTACGACTGAAGATCTGTTCTTCCATGTAGTTTATTCTAATGTAATCAATTAGGGGGTGGGATGCCATTTATAATAATAGTGATCTAGCTAATCGATCGATTACAAAGTAGAATAATCGATTAGCGAGACAACGTAAAGCAATACACCAGTAAATCCTGACATTGGGCAGAATACTCTTTAGTCGGCCGGTCCTCAGGAAACATTTGTTTACGTTACAACGTAATAAAGCGCAGTTGCACATTGTGAAACATGTATATGAAAATTGTACGACAGAGCAATTGCACAAGGGAGCTCGCTCGTCGAGTATTTTTACCAAGTATTACCTGTAGCGACGTACGCGATAAAAAAAACACCATTTCTTTTATGTGATCTTACATAACGCATGAGAAATCATAATCGAACGCAATGTTAAATAGTTCGCTCTTGTCGATCACGGACCGGCTGGCAAATAACAAATAAACAACCATCGATGACTAAAACACCAAAAAATCGAGTGTACGAAGCAAACCATATTTCATTGTATCGCGACTAGCCACGGACAATCAAAATGTAAACATGGTGTTTAATTTGCTTCCATTACATGACATCGTGCCAAACGCAGAATTCATTTATTTTGAGGAACAGATGTTAATTTATATGTGTATCTACGAGTTGTACATTGTACGAATTTTGTTGGCGTAATATGTAATATTATTATTATTATTATTATTATTATTATTATTGATAATTATATTATCATTATTAATATAATTATTACTCATTTTAAACAAAATACACTGTAAAATGTTTGTTAAGTTTTTGACCTTGCTTATATAATTGAGTAAAATATTTAATATTTTAGATTGTAACCAAGACAGAACTTTATTAATGAAAAGAATATGAGAAATCAAATACGAGCTGGATCAATTATTTACATTCTTCAACCTTCTCGATCACGATCAATTCAAACTGCAAAAATTATAAATTAATAACAGATTTGTACGTACACGTACGTGTATCGGAATTGGGCTGAATGCAGTCTGATTACATTTGCTACGATACGAGCCCATGTAATCGCATTGTAGATTCGCATTCGTAACAACGAACAAAAAGTACAGTTTCTTAAATTAAAAGTAGCGTGTTTCAAGATTTCGAAAGTGGCGCCACTCGCGGGAATGTTTCGCCGCGCCAGTAAAACGAGCGTGCACAGCGACGAACGCTTTAGTTTCACGAATACAGTCCGAGCGAGAGCGTAAACGTTCGGCGTGAGCGTAATAAAACCGTAGAATATCATCGTTATTGTTTCAACGATCTTGTATCGTAACGTTCGGCGACTCGTCAACGGATTTTATTTTCACGTTTAAAATGGAATCGGGTCACGTGACGGCGCGGCGCTGTACCAACCTGCACGCGTATACCTAGATCGCAGCACACCTCGTTACTATATACTTTATCGCGGTTCAAAACCTGTCGGTCTGCATTCCAGTGTGCTGGTGGACGCCAAGCGTCGTGTTCTATAGGAAATCGAACCGATCGAGGCTCGCAACGATCGCCGGGAAGAAAAATGAAGTGATTCACCGGCACGAAATATTAACGGACTGGTCGTTTCGCCGCCGCGAGGTAGTATCGGTTTTGGAAGGTTCACGGAAAACCCAAAGGATCTGGAACGAAAGGATCGTGCAGCCGGATCGAAGGAAAAAGGGTGAGTGTGCCTCGAGCATAATTATATTTCTTTTCTTCCGTCCCATCGTCGATCTTTGCCGTGCTTTGATTTCCACGCTTCGCGAAACCTGGTTCGCGGCTGTTGAACGTAAATACGGACGAGACTTGTGTTCGACGAATACTGCCGATCGGTCGAAAACATTCGCTCATGGTGTCGCCGTGGAAGATCACCTGCCGGAAGGGGTGAGCCAACAGCATTTTTGGTGAAACACGAATGTGCAGTGGATGTGCACAGCGTCGTCAAATATATGTATACATGCATATACATATAGATATACGTGTACGCGTCGGGAACAGCGATATCCGACCGCCGTTCGAACTTCTGACAATTGACAAAATCTACATTCGGATAATACCGCGCTGCTTAATGCGCCTGCGTTACGAGTCTGCATACATGTTACGCACATTTTAATTAAACTTTGATAAAAAGTGTCTCGCGTCGCTAACAGCAATATCGGCAGAGCTGTCAATCGAGCCGGTAGAAACACGGTTCGAATACCGAAAGATTATCGCGGTGAGCGATCTTGTCACGACGTACGTGTCGATCAATCGTTAAAAACGAAAGGTGTCGTCGAAGCCGGCTATTTTGCTCGAAACGGGACGTTCGTGGCTGGAATATAAGTGGTTAGGTATGGGGAAGCAAATTAAAATAGCATATGACACATATACGGCTAAATATTCTTCGCTCGTTTTGCCCAAGCGATCGTCGCCCGTATCGAGGAAGAGAATCGCGATTAGTCGTGCATCTCGTATCAGCCACGAGATACGCGACGCAACGCGGAACGTAATAAAAACCGTTCGCGTGATTAATCGACGATCGCCGAAAGAAAGGAAGGGTCCACTTCTCTCGAATCTGTTCGATCAACGGGAACCCGATCTTCCTGGTTCTTATTCGTCGGATGTAACGGAACACTGCACTTTGCTTTACGGAATATCGAACGAAAATTATTGTCGATTTAATTGCACGCAATTTTGATATTTGTAATGAACTTAATATAAGCGAATAACTTTGAAATATATCTTCCATCGCTATTTATAATTTCGAGTTAGCCATCGTGCCGTATCTTTTGAAACTTCATAAGAACATCCAATTGGCCTTAAAGTACCACCATGCGTACCAAGCGAATTTTATGCAAAATTATAGGTTTTCAAGCAAAGAATAATATTATTGTAACACTAATATTACATGCATCTTGTTAATGATCTTTTCTGATATCTCCAACGATATTCGATAACAATTAACATTGGGAGATCGTGGTTTTTAATTCATGACAATTGCAAGTAACCATTCTTAAGTTTTCCTTCGCCAAGTACGAACAGAACAACGAATTTTTGGTTACTTGAACATTCATTCTATCGTCCCGAAATTTTTGAATTCGTATTTTGGTCAACTTTTTGAGGGCAAATGATCCACCGTGCGTCGGAACGTTTTGTGCAATTTCGATCGTTGGATCGTCGTGATCTCTCGGTATTTTGGTCGGTAACAAGAGGTAGGTCGTGAAAGTGGAACTCGATTCCTGATCCTCGATCGGCCATGATGATCGCCGCGCGTAAAAAGGATTTCGGAACCTCGAGCTTCTGGTCAACCCGACAGGTTGTAGAAACGAGTCTAATTCTCTCGTTCAGCTGTTACGATTCGTGCGGGCGCGCATGTGTGCGTAAGCCGAGTGGCATTGGCTGGCCGTAAGGTTAGGTGCGGCGGCGGCATCGTCGGTGCTTGGCGGGGCGAGAGGGGGGGTTGACAACCACTGCTTTGGAATTCGAGTTCTTTATTTTTACGAGAGGCAACGTCGGAAACCAGCCTCTTTCGAGCCCTTCTCACCTGTTACATACCACCGGTATTTATGCTACCATTTAACCAGAAGTTAAGAGTCCTCCCGTACATAAAACACGTTAAACTGCCTCGCCGGGTGGACCCGAGAGCGTGTGCTTTTTGTCCCGCGATTTCGGCCCCCGATGAAAAATGCTTCTCTCGTTCGAAGACAACGGACGGATACTTACCCGCCGAATTCGCTTCTTCCACGTAACGAACTTGTCGCTGGCGAACTCTTTTTCTCGCGTTCCGGGCAGAACCGAAACGAGGAAAACGGAACGAATGGAACCGAGGTTCGAATTTAACCGAAAACTGTCGGAATAAGAACGACGGGACTTGGAATGAAAATAAAATGAAAACTACAAAAGATAATACGATGCAGATTGTTTTATTTTTACGTACATTGAATGCAATATTTAAATAACCATTACAATTGGCTTCAAGTTGTGGCTGATGTTAATTTTTAGTTTTGGTGAAAAGGCACCTTTGCCAAGTCAAATTGCATACCAACAGATTCCAGTTTACGTATGAATTTGCAAACGAAACGTAAATGGGAGTTCACGAACGAATGTGAAATCTTTGTTCGTTGCGCGTGGCTAAAATTCGACCGTTCCCGGCCAGATGTGTCGCGCAGAAAAGAAAATCTCTGCGTTAATTCTGTGTATGAAAGTGTCGCGTGGGTGGACGGTACGGTGTAAACCGTGAATGGATCTGCCTACGTGTGGCGCGTGTGTTGGCCAACAAATAATTTCCATCGGTCTTCGACGTGTCGGTACGGTTCTCTGATCGTCATTCACGACTATCAGGCGTCAGCACGTGGGTGGAAAGCGGTGCGCGCAATGAACGACGGTTTTCGTCACCGTATATGGTCATTTTCGTGTTGTCACCGTGGCACCTCTGTCCGTTCGGTTTTCTCGCCGCGACCTTGCTTTCTTCGTGGTTGCTGATACAATTCGCGGATACGTGCATCGGACAATCGATTCACGTCGTTCTCGAAAACAACACTAGTCAACAAATTGTAAACAATAGTTTATATTCTTTAAGGTTAAGATGTCTTCCCAATCTATTTATGCGGATTAAAATAGGAAATAATAGGGAATATTGATTGACTATGATTTTAAAAATATACCCCATGATTTTTATTTAATTAAAGTACAGGTAACCCTCCTATAACACGGTAGATAGGTTCCTAGAAAATACCGTGTTATATGAGACCCAGAACCAATATAAAAAGGGGAATTACGTCCGGAAAACTTATTAAAAACAAATATTTTTTTAAAATTCTACATAAGCATATTATTTTAATTGAACGCAAACTTAATTTAATAAATTGTAATTTGTTTATACAGGGTGTTCGACCACTCGTGGGAAAAATTTTAATGGGGGATTCTAGAGGCCAAAATAAGACGAAAATCAAGATTATCAATTTCTTGACTGAGGCTTTGTTAAAAAGTTATTAACAATTAAATTTAAAAATATCAAATCGTTTTGGAAAAATTATTTTTGGTTGCAGGGGTCAGTTACAATCATTTTTGGTGAATACACGTACCCTCGAAATCCTACGCACTTTTGAGAAAAAAATTCGAGAATGTGAAATTTTTCGACAAAATTGAAAAATTTCAAATCGATCTAAAAAAATTATCTTTAGTTGCAGAGGACAATTGCAATCATTTTTTGTCAACAGACATACCCCCGAAATCCTGCCCACTTTCGAGAAAAAAATTCGAGAAGGTGTGAAATTTTTCGACAAAATTGAAAAATTTCAAATCGATCTAAAAAAATTATCTTTAGTTGCAGAGGACAATTGCAATCATTTTTTGTCAACAGACATACCCCCGAAATCCTGCCCACTTTCGAGAAAAAAATTCGAGAAGGTGTGAAATTTTTGGACAAAATTGAAAAATTTCAAATCGTTCTAAAAAAATTATTTTTAGTTGCAGAGGACAATTGCAATCATTTTTTGTCAACAGACATACCCCCGAAATCCTGCCCACTTTCGAGAAAAAAATTCGAGAAGGTGTGAAATTTTTCGACAAAATTGAAAAATTTCAAATCGATCTAAAAAAATTATCTTTAGTTGCAGAGGACAATTGCAATCATTTTTTGTCAACAGACATACCCCCGAAATCCTGCCCACTTTCGAGAAAAAAATTCGAGAAGGTGTGAAATTTTTCGACAAAATTGAAAAATTTCAAATCGATCTAAAAAAATTATCTTTAGTTGCAGAGGACAATTGCAATCATTTTTTGTCAACAGACATACCCCCGAAATCCTGCCCACTTTCGAGAAAAAAATTCGAGAAGGTGTGAAATTTTTCGACAAAATTGAAAAATTTCAGATCGTTTTAAAAAAATTATCTTTAGTTGCAGGGGTCAGTTACAATCAGTTTTGGTGAATAGACATACCCTCGAAATCCTGCCCACTTTCGAGAAAAAAATTCGGGTAGGTGCTGAAATTTTTCGGTGAAAAAAAAATTTCCAAATCCTTCTAAAAAAATTATTTTTGGTTTCAAGGATCAATTATAATCATTTTTGGTCATTACACGTACCCCCGAAATCCTGCGCATTTTCGAGAAAAAAAATCACTACTGGCGGGACTTTAAACGTTAATAACTTTTTAATAACTTTTTTTATTCCTTCGCGTCATTATTTTAAGGTAATTTAGTTTTTAAATATGTTAAGGAAAAATCATGTTATCCAGTGCTGTAGAAGTACATATGAATCGTGTTATAGCGAAACCGTGTTGTAGGGGGGCTACCTGTATATTAAAATAAAACACATTTTTTTTAATTTGTCCGAAGTTACGCAGAGATGACATATCAAAACTAATGAAATTTAATGGGTTTTTATGACTCACAAAATCCACTTTAAGTTTGTGTCTTAGAGAAACTAAAGTCAATATTTTAACTTTACATTCTTCCTTCTGATTAGAGTCGTAACAATGATTAGAATTTACTGCTTAAAGGAAGAATACGTATTTGCTGTTTACTAATTGGACGATTGTTGCGCCACCTCGAGCCCGTTAACTTATGTTTTTTGAAGGGTGGGGGGAAGCCTTTTGACGCGAGATCGCGTCCATTAATATTTATTGACCCGCGACTGGCCTTTTATTGCTGTCTAATAAAACACGAACACGCTCGAAAGCGAAACGAGAATTACTTTTCTTCATTGACGTTATGTCACTTTGGTAATAGGTGTCAATATAGGACGTGTGTCTCGTTTCGTAATTATTGAAATTCAAGGTCAAATTCCTGTTCCTTTCCAAGTATTCGTGTGCAGCGACCAAACTGGTTCCAGTCCAGAGTTATCTCTAACGTTTCTTCGAATAGATAAATTCATAAATTAAAATTTAAATCGAGGAGGGTGGAGGATTTGATAAAATTTCGAATAAAAACCTTTTCGCCCGTTCACCGATGAGATGCACGTGCGAGATCTCATTAAGAATAGTTGACGTTTTCGCGTCACGAAATTGTGAGCCGCGATGTCATCGAAAACTAGAACGAGAATGCGTTCTATTTCCACGTGAACTCTTCGCCGTTCTAAACTTAAACGCGCTTGTCGGGCATTAATTTTAGTGGGGCTCTAGTCGGCGCCACGAGTCCCCGCGAGTTCTCGCCCCTCCTTCTCCCCCACCCGACAACGAGGTCGGAAAAAGGACCAGAAAAAAAAAAGAAATATGCGTAACTCCTCTCTTCCTTGATTGCAGAATGTGTCAAGATGCGACCTGTGCCCTCCCTATGTGGCGTTGTCACAGCTTTGCTACACGTCCTGGCCAGCTTTGCCCACGGTAAGTTACTTTTCACACGATTCCCCCATTTTGGGTGAAATTCTCATCCGACTACAAATTTCTGATAACGAATGGAAAATGAAAGTTTTAATTGTAGAAACGAAATGCATTGAAAAATTGTAATGCGAGATTCTAGAGGCCAAAATAAGGCGCAAATCAAGAATACCAATTTGTTGATGGAGGCTTCGTTAAAAAGTTATTAACAATTAAATTGAAAAGTTTCAAATCGTTCTGGAAAAATTATTTTCGGTTGCGGGGGTCAATTATAATCAGTTTTGGTCATTATACATATTTTCGAAATCCTACTGACTTTCGAGAAAAAAATTCCAAAAGGTATGGGCGATTTTGGGCGAAATTGAAAAGTATCAATCGTCTTGGAAAAATTATTTTCGGTTGTGGGGGGGCAATTACAATCATTTTTGTTGAATAGACATGCCCCCGAAATCCTGCGCATTTTCGAGAAAAAAATTCAGTAAGGGCGGAACTTGAAACGTTAATAACTTTTTAACGAAGCTTCCATCAACAAATTGATATTCTTTATTTTCGTCTTATTTTGGCCTCTAGAATCCCCCCTTAAAATTTTTCCCAGGGGTGGTTGAGCACACTGTATAATTAAATTACAAATTTCAATCGTTGCTTTATTATTATTTATGTCGATCGCGATTAATAGTCGATGGTCGATGATCGATAGTAAACGCAATTAAATTGTACCTAACGCTATTCGTCCACCTATGATAAAAATTTTAATGGGAGATTTTTGACGCCAAAATAAGACGAAAATCAAGAATACTAATTTGTTGATCGAGGCTTCCTTAAAAAGTTATTAACGTTTAAAGTTCCGCCTGTGGAATGGCAATCTGAGAACAGCTGCGTACACGCGACAGTGGTCCTCACTCAGCATGAGAAAGTCTACTGACGTATCAGCAGCCTTGAAATTTTATGAGTGAGAACCACTGTCGTGCGCGCGCAGCTGCTCGCTGGTTGCCGTTCCACAGACGAAACTTTACACGTTAATAACTTTTTAACAAAGCCTCCATCAACAAATTGGTATTCTTGATTTTCATCTTATTTTGGTCTCTAGAATCTCCCATTAAAATTTATCTCGGATACGACCGAACACCCTGTATAATTATTGTTTATTTTAACAGTAGACCTACCGACAATTATAGTGTGTTTATTTGTACCAAAGAAATTGAAACGATAGATGAAGAAATATATAATGCAATGGAAATAAGCGTTTATATATTCTCTTACAGAAAATTACGATTTTTCAAAAATTCAGTCCAACAAATTTTTTATAAGTTTTATTAGAAATTACGAATAGGCCATTTTGACTGCTTTGGTAGTTCTAGTGTTAAAAGTCAACAGACACACACAATATAAATATATTGACGAATGAAAACTGTTTGACAGGGCAAAGGCAAGAGGTAGGCATGTCCTTCACTCGACATCCTCAACCTTTGGATGCACCACTGGGCGACGACGTGAATTTCGAGTGCAACCTGAATCTCGCCGCGGAACGGTTCTCGTGGCGCCATAGGCCGTTAGGTTCGGACAAGTGGCTGCCGGTGTCCCATACGCCCAGCAACAGTGGCAAAACCTCTCGTCACGTGGTGAACTTCGACGACAAGTCGAAAGCCGGTGACTACCGGTGCATAGCTTTCTACGGTGAGGATTTCGTTTCTGTGTCCTCTTCTTCTTCTTCTACTTTTTTTTCGGTGCGATACTGGCACTATCGGCTTCGTAGCAACACCATTCATCTTCTATTTTTAATTTTTAAATTCTCTATTTTCTTCTTCTACTTGTCTTCTACCTGTTTCCTGTTCCTTACTCCAGTTATTCCCCATTCTTTCTACTCTTTTAACTTCTTCTCCTCCCCCTCGTCATCTCCTTTTCCCCTTCTTAACTCTCCCACAACCCTAACCTCACCTTCAGCCGACGCTTACAACTAAAATTAAAGTTAACCTTAACCTTAACCTATTACAAAAGACAATAAAACTAAAATAACACTACTTAATTACTAAATATCCCCCATTAGGAACACGTTTGTGTGTCGTAGCTTTTGTTTGCAATACGAGGAACTAATCTGTAATTCGTGTCTTTGCTCAGGTACCAGCGGTTTGGCCTCCGATCCGGCACGATTGACGCTCGCCACGCTGCAGAAGTTCGTCGACAAGACGGACGTTGTCATAAACGTGGCGGCCGGTAACACGGTGCCCGTTACGTGTCCCGTGCCGTACTCCGCCCCGGAGGCCATAGTACAATTCTACAAAGACAACAATCTCGTGCAGAACGTGAACGGGAAGACCATGGTGATCGAGAACGCGAGGATTCACGACAGCGGAACGTATCATTGCACCGCCAGCAATTACATAACCAATCAGATATTCACCAGCAATCATAAGACCGTGCTGAACGTGCATACAAATATGAAATTCCAGGCGCCGTACTTCATCAAACAGCCGCAGACGGAATACAAAGTTCTCAGGGACAAAAACGTGACGTTGGAGTGCTTTGGCGCTGGCTACCCGGTGCCAAACGTCACGTGGAGCAGGCTGGGTAGCCCGTTGCCGTCCAATTCGGTGAAAACCGCGACTGGCCTGACGATCAACAACGTACAGCCGTCGGACAGGGGCGAGTACGACTGCATGTGGACCAACAACGGTGTGCACATCAAATCCGTGATCATATTGAAAGTAATGGAAGCACCGAAGGTGATCAAGTCGCCAAAGGCGTCCACGTTCTCGGAGGGCGGGGAATTGGAGCTCTCTTGCACGGTGACCGGCGAACCGGAACCGAGGGTCGAGTGGTTGATTAACGGGGAGTCTTTGGTGCCCAGCGACAGCCTGGAGATCAAAGGTTTCAAGCTGTTCATCTCCGAGGTCGAGAAAAGACACGCGGGTGTCGTGCAATGCGTCGCCAGCAACGAGTACGGCTTCGACTCCGGCTACAATTTGCTGAAAGTAAATCCCAAGCAACACATGGGTACGACCGAGTCGCGACCGGACTACGGGATCTCCAATTCAAGGCACAAGCACACCAGAGGTGGAGGAAGGAGACGGAGCAAAGAGGGCAAACGAAAAGGCACTGGTAATTTAATTATCAGTAAACAAATTTATCGAGCAAGTTAAACGAACGACCAAAGAACAATGCGTTCGCCTAAAGTTAACCCTCGGTCATCGATTCAGCCGAGTAAAATGAGTCGTACTACTTTTAATCGACAATGATTGTCAACATCAGCTTCACGAGCGCTACATGCGCGAGCTGCGTCGTACCCAGGCTTTCGCCTATACCGACGGGACTTTTAATCGACACTAATATACATACGTTAATGTTAATACAATGACTGCTCGTAATTAATTCTGAAACGTGTCTTGCATTTTCAGCAGTGCTGGTGCCGCCGACTCAGCCCAGCGTCACCAGACTGACGGACGTATCGGTGATGGTCAGATGGACGGTCCCGGAGAACACCGGTTTGCCGATCGAGTTTTTCAAAGTCCAGTACCGGGAGCTCGGTCAGAAGCTGAACGGGAAACAGGCGAAATGGATGACCGCGAATTCGGAAATACCGCAGCACGTGCGGTCGTTCGAGGTCACCGATCTGCAGCCCGGTCACACGTATCGGTTCCGTATCGCGGCGGTGTACAAGAACAACGACAACAAACCGAGCCCGAACTCCGAGAGGTTTCACCTGAACAGAGACAAAGGCACCGACCGCAAGAAGATGCCGATACCGTTGCTGACCAACACGGAAGCATTGGGCCCGCAAGAGGTGTTGCTCATCTGGCAGAATCCGGATAGCATGGCGAACATAGACGGTTTTTACGTGTACCATCGGGCCTCCTCGTCCGCGGGGGACTACGTGAAAACCACCGTCGAAGGGAAGAACTCCTTCAACATAACCATATCCCATTTGCACCCGGACACGACGTACGAGTTCAAGGTACAGAGCTTCTCGGTGGACGCCGCCTCGGAGTTCTCGCAGATACTATGCCAGAAAACGAAGAAGCTGGTGATCGAGCACAACGATCACGAGAGCCGCAAGGATCACGGTAGCAATATAACGCTGGACAGCCGTGTCGGGCCGGCGGACGATCGGAACGCGAACATGTACGCGATAATCGGCGGCGTTCTTGGCGGATCGACGTTGCTGGGTGGTTTGATAGTTGTCGCGGTTGTCTATAAAAGGACCAAACGCAAACAGAGCCGGGAATCCTCACAGAGCGAAGGTGATTATAGTTTGTAACGGCAAAGTACAGCGGAACTTGGAATACTTTGATGGTTCTAGCGCTTTGCTGTTTCAACGTTCTATTGATAGAAGGTACAAAATGGAGATTTTTAAGAGATTCGCGAATTTATTAAAATCTAATGGCTGAAACTTAGTATATACCTATATTGCCCAAAAGCAGTAAAAATGACTCCCTTGGGCAATCTAGTGTTAACGTATTTTTCTTGTTCGACAGGCAAACCGATAACAAACGGAAGAGTTATGAACGGTGGTGTCACCGACTCGAAAATAAACATAACCTCGAACCCGCTCGCTGGTCTCGATACGTCCGAAGATATAATACAGCCTAAGGTCGGTATTTGTAAGTAGCAATATCAATACTTTCGCTCTGTTTCGGTGGAAAAGAATGACCGTATTGATTTCGAGGATTGACATATCGCGTCGACGGCGCAGTGTTCTTTCGCATTCGAGACAGACAAAAAATTTCCATCTATGGTCATTCAATTTTCCCCTTGAAACAGTGATTTCCAGACATTGTGGAAGGCGTCCCTCTACCCCTTAAAAAAACAAATAACTATTATTTAGTTATTATCACTTGTATAATAGCAAGTTTTTAACAAGATATAATAATTAAATATGCAACAAAAAAAAGTAATTTACGGTCATCTGGTAGCTGGCTTAAAGTCGTGTAAATTTCTCTTATCGAACTTATGTTTTAACAGTTGTCAAACTTTGATGATCGTTGCACCGATCGAAAGAAACGTTTAAATTATTCAAAAATCTTCTTTTGCATCTCTTGGATCTCAAGATCCCTCCCCCTGGGGGGAATGGCGCCAACCACTTGGGGAAAACACTGTCCTAAGGAGGTATTCTAGTCTAAACATGGAAAAAAAAGGACATTTTTGGAATTTAATAAACTAAAAATTACTCGAGACACTAGTTTTACACTTTGCACCGTTATTTATACTTGCCAAGTTACGTAAATTTTTTTCATACAAAAATACATGATACTTTTTAACGAACCAAATCCAAAAAACGAAAGAAATTGTTTAACTACGCGAGTGTGTCTTTTTTCATATTTTTAAGGTCCGAAAGTGTCAGTCTAGAATGCCCCCTTAAAGTCAAAAGTGCACCAGGCGAACGTAAACGCAATCTTAATCGCATACGTGGTCACTTTGTACGCCTACGATGTTTGTACCGCTCGAACATTCGTATAACGCTCTGTCTGTGTGTGTGCGCGCGTGTGCGTGTGCGTGTGCGTGTGCGTGTTCTAATGGGTTGCAACTTTGGAGTTCGACCTTCGTCCAACGATAAAGTCCATCAATTTGTTGATGGAGACTTCGTTAAAAAGTTATTAACAATTAAATTCAAAAATTTCAAATCGTTTTGAAAAAATTATTTTCTGTTGCGGGGGTCAATTACAATCATTTTTGGTCATTACACATACCCCCGAAATCCTACGCACTTTTGAGAAAAAAATTCTTTTCCGAAAATATAATATGAGGTTAGAAATATTGACCTGAAATTGGACGCACAGGAACTTTAAACGTTAATAACTTGTTAACGAAGCCTCCATCGACAAATTGGTATTCTTGATTTTCGTCTTATTTTGGTCTCTAGAATCTCCCATTAAAATTTTTCCCAGAGGTGGCCGAACACCCTGTATAATAATTCAAGGTCAATTTTTGCAAATTTGTCAATTTCACGTTTTTATCAAATTTAAAAAGCTTCCAGAAAGAAGATAATCATTTAAAAAATGTACCTCGATCGAAAAACTTGACCAAATTTCAATTGTTTTCAATTACACGTAAAAAAATAACCATCTTTGATGAATGGTTGAACTCCAACGGATACAACCATTACGCCTCGAAATCTACTTGAAAGCGACTTCCATTTTTTTTTTATTTTTCTACGCACTATCCCGCACGCGACTGCATCTGCGTATTTTACATTCGACTAACGTGTTTCTGCTTTCAGACTATTCGATATTAAGGAGACTAGTCTTTTCTAGCTTTAGCGTTGGTCGCGTGTGCTGCTCTTTAATTCTACTCGCTCTCTGCACTTCTCTCTGGAGCCGCTTTTCTTTCGTTTTTTCCGTACACCACACACGTACGTTACCCCTCCACCAACACGCTCACTGAGCCGATCTGAAAGAAGCGAACGAACACGCATGTTTCTAAACAGAGCGGGCAGCAACAATCGCCGATGGAAATGGCCTCGTTTCTAAACGGCCAAAACAACAACAGCAACAACCATAACAACAGCGACACAGCTGGAACCGACGTGAACACGTCGTACACTGAGCCCCCTCTGCTCCAGGGATCACTGCCTATCGAACAACCTCTGTGAACGACATCTAGAAATTCTCGAAACCGTTGTCGTGCCAAGTGGCGTAACTAGCAATTATTGTTCAAACTTTCGAGTCTACGCATCGTTTAAGTTTGGTCATTTTAAAAATTTTATTAGAGACACATTTTCTCTGTTTAAGAAATCTTTTGATTACTTGCTTCGATCAGGAAATAATACTGTAATAATACTGCGAGGAAACGATTCGGTAAGAATTAACTTTATCGATGTAGTTTTCGACATATTATAATTTGTTTCGAAGTTGGGGGCCGTCGTGCTTGGCACATGCTGCGCCCTCTACCTTAGATACGCCACTGGACATGTTGGGATACGCGTGAATGTCGCATCAGAGCGTAACGGACTGTTACTAACAGTTTCTTGTTGTATTCCAGGGCTGCTCCTTCCCCTACCGCTTAACTGCTCCCACCACGTCCAGATGGCTCACCGGTATCTATATACAGGGTGACGCAATTGGGAAAAGCCATATCTCTAATACGGTTAGAGACAAAAAAGAAAATGTCATCAAGCAAAATTAAACGTGACTCTATAATTGTTAATCCCTCGCAAGAAAGTATTAAGATGTATATATGGTACAGAGATATTTTTTGTATTTCCCAACCGTTTTAGAGATATAGTTTCTCACAATTACCTGGGGACATCCTGTATATAAGATCCCCAGTCACTGAAGGGAACTGCTAGATCAGTAGTTGGGAGCAGTACAGCGGGGAATAAGTTCCAGCAGCCCTGTTGTATGTATTGGAAGGAAGCGACAAAAGATGCACGAACACGTCGCTTCAACGATGGCTTTCTTAGTGAGATTTATAACTTTTACTTCTAGATATTTAGTCACCCCTAAGTTATCGCACCGAACAAACTGTTACAAGACATTTTGCAGGTTGTCGTAATAGGTATGCTCAAATATTTCAATTAATTACTAGACGCGTGTTCGATCGACGAATGTACCCGACGCATTCATTTCCAGATATTCGCACGCGATAATTTATTAACCCTTTCTGTCCCGAATCGATTTGGATAATGAAGGTATACTTCCGCTAGGGGGCATTTCCGCAGTTCGTGAAACGCATTTATTTGGAAAGAGACAATTTTATGGCGGACATAAGAAACTTGTTGTTTTAAAATATTGCAGATATTGTTTTTCTCTATTTTGATACGAATAGAAACTAAATATAAAGTCGATAAAAGTAATTACGTAGTATTATAGTAATGCATAGTTTCTGCAATATGTCCCCCTTAATATTTCATATATCGAGTCGATTGAAAATAGTCTGATTTGTGTCGTGTTTGGTGTCATTTTAATCAGAAGAATCTGAAGAATGCATTAGTACCATTTTTACCATATTCTCTCTTTTCAAACAATGTCCAGATTTACTGTCAAGTTCCAAATCTTGTGGTACTACTATCTGAAGTACTAAAGACAGTGGCGCTGTGGAACGGCCATGACAGAAAGGGTTAAAGTTGAGGTTAGAGTAGGGAATTGATGTTCGACCGCAAAGTGGGTACTTGAAATTTTTAATGTACCTGCTCGACGAATCATTTTCTTCAATCTTTGCGACTGTGCCCACTTTATGGTCGACGATGATCGACGACTCGGACGCAAGCTTTTTAGACACGCGTAGAAAATTGTTGCGAAATCGTTGCGAGCTTATAACCATAACGGTTTGTTTTTCTTTTGTGACGTGTTTTACCTTTATCATCGCATACGCGCAGATTTTGTATTGATTTTACACCAGGCAGCTTTTAAAGTTACTCTACGTTTCCTAACTTATATTAACTGTCGTCCATTATTTTTATTTTCTTCTTTTTTTGTAAATACGCGAGAATTATCAGTAGTTACGTCGGTTTAAGACGCGAATGAAATTGTGCCTGATGAACAAAAAAAAAAAAAGGGGGAAGAAAGATAGCTGTGCAACGTGATTTAATATAAAACGCACGTGTTTTATGTTATCCATGATATTGAAACTTTTGGATATTATTGGATCGTCGATTCGACATTATTCTTGCTAAATAGAACGTACAAACAAAGGGTACGTGTCCATTGTTTACTCGGTCCATTGTCGTCGTCGCAATCGGCAGCTACGATCTTGATGAAATCACTATTGCATTAGAACTAATCTTAGAATTTCGCGAATCGCGGTATAGAATAATAGAATTAATTGAATCGTACGTTGATAACAGTATTTGTTATGTAATATCACGAAGTTAACTTGTAACGACAGTATTTTTTCTAACTTCGAGTTAGATGCAATAAGTTTTATTTTTTTTAGTGATCGATATTGTATTCCTGACGGTAATCAAGCTTTATCATGGATCATGCGTAAAAAAATCCGAGAAACGAATGAAAGTCCTATGATTTGTTAGTCGGAATTTCGATATCAGATGACGAGACAACGAACAAGTTTGTAAATAAGTATTTGTACAATTTTTCGACGCCACGTCATTTTATATATATACGTATTTTTAACGTAAAGTTAATTATTTAAATCTTTTGTACTTTCTGAAAGCAGTTACAGCTATCTGCAAGCGTGGAAAGAACAATTTATGAACGAAAGAGGGAATAAATTTTGTATATATTAGGATGGGTCGAATTTTAAGCAGGAGCATATGTGCCTTACATCTTGCCTATACAAAAGAATGTTAAGATTAATTATTTATATATACCTATACATGTATATTGACATTTTATGTACTTAATAATAAACTACAGAAAACACTATCCTTACCAAAATGTTACGATGCATTTGCTACGTATACAGGGTGTTCGGTCATCCCTGGGAAAAATTTTAATGGGAGATTCCAGAGGCCAAAATACGACGAAAATCAAGAATACCAATTTGTTGATGGAGGCTTCGTTAAAAAGTTATTAACAATTAAATTCAAAAGTTTCAAATCGTTTTGGAAAAATTATTTTCTGTTGCAGGAGTCAATTATAATTATTTTTTATTATTAGGCATACCCTCGAAATCTTATCCACTTTCTAGAAAAAAATTCCAGAAGGTATGAAATTTTTCGAAGGCGAAAAAAAATTTCAAATCGTTTTGGAAAAATTATTTTCAGTTGCAGGGGTCAATTATAATCATTTTTGATTATTAGGCATACCCTCGAAATCTTTTCCATTTTCTAGAAAAAAATTCCAGAAGGTATGAAATTTTTCGAAGGCGAAAAAAAATTTCAAATCGTTTTGGAAAAATTATTTTCAGTTGCAGGGGTCAATTATAATCATTTTTGATTATTAGGCATACCCTCGAAATCTTATCCAGTTTCAAGAAAAAAATTCCAGAAGGTATGAAATTTTTCGAAGGAGAAAGAAAGTTTCAAATCGTTTTGGAAAAATTATTTTCAGTTGCAGGGATCAATTATAATCATTTTTTATCATTAGACATACCCTCGAAATCCTACCCACTTTCTAGAAAAAAATTCCAGAAGGTGTGAAATTTCTCGATGGAAAAAAGAAATTTCAAATCGTTTTGAAAAAATTATTTTCACTTGCAGGAGTCAATTATAATCATTTTTTATTATTAGGCATACCATCGAAATCCTACCCACTTTCTAGAAAAAAATTGTTGAAGGTGTGAAATTTCTCGATGGAAAAAAAAATTTCAAATCGTTTTGGAAAAATTATTTTCAGTTGCAGGGGTCAATTACAATTATTTTTGGTCATTACACATACCCCCGAATTTCTACGCATTTTCGAGAAAAAAATTCAGTACGAGCGGAAATTTAAACGTTAATAACTTTTTAACAAAGTCTCCATGAACAAATTGATATTCTTAATTTTCGTCTTATTTTGGCCTCTGGAATTCCCTGGGTTGACCGAACACCCTGTATAAACATAAATTTTTAAAGCATACCATAATTTTATGACACTAATAACTAATGAATATTTATTATATTATCTTCGTTACATCAAATGTTGTCATAACACTGACAAAAGAATGATATAAATAATTCTATTAACATCATTGGAAGGCTTAAAAATGTTTCAAAAGAAAGTAGACAATGCCAATCCAGAGATGGGAACTCTGCGCCAATCTTAAAAGCAAATATACATTCTAGACACGTTTACCAAATTAATGTCGCTAGTCGCGAAAATGTCGCTAGTATAAAGGAAACGTACTTAATTCGCTCTTCTGATTGGACGAATTGTCACTGAAATCATGGCGGAGTAATGGGAAACCTCAAAAATGGGATTGAGCTTATTTTTTTTAACAAAAATTTCCGGTGACTTTTACACGTGCCAAAGTTTAATTCGTATACGTTAAAACGTATGGCTAGAGTTTCATGAATTTTCAGCGAATTCGAAAATTTTACTTTTGATCGCGTTTTTGGGAGTTCGGCCCATTGTACGATGGTTTTAAAACGCTACGCGTCGTGTGCATTTTGAATTGATCGCAACGCGAACGAGATTTTAAGCGTAGTCGATTGCCGCGACGAAGTCGATTATCGAATATGCGTCGTATGAAATATCGATACCAATTAACAAGGAAGTGGTGATAATATACCGCTAGTGGACCGCTAAATTGTTGAGGTTGATTTTCTGTATCATCGAACGTGACATCGTTTTGTACGGGTAGGCGCGTTCGCGATCCATCAGTATTCGTCGTTATAATGAATGCCAGCAAGATTTGAACGCGTTTGTCGCGGCACCCGTGCCATAATGTCGCCGAACGATACAACCGAGGACAGCACCAGAATACATTTTTCTGCCTTGCTCGAAAGGCAGTGACCCACCTTGACAAAATTCCATTCGTTACCGATTTAATACGCTGAATAATGGAGAACCATACTACGCAGGATAATACGATCAACATGAACGGAAGTGGTACGTTCGAGCCGTTAGCGCTTTCGCAAAATTTTATTCTTGACATCGTATCGGTCACACGCTTATCGTTATTAATTTCGTGAAATCCCGGTCGGACGAGTCGTGTTTCTCGCGTCCCGTTTCTCGGCAATTTATTATCCGTTACGTTTGCACACCGACGATTTTACTAACGGAGTGTTCGTTACGATTCAGAGGATTTGCAGGAAAAAGTAACTAGACTGGAATCGGAGAACGCGAAAATGCGAGAGGAATTTAACATACAGAGAGCCAAGTTGAAAGAACTGTTCCTTCAGAAAGAAGGTAAACTCAATTAATACAGATAAACGTAGTGAAACGCACGCGATAGATGTCCAAAGTATAATCGTATTGTTGTTTGGCTATTTATCAAGTTTATTTGCAGAAGAATTGAAGAGACGGTTACAAGATAACACGTGTTTGCAAGAGGAAAACACAAGACTGAAAAACGAATTGGACGAAGCTAAAAGTCAAGCGGTGGTTGCCGATCTTAAAATAGAAAACGACATACTTATAGAGAAAAGAAAAGCTCAAGAGGAGATAGCGTCCTTGCAACGCGTTATACACGAAACCGTGGAGGAGTCTTCGTGCTCTCGCAAACGACTAGACGCCGAAATAAACGGATTGAAGGCCACGCTTTCCAAGTTGCAAGAGGAGAACGCGTTACTGAAGTCCCAGTTGCCTCGTGACCCACCTGTAGATAGCCCGCAGATATCGTTGTCCACCGTAACAAAAACGATAGCTCGAAAAGTAGTTAAGCAAATAGGCGCCGACGCTTTGTCTTTAGGTCCTGACAATCTCGAAGAAAGCATGAGGAAGGTAAAAAGATATGTACGTAAGCTTAAAGATCCATGATTTTTGAACTTTTCTGCAATGAGTTTATATAGAGTGGCACTGCATTTCAGAAACTGTTCACAAATCATTTTAAACATCATCGAGAGGTGTTTATTTTATCGGTTTTTTTTTTTCTTTTTTCCTATCGATTTCACCGTAGGTGTGCAAATATTAGAAAGTGTTGCTTTATAGGCACAGGAGGACGCGGAAGTTTTACGTTCGTTGGTAGTGCCGCTCGAAGAAGAGATAAAAGCCTTAAAAGAGAAACTGAGAGCGACGGACGACGAGTTACAGAAGTGTAAAGAGGCACAGTCGCTGAGAAAACAACGGGAATCCGGTTCCTTTGAACCCATGTGCGATATGTGCGCGAATTACGAGGCGCAATTAGTCAAGATGCAAGCGAACGCTAAAGATATGGAGAAACAGCTGTCCGACTCGGAACGGATGCTGCAAGCGCAAAAAGACGATTTAGCTAAGGAGGTGGAATTTCGTAAAGAAATGGAAGAGAAATGGAACGAGAAGAAAGAGGAGCATAAAATCAAAGTGGCCGAGCTCACTGTCATGTCGCAAACGGTGCAACAGACGTTGACAGACCTGAAAAAAACGTTTGAACACGTTCAGAGAAATGTAAAAGACGAACTTGTAATACTGACGCGAGGCCGTGAAGAAGTGCAGAGGCACCTTGTCGCGTAAGAAAATTTCTAATGATAATTACGAGTTATTTAATTTAATTCTCACCTTACCGAGTATTTAAATGTAGATGAAAGTAAAAGCACAATTTTACCGAGGCGTTTCCTGGCAAAATTTTATTGAAAATCTAGTTGAATCTTTGCAGACTGCAAAAGGAAAATGAGAATCTAGTTGGTAAGCATAGCAAACATTCTCAGCAACTGCAGAGCGAGAGCATCAATATGCCGAATAATGTCGAGGAGTTGCACGTTAGTCTTTTGAAAATGCGCGAGGATTTGATCACCGCTAAAGTTGCTCAAGAAGTGGCGCAAGAGAAGGAGGAGACGTTGCGATACGAAGTGACCTTGCTTCAAGAACAAATGGAACAGGAGAGCAGAGTGAAAAAACAAGAAGCACTGGCATTGAAGAACGAAATTAGCGGACTTAGGTAATAACGTTTGTTCAAAAGGTGGACTTCTGCTCCTATCGTTATTTTATAAACCAACTCGTGTGGTCGTGTGACGTATATCGTGTACGATTCAATGTCTAATAGACGTTAGAACGACTGATAGTAGAGGTCTCGAGGCTATAGGTCAGGACATATAAACAGTCACTGAAAATTATATTACGTATGTGATTCTGTACAAAGGATTGTAAGAAAAATTTTACTCGTATATCATTCGACGCTTATAACCTTTTTATAAAGCATTTACGAACATAAGTTCATAGGAACTATCTCATCTAATCGGCTTCGTTAACATGTAGTATTCGCTTACATTTATAACATGTAAGAAATATAGAGTGTATTCGGCCAACCCTGGGAAAAATTTCAATGGGGTATTCTAGAGACCAAAATACGACGAAAATCAAGAATACCAGTTTGTTGATAGAGGCTTCGTTAAAAAGTTATTAACGAAGCCTCCACCCTTTAAAGTTCCACCTGTACTGAATTTTTTTCTCGAAAATGCGCAGGATTTCGAGGGTACGCCTATTCACCAAAAATAATTGTAATTGACTCCCGCAATCGAAAATAATTTTTTTAGAACGATTCGAAATTTTTTTTTTCGTCGAAAAATTTAGGTAATTAGATTTTCGGTAAGGAATTTTTTTTCTCAAAAGTGCCTAGGATTTCGGAGGTATGTGTAATGACCAAAAATGATTGTAATCGACCCTTGCAACCAAAAATAATTTTTTTGAAACGATTTGAAACTTTTTAATTTTGTCGAAAAATTTCACACATTCTCAATTTTTTTTCTAGAAAGTGGGTAGGATTTCGAGGGTATGTCTAACGATAAAAAATGATTGTAATTGATCCCCGCAACCGAAAATAATTTTTCCAGAACGATTTGAAATGTTTAATTTAAATGTTAATAACTTTTTATCGAAGCCTCGGTCAAAAAATTGATATTCTTGACTTTCGTCTTATTTTGGCCTCTAGAATCTCCCAGATGTGGCCGAATACCCTGTATATGCTAGATCGAAGTATTTTATAATTATTTTTTTAATTCCAACGGGCAATAATTTTCAGGACACAATTGGATAAATATATACGAGATCATCGATCGCTCGCCGAGAGGGAGGAGAAGCTCGATCGTTTGGAGAAACAGTTGGACGTAGTTTTGAAAGAAAATAAAGAGGCTGAATTGAAAGTGGCCGAATTACGACAAAGAGTTACCAGTCTTCAGCAAGAACTGGACACCAGCGAAGCAGTTCAGAAAGACTTCGTCAGATTGTCGCAGTCGTTGCAGGTATGAAACAGTAACAAAGGCGTCGTGCGTTTGTTAGATTGGCGTAACGTTAACTCGAACTCTATAATTGGCGATAGGTACAATTAGAAAGAATTAGGCAAGCCGGCAGTGAAGTGAGATGGCAACACGAAGAAGATGTGGAGGAATGCCCTAGTTGCCATACTTCTTTCACGGTTACGAAGAAAAAGGTAATAGAGTAACAGAGGGTCAACTTTTACTAAAATTTGCACGGTTAACTTTAATCTCTTCCGACAGTTATAGCATACTTATTTGTACCAAAGGAACTAAAACAAGAGATACGCGAAGAAACGTATAATGCAATGGAAATAAGTGTTTATTCATACTCTTGTAGAAAACTGTGGTAATTTTCAAAAATTCGGTCGAGTAAATCAGTTTTATTAGAAATTACGAATAGGCCATTTTGACTGCTTTGGTAGTTCTAGCGTTAATCGATTCTCGAAAGAAGCAAGACACAATGAACAAAAAGATTCCGTAAGAAGGTTAATAATCATTGTCGATAAGAACAATTTTCTCTTTTTTTTTTAAACGGTACCAATACATTTTTGGGAGTTTTCCGATTAAAACGAATCCAAACCAGCGATGGACATTCGTGGGAATTTTGGTCATGCGCACTGGAGCCTAATACACTTAACTAGAATTTAGGGTACTGTTGGATCCCAGTAAGGAACAAAGTTTAAGGAAGTTAGACAAAAACAAAAAATTTCCTCGTGATCTACATGAGTATAGCTAGAGAAATGCGTAGGGGATCTTGGATAAGTTAATTTTTGTGTGATTGGCGAGCATTTGAAGGGGAAAGTTCAATTTCGTCAAATATGCACCTCTTTTTGCGTTAACGATGCATCTATGGTAGAAAGCCAACGCATGCACAAAAAGGAATCCCGCGAGGGAAAATTCTAGTTCGCATGTCCAAAATTCCCACGAATGTCCATCGCTGATCCAAACACCGCGTAAATCAGATTACTTTTGATTGCCGTTAAAATCTTACGAAGGTTAACCGTGCATCGCAGTATTTATCTATAAAACGTATGTTTGCCATTTGTGCAAGTTGACGATGACTAATGTGTATTTGACTAGGTGCATTGTCGTCATTGTGGCCATATATTTTGCCAGTCCTGCCTTTCGCACGTCGTGAAAAGTGGACCGAAACAAAGACCATCCAGAGTCTGTGATGTTTGCCATACTTTATTGGTGCAAGATACAGCGCCATATTTTAGCCAAGAACCACCACACACACCTGATTAATATTCTAACGCAAAGCCAGTCCAACAAGATGTGCAATATCGATTTGGTAATTTGCCGCAGTTAACGAACTCTTCGCGGACCGTCGTGCTCGACGATACGATTTTTAATTAATCGAGAAATCGTTTTTTCGATCACTTTACAGGAGGATGTAGAGATGCTACTAGCGCGGAAAGGGGGGCTAGATAAAATTCCTATTACCTGACAACTGGAGTGATAAGATAAATATCGTGTAAATACGAATTATGTACTACTTAATGTTTATTGTAATTTAAAAGATTAAAGCTTTTGAATGTATGTGAGTTATCCAAAAATTTATGAATATTTATCTACTATCTTGTTATCAACGTTATTAAAAATAAGCCTCGCGCAGAACAGGTATGTTTAGAGGTTTCATTCATTGCCATAACTTTTAATTTTTAATTTAGGATTTCGAATTTACGAGCGTCGGTTAGATTTGTTTTAAACTTGTTGCACCAATGTCGCAGCACTTAACAAAAGTGGAATTTTGTTGTTTCTTTATTTTTCAAAGCAACACAGATCTTTACATACTCCCGTCGCATCATATAATTCATCTAATTCAATTAGACGAATTTAGTTCTAAACTCAATATTTATTACAATGTTTACATAGGAACAAAATGTTCAACAAAATATAACATTACATATCACATTCGTCATTTCGATAAGGTTTGCGAGTGAAAAGTGTAGATAAATATAATTGGTTTAGTACACAGCTATCTAACGAAAGAAAAATTAAGAGTAGCATTTTCAAACGCGATTATTTTTTTTTGTTCGATATCTTAAATCGATTAAGAAATAATACATAATGACGATAATAATGCACATACGTACATATAAATGACAGTAAATGTGTATTCGCATGTAATATAAGATAGCTGCTTGTTTTCGCGTAGTATAATCTTTTTTTCAACATAATTCTACGTTTTGGAAATCGATGTTCGCTACGAATTATCCTTGACGCGTCGCTCTATTAAATATCCAAAAACTCTATGAACAGTTCTCCTTACATATTCACCGATCAAAACAAAACTAATTATTATGCGTATAATGAAAATCGTTATCGTCGGTGTTTTTAACTTACCGTTAAGTTAGAAATCTCATTATCATACATTAATTACAAATCGTGTCCGTTTAATATACGTGTGTCGCAAATGCTGTCGATAATCGATTACAACGCATAAAACTATTGGGGGGGGATCTAAATTTACTTAATTTCGCTGCTAAAACTAATTGTAAAAGTAATTAACATGTACAAAAAACGTAGAGGTACAAAGTACAAACATGAAGAATTTCATGCGACTGACGACAAGTCTGAAATCCACGTGTGACGTGTATTGGCGATATAAAAATTTATCATATTATGTACATACAATTCAAAGAGCGTCGAGTAATCTTAATAACGGGTAGAGCCGAAAAATATATTATATATATATATATACACACAGGGTGTTCGGCCACACCTGGGAAAAATTTTAATGAGAGATTCTAGAGGCCAAAATCAAACGTAAATCAAGAATACTAATTTGTTGGAGGCTTCGTTAAAAAGTTATTAACAATCAAAATAAAAAATTTCAAATCGTTCTGGAAAAATTATTTTCGGTTACGAGGATCAATTACAAGCATTTTTGGTGAATAGACATATCCTCGAAATCCTACTGAGTTCCGAGAAAAAAATTCGAGGATATGAAATTTTTCGGCGAAAAAAAAATTTTCAAATCGTTCTGGAAAAATTATTTTCAGTTACGAGGATCAATTACAAGCATTTTTGGTGAATAGACATATCCTCGAAATCCTACTGAGTTTCGAGAAAAAAATTCCAAAAGGTATGAAATTTTTCGGCAAAAAAAAAATTTTCAAATCGTTCTGGAAAAATTATTTTCAGTTACGGGGGCCAATTATAATCAGTTTTGGTCTTTATGCATATCCTCGAAATCCTACCCATTTTCGAGAAAAAAATTCCAGAAGGTATGAAATTTTTCGGCGAAAAAAAAATTTTCAAATCATTCTGGAAAAATTATTTTCAGTTACGGGGGCCAATTATAATCAGTTTTGGTCTTTATGCATATCCTCGAAATCCTACCCACTTTCGAGAAAAAAATTCCAGAAGGTATGAAATTTTTCGACAGAAAAAAGAAATTTCAAATCGTTCTGGAAAAATTATTTTCAGTTACGGGGGTCAATTATAATCAGTTTTGGTCTTTATGCATGTTCTCGAAATCCTACCCACTTTCGAGAAAAAAATTCCAGAAGGTATGAAATTTTTCGACAGAAAAAAGAAATTTCAATTTGTTCTGGAAAAATTATTTTCAGTTACGGGGGTCAATTACAATTATTTTTGGTGAATAGACATACCCCCGAAACCCTACACACTTTAGAGAAAAAAATTCAGTACGGGCGGAACTTTAAACGTTAATAACTTTTTAACAAAGTCTCCATCAACAAACCGGTATTCTTGATTTTCGTCTTATTTTGGCCTCTGGAATCCCCTATTAAAATTTTTCCCCGGTGTGGCCGAACATCCTGTATATATATATGATTTACGAATTGCTAGTCGTATAAAGTAACTCGTGATTGCGTCTATACTTTGGCTCGAGTTACACCAACAAAATCGGAATCAGTATGAATCGATCGACGAGAATCAATGAATATCAACATTCGAGTGTAAGTTTACAAGTATACATTACATGGAAAAGAACTTATCGATTACGTCTTCGGTCGGCTGTGGTCGTCTTTCAAGGTCGATCGGGGGATCTTTGGACTGATGCTCGAATCTCAGTACTTTCCAATTATTCAACGCTGTCTCGTATTCCACTACTTTATCGTAATTGTCCAGTTTCGTATAAAGATGCAAGAGCCCTCGATAATCGTATTCTAAGCCACTGTAGCTTTTATTGAACAATTTTAAACCTAGTATGTACCAAAAATGTTATAGCAAAGTAAATATTGGAAGTCTGATATATAATTATCGAACCCGAAAAATATTCCGCCGGGGGTCGTTGCAATCCGTATATTGTACTTACTGATCGCGATGCTGCGATAATATAGCTTCTCGGCATCTCTGTATCGATTCATATGAAAATTGTATAACGATGCTAAATGTCCTACGCTTACACCAACTTCGTAATCGTCTGGCCCCAACACTTCTTCTTTAATTCGTATTGCTTTAATATGCATTTCTTCGGCAACCTGGAACAAACGACGAATAAAAACTAATTTTTATAGTACAAAAAAAATATTAAGATGCTCGATTCTCACTTTGGTAAAAACGAGCGTTTTCACATATTTTCTACGCACCTCGAATTTCCTCATACTCTGATACAAACGTCCCAAATTCCCGTAATGCTTCGCGGTTTGCACGTTTCTCTCGCCGTACGTTTTTTTCGCCAATTCCAAAGCAAAAATGTGAAGGTTCTCAGCCTCGACTAATAAATTATGCTCTGAAAACGGTATCGACGCAATGTTTAACGCTTCTTCTTCGAAAATCAATGCTTGCACTCTCCTTGCACTTGCTAACAACAAATGATCTCGATGTAATAGTTTGTCCATTATGACTGTGGCTTTCCCAGCATGATAACTGTTCGTACAACGTGGAATAAAACCGTATGACTTTTTCCAAAAATTAAGAGTGCACTGGCTTATACAGTCACTTACCTTGCCTGCGAGAATTTACCAGAATTGTATTCGTATACGTAGAGGGCGTAAGCTAGGCCCTCGTGAGCCAATGCGATGTGTAAATTTGTTTTGCCAAATATTGCTTTCCTAATGTCTAGTGCTTTCTATAAGGGAACGGAAAACGAATGTAAACAAGCGGCGAGGGACCATTACTCTGAATAACACCATGGCTGATCGAGATGAGTCTCGATGGGTGCCGTAAGGAGAGAAGGTAGACCCAAAATTTGAAATTTCAATTTCAGCGATTCGTGCGCGACGAAAGATTATTTTTATTAAAAGTTATAACTGTTATGGTTCTTCATAATCGATATGAACTCTCGAAAGGTTAAAATTTGAACGAACTACATTTACAAATTAATGAAACTTTAGTATAAATTTTCACCAAACCAAAAGGTGTAGAATCGCCCGAAAGTGAAATTTGACGTTTCTAGGTCCACTCTCTCCTCGTATCGTCCACCAAGTTTCATCTCGATCGGCCACACGCTACTTACTACACTTACTACACACTATAGAATGCCCTAACCTTGTACATAGTTACACTGTTGCCGATGTTATCGAAATTTAACAAATAAAATCCGTAATCTGTAAGAACGTTACTGTACACTGGATGATCCGTATCAAATACTTGTCTGGCGAGATACAGCGCTTGCCTGATCAACAGACTAGCTTTTTGAAATTCACGTTTCATTACGCACGACTTCGCAGCCTGTCTCAGAGCGTCGATAGTAACGCGCGCAGGCAGCGTGGGTTTCAATTGCTTCAACGCTGCTACGCTCCACCTAAGAAATGAATGATCGATCGATAAAAATTCGTTATTACTTTTCGAACATCGAATATACAAGTTTATACTAAAGTTCGCTAACGATCAAATTAACCTGTAATCCTGATTATATTCGCCTTTCATATAGTGGAGGAGGCTGAATTCAACGTACAATGCTGCATAGTTGTAGTCATTGAATTTTGCTTCTCTCAGTTTATTTACCATTTCCAAAGCGAGCAGTTGCGTGTCCGTCGCGTTTTCGAACGCGTAATATGCCGCCTGCACGTGCAACAGTCTATATATTTCGAAAAATTATTGTCAATTTAAACGTGGCACGTTCAGGTAGAAGCCAGACGTTGAAAGAGGAAATTTTTGTTTACCTACGACAGCACTCTAACGTTTGACACCAATTCTTCGGCGTGGTGTTATTCGCGAGGCACAATTGTCGACAGTCTAACAAGACCTGTTTGCTTTCCATATACCAGCCGGCGTCGCTCAAAAATTCACCGAGCCTTAAACCAAGATTTATCGTTTCCTCTTGAACGCCCGGATTTTCAGACCTGAACGTGCAAAGTAAGCAATATCTGATGGTCAACTCCTCTTCGATTCGTATTCCGTGATCTATGAGACCCTAGAAAATTAATTTTAATCGTAGTAAAAAAAAAATTAAAACAATAAAACTATCGACCGTGTTTTTCTTACTTGGAAACACTCTAATAAATTGACACGGCGGTTGGTCACCGTCATCATCTTGGAGAAAGTGTCCAGATTGCTGAGTTCCACTCCCAATAAACATAGTCTTTTTCCTTTGTACAACTGCAAAGTCAAGAAACCGAGGAATCATTTGGTTTACCAATTGTACGTACCAATAATTAACAATTGCCAATACAAGGAATGCAACCAGATACATTCTTTGATAGTATAATCGCGCTGCAGCGAGTTATCCAATTATGTAGATTCATTGACACATGTTTATGCTTTCATTTAACTTTAAATTTTATATAGAGTATTTTACACAGAGAGTATGTTATAGTTGGCTTTCTAAAGGGCCACAGTCTGGTAAATATTAACCCATTCGAGACCGACTGCACACTGTGTGCGCAACTGTTTTCCAAGGCTATAAGACCGGTTGCACACTGCGTGTGCAATCGGTCCTGTATGGGTTATTGAAAGGTAATTGTCTTCGCTCCTGGGGACCGTGTTCGAACAAAATCGCCATCTCAAATGGGTTAATGGTCAGAAATGGTGTTTCCCCTACCAATTTCATTTTTCTCCACGCATATCATACATTTATTAGTTTATCCTACAAGCAACGCTCTCATCTCATTTTACCAGAATTCTATTCAGAATTTATGAGCGGAAATAGGTAACAAATTCTGAACGTGCCAAGTTCGTCGATAAATCTTAAATGTCAAAACCAGTCGACCACACGTAAAATCGTTTAAACTAGGTAATAAAATAACAAGGCGAACTAACGAAATATTAAAAAACAATTGTAAAATATTGAAGTTATAATGCGTAGATTTTTTTTATGAAATGTACACAGAAAGTAATATGTCTTCATTATTACTCACCCAATTTTACTAAAATTTTGTCCGACCAAACTTATATACACGTATACGTTTATAGCGAAAGATTTATTTTAAAACCTCGGACCCCCATCAAGTAATTTCGACAAAATTCTTATAGGCATTAAGGATACGAATACTTATGGGACCGATCGTGTATAACCCACGAGTGTCTCGATTTAGGTTCACGTCACTTTCGAACGGGGTCTGGTCCAGCACGGAACAATAAAAGTCGGGGCCCTTTTTCCCCGCGAAATCGAACATGTTATCGTGCGATAATCGTTCAGTTTCTGTCCGTAACGGTTATCGTGCACACGAGTCGATCGAACGCGAGGGCATTCCGATCGAGAATTGAAAAACCAACGGAGATCGAGCGTATATCGTTGGAAGATCACGGACAAGGCAGAAATGTTTCAAATCTACGCGTATAGCCGTAGGAATCACTGGCAACTGCGTGCGTCTGGCGAGCTACGGCACGAAGGACGTTTTGACGTTTACCTGATAATAGAGATCGAACATCACGTTCTTCGGTAGATCGAAGAAACACTTCAAGTTCAGAAACTTGTCGATCGCGGACATGCTGACTATCGTGGACACGCTCAGCTCGTAGAGGGTTTTCGGTGAGAACAGCCATGGCTTGCTTTTTTCGGCCATTTTACCAGGGGGCCTCGATAATCACGAACGCGCAAACACAGCCGCAACAATTACTGTCACGTCTCTTCCTTCATGCGCATATGCTGCCGCGATGCTCCGCCATCCAACCATCAGCGACAACCCCCACTTTTCGGAACGAAGAGATGGTAAAAGTAAGCGTGCGACTAGCGCGCGAGATAAGAAAACCAATTTTTTTTATTTTTTGTTTTTTGTGTTCTCTTCCGGTTTTCCGTTTCTTCTCCACTTATTGTCGCGGGAAAAATTTTCCTCGAGAACGAAGTCGGTAACCGACGGCTCGAGGTAGCCTGCAACAATCGATGAAGAATATCGATTCGTTCGAGACGATTAGCGATTAGCGATCGCGAGCAACGAGAACCGTTTTAGTCGGTCCCGCGTTTTCCTCGTCTTTCGTTTTTCGCAATTCGAGTCGGACAAATGTGGTTTGAAAGCGAAGTCGGTAACGTAGATTCGACGTAATCTGCAACAATGTTAGTCAGAGTTCGGAATTAAAGAATATCGATTCGTTCGAAACGATTGCCGATCGCGAGCAACGGAAACCGTTCAGTCGCTGTTGCGTTTTGTGCACGAACGAGACAATAGCGGTTAGGACAATCACGTAATGTAAATATTTTCGAGCAACGCGTCTCGCGGATGGAATTTTTTAGGAGACTCGTCGGGAAACAATAGAAGCAATATAGTGACTCAAAGTGATATGCTCGTTCTGGAACACAGGACCGTGTTAAAAACCCTCGTATTTGTTGGACATTTTAGATGTACAGTGAAAAATAATTTTCATACGTGTACTTAAGAATGAAAAAGCAATATAGATTTTATTTTTATTCTGTTACTGAATCTATTAATAATTCGCAACATTTTCAATTTTTCTGCAGATTCCTTTAAGTTTCTGTTTGAGATACTTGAATATTTTATTTTGTTATTCAATATTTCCTGTTCCATTAGCCCCATAACACGACCTAACCCAGACCTAACCCAAAATGGATTCTCCAGAGTTCGAGCGTTGGAACCGTGCTTTTAACAGTCGTTTTGAACAGCAATTTATTTTTTACTGTTCGACGAGCTTTGAAAAACGTGTCGCTGGACTTCCGCTTCAATAACACTCGCATTCAAGCAATACAGACCCGCGTAATTCGAAAATTGTTACGTGCACGTTCGATTTAGTAACACCGAAATAAATGCACTATTTTTTTATTAAACACAATCAAATAGTTCATTCTATTTAAAGCTTTTTTTGCGAATTATCTGCCAATATGTCTATATAAAATATACTTTATGGTTTCACGCTTAAATATGCGTGTATAACTTAATCTTTCCGCGAGATGAACAAAGGTAACTTATCTTCGTACACTATTCAAAATAGTTACCCTGTATATCGATTACGAGATTCATATACAGTGTGCTCAACCACCCCTGGGAAAAATTTTAAGGGGGGATTCTAGAGGCCAAAATAAGACGAAAATAAAGAATATCAATTTGTTGATGGAAGCTTCGTTAAAAAGTTATTAACGTTTCAAGTTCCGCCATTACTGAATTTTTTTCTCGAAAATGCGCAGGATTTCGGGGGTATGTATAATGATCAAAAATGATTGTAATTGACCCCCGCAACCGAAAATAATTTTTCCAAGACGATTGAAGCTTTTCAATTTCGCCCAAAAATTTTATACCTTCTGGAATTTTTTTCTCGAAAGTCAGTAGGAATTTGAGGATATGTACAATGACCAAAACTGATTATAATTGAACCCGCAACCGAAAATAATTTTTTCAGATCGATTTGAAATTTTTTAATTTTGTCGAAAAATTGCATACATCCTCGAATTTTTATCTCGAAAGTCAGTAGGATTTCGAGGGCATGTCTATTCACAAAAAATGATTGTAATTGACCCCTGTAAATAAATATAATTTTTTTACTATGATTTGAAATTTTTTAATTTCGCCCAAAAATTCCATACCTACTGGAATTTTTTTCTCGAAAATGCGGAGGATTTCGAGGGTATGTCTATTCACCAAAAATGATTGTAATTGATCGTTCTAACCAAAAATAATTTTTCCAGAATGATTTGAAATTTTTCATTTTTTCAAAAAATTTCACACCTTCTCGAATTTTTTTCTCGAAAATGCGTAGGATTTCGAGGGTATGTCTATTCACCAAAAATGATTGTAATTGATCGTTCTAACCAAAAATAATTTTTCCAGAATGATTTGAAATTTTTCATTTTTTCAAAAAATTTCACACCTTCTCGAATTTTTTTCTCGAAAATGCGTAGGATTTCGAGGGTATGTCTATTCACCAAAAATGATTGTAATTGATCATTCCAACCAAAAATAATTTTTCCAGAATGATTTGAAATTTTTCATTTTTTCAACAAATTTCACATCTTCCCGAATTTTTTTCTCAAAAACGCGCAAGATTTCGGGGTTATGTCTGTTCACCAAAAATGATTGTAATTGATCGTTCCAACCAAAAATAATTTTTCCAGAATGATTTGAAACTTTTCAGTTTCGCCCAAAAATTTCAGCACCTACTCGAATTTTTTTCTCGAAAATGCGGAGGATTTCGAGGGTATGACTATTCATAAAAAATGATTGTAATTGACCCCCGTAACCAAAAATAATTTTTCCAGAACGATTTGAAATTTTTGAATTCAATTGTTAATAACTTTTTAACGAAACCTTCATCAACAAATTGGTATTCTTGATTTTCGTCTTATTTTAACCTCTAGAATGCCCCATTAAAATTTTTCCCGGTGTTGGCTGAACACCCTGTATGTAGTAGCGTCTATACCCTTCAAGGTTGGCGACCACTGCGTTATAGAATCCAAAGACCGAATTTATGCACTAACGTAATATTTAATGCCAAATTCGGTCAAAAGACATTCAATAGACACTAACTGCCCGTTTCCACGCGTAAAATCGAAGGAATCGCGTAACCCTAGATTCAAACGTACGTGTCGAGAATGTGACGGTGGATGTACAGTCGAGGGGAGAAAAAAAAAGAGAGAGTCGATATCGTCGCGATCGCGAAAGAGGCCGATTAATCGCGGCCAGCATTGGGCCATGCCTTCCTCGGCCCAAGTTTCCTTTTCCCGTGTACGAGACGAGCAAAGGAAACGTCTAAGGTGATTCTACCGTCGCCATAATTTCTGGCAAGTGGCAAAGTGGCTGGAAAACGGTAATCCGCGCGTACGAGTGAAAGGAAATCGGTCAGCTGCGTACACCGGCACCGTTTGTGAAAGTTTTGAATGTCAAATCGTGGCTTCGATCGCATTAACGCATTGTACAGGGCCTCTCTCGCATTGGACGGCGATCAACTTCGGGAACGAACACGCCGGGGGACTGTGTTTAACCTTACTGTTGTTTTTCTGCATCTTTGTGCCTTTGTATCGCGGACCATGCGTCACGAAATAATTATAACCTCGCTGGCCACCGAACGACTATAGATCCCCCGTTCCGTTATCGACCATTAATTATCCGCGTCCTACCGCGCTCTATCAGACATGACGTACACTTCGTCACACACTCATACACGGAAACACTTGCATTTGTGACGTTCGACTAATGGAATATGTACATCAAACTGAGGCATTCGATACGATGCATGTAACAAGGGATGGTATATACCTAAGACTACGTAGTACACCAGGAGTGTAACGGTTATGTATTCGATTCTCATAACAATTTTAATTTTTATGTAGATTCCGAGGTAAATTATTAACATCGGCAGAGTGGCGACGTATCGTTACGGTTTATCATAAATTCTGTCGTATTTTGCTAACCGGTAACCGTATTACCTGGATACGAACCGGTTAATCGGTTAATAGTAGAGCACATATCCGGTTCGCCAGATTTCTAGTTTACGCGCAAGCTTCCATCTACCGAGATACTTCGGAAGATCTTGGAACTCGCGTTCGACGAGACGACGCGACACGCTTTCGAGGCGAACAGAAAAACCATTATGACTCGTAACCAGTCTCGCGGTAAATTTCCTTTCGTGTCCTTTCAAGCGGTCATTCTAAATAACGATTACTCCACAAATTTGTACGAAAAAGAAACATTAACGGAAAGTTGACACAATTTTTTTTTTTATTCTTTTGTAATCGTTATTTTTGACAAAAATTTTTTATGTTGAGAAAGACACGGTAAAATCGGATTTGTGCAACAGTTACGAGCAAACGAGATAAATTTCGTCGACGACGGTGATCGGTGACGGAAATATAATTCGATCGCTTGTAACGGTTAGGTTGCTCGGTTTTAGGGGTTTGTTCGATGGTGTGCAAAGTGCACAGGATGGAGGAGGAACCCCCCGAGGAGGATAAGAAGCTCGAGACGACGATGGAGACAGCGATCGTGGCGCCAAAAACGTCGAACGACGCCTGGGACGGCGGAGCACGTGTTTCCGGTCAGGAAGAGTTCACGTGTTCCCTCTACATCTCGCGTGCTGTCGGCCCGCAAGGTCAAGTGCAAGGAACGCAAGGTGGCAAATTGCCTGTTTCTTTGCTTAACGAATCCCCCGGTTGCATAAGCAACACCAGTACCGTAAACGGCTTACGTGCACGAAACTTACGTACTTTCTTCTCCGCGATAACGAGAGTTACGCAATTCGATACTATCCAGAATTCAACCAGTTTCATTTTTTTTTGCTACGTCTCGTGCACCGCCGGTTAAAACAATAATAATATTTACAGCTAGGTGGACTGTGAAACGAACGTAGGAAGTTAGGAAATTATCTGATTTACACTTCCAGACAGTGCATGTACAGTTTTATGTTAGGTTATGTTTGGCTAGAAAAAGGATCGCAACGCCGCTGGAGATTTTACGATTACCAGAGAAACACTGTCGCATTCTCGAATGAAATGACGGAAATTTTAACGCTTCGATGTTGACTGTTGCTCGTCGCCAGTGATTTCAATCGATATTTATTACGTCTGTGACCTGTTCTGGAAACTTTCTTTCTTTTTTTGCAACGTTTTGAAATTAATTGTAAATGCAAAAACCGATTAGTTCTCCGCGGGTTTGGTTGTACTTACATGAACGTCCATCCAAAACAGTGTTTCTCAAACTGGGACCTGTTTGCGAATCTCCCATGACGGAATTAAATTACTTTTTGTCGCGTATTAACACGTTGACTGCCAGACCAAATCCCTCAAATTAAAAGGAAAATTAAATTTTGTTTTTAGACAATTGGAAACTATCATACCAAGAATTTGTCATGGAATTTATTTTCACAGACTCGTTAAAATTCAAGGGCCCTACCTAGCTTTATTTTCTTTTACATCCGATCTCGGGAATAAATTTTTTTAACTCGGTGGAAAGTCGTGTCACCCATATGTGGTCAATGTGTTAAGCGGCTAGCTATTGACGAGGAGACGTCGCGCCTGTGTACAGAAAACTAAATTATGTCAGGTGACGTGTTGCTGCGCCCGAATCTGGAAGAAACGATCCGTGCGTCCGACCCCTTGGCCGCGTGGCACGTGTCTGAGACACCTTGCGGCCTGATCGCTGCATTCGCGCGCGAGGCTGACGCGGAGAAGCTTCTGCAACGCGGGGATCTGGCGCGAGTTTTCGAAGGACCCGTACAAGTACCCCTTAACGATAAATTATTCGATCGACACGTTGCCTGTCAAGTTGCTTTCGATTCCGATTTTAAAAACGGTACACGTTTACAAGGCTCGCTAAATTTTTGCATTTCCATTATCTTCGTTTACTTCGCGTTGTTTTCTACTTGGCGGAACGAACTGATAACTCATTACTACGCCGCGTGTACCGTTATCAGCGCACAGCTTAAAAATTGTTCCGGGTCGTCATTATAGGACACATTAAAGCGATACTAACTATTGTTTACCTCTTTATCTCTCAATGAGAAAAATATAATTTAGCATGGAACGTGTTAAAAAGTGAAACGTTTCTCCTTTCTCCATTATTTCGATCGAGCTGCAATAATTTTTGCCTTTAATTTATTCAGTCGCGAACATTATCTTCCGCTATTAATCATCCCGGTTGTAGAGTTTTTAATAAATCGTTAAAGCCCCGTCGTCGACGCGAGCAAACTTATTTACGCAACCCGTTAGATCTGTGTTTGCGTGTCCCGCGAACGTGCTGGAATTTCTATTCTCGAAGCGAAAGTACTCGCTGAAAAAATATTATTCGATTCGAGGGAACGAATGTAAAGTCGATGACGCAATAAGGAATATTTTTATTGGCGAGAGGTGGCGCCACCTGCTCCCGAGCCGCGCTCGAATTCAGTTACGCCAACGCGTTTCCCTTTCCAAATCAACTTTCCTGCGTCTTCGATAACCTAAGCAATAACGGCGGAGCATCGCGGGACGCAGCATCGTCGTTTTGCACCGCGATCGTCCGCGTTTTCCTGGTCGCTTTCTCTTACGCAAGAAACGTGGAAACGAAAGCTGAGAGATAACCCAGCGAGCTTGCACAACGCCACGCTGGTTCTCTCGGCGCGTAGAGAATGTCGGACGGCCGACACTTCTTCCGCGTTGGCACGCCAAATCTTTCGTCGTTGTCTTCTTTTTCTGTCTATGTTGCTAACAAAATTGCAACGGTGACACCACGTTGCCAACGCTGGTTCTCATCTCGACCACCGAAGTTCAACCTTTTGAGCGCTATGAACACGTGTATGGGTGTTCCACATAATCATTCGATTGGGGCTATGAACGCATATATGGGTTCTCGTATGGCCCATTCACTGTTTTTTGCAGTCACCGCGCAAGTTATCTCACAGCGCACGCGCAACTCAGCGCTCAAAGGGGGCAAGCAACATTGTGCGTCGCTCGATGGGAATATCGTTAATATAATATATTATTACCTCTCTATTGGGTTTATTCTAATTGTACATTACCGTTAATCTTTATTAAAAAGAACGTTCGAAAGTGATTGGCGTAATTTCTCGCGTTCCCACCAGGTTGCTCGATTCTCGGCGAAGGATTCCCGGTACAGGCAGGCGGTTCTCTTGCGCGACGTGCCCTGGGCCATTCCATTGCAGGACATTAATTCTGCGCTGTCGAAACAGGGGATCGCGACGGGGAGCGTCGAACGCTGGCGACAATACATCCGCGTCGAGGTTAATCGTTCGTTTCTTTAATGAATAGTAATACCCACTATAAATGTACGAAAGCATATTGCGTCGAATGTAACCTAAAAATGTACTGTAAAATGTAATCCAGACCCTACGCCTCATTACATACAATGTACAACGAGATGAGACAGCAGACGGACAGTCCTGCCTTTATTCATCGACGTTCGACTCGTATTGTCGTTCGAACGTTTGCCTTCGTTTATTGTCCCCCTCTCGTTGGACGAAGTACACACAGTAGGGGAACGTTTTAATGATTTTAAAACTTTTTAGCCGTTTCGCGTATTCCTCGCAGGTGCTCGACGCTGGACATTACGAGCTACTGTTACGTCAGGGTCTGGACTTTTTCGGGGCGGCCCGGTTCGGTGTGATTCCTGAACGTTGGTGGCGCGGCGCGACCGGAAGCATCGGTGGCCCGCTGCAGCCCGGCCCTGGAATGGCAAACAACTTCCTGGAGGCGACGAGTCTTCAAACGGGGGACGGTGTTCTCCAGTGTTATCGGTGCCAGGGATTCTGGCACATGGCTGCCAACTGCAGACACCTGCCCCGTTGCGTTCGGTGCGGAGAACCGCACAGCGTCGAGTTCTGCCCGCGGCCACGGAACAATCCCATTTGTTGTCACTGTTCCGGTCCCCATCACGCCGGTAAAGACCCCCATTAAACGAGTATTCTGCAAAATTGTTCTAAAAAATAGCTTCGCGCGTTCTACTCATTGCTTAAGCCTCAAGGACACTTGTTCATTCTCAAAATAGCGTTCAGACGTCAGTCTCGAGAGAACATTAACATTCATCGCTGCTATCGTGCTAGAATAAACATAAGTGAGTTGCCAGTCGTGCTTCCTAACCTCGCTCAGAGGGCGCAGGTCTCAGGGGGCGCTGCCAGAGCATTAGTTAAGGTCGCAAATCTCTGCCTCTTGTTGGCAACTTTAATTTTGAAAGGAGATTCGTTCGAAATATCGTGACTCGGAACCAAAAATAATTTCTCCAGAATGATTTCAAATTTTTATAATTTAATTTTTTAATAACTTTTTAACGAAGCCTTAGACAAGAAATTGATAACTTTTCAATTTCCCCCCAAAATTTCAGTACCTACTCGAATTTTTTTCTCGTAATTGCGCAGGATTTCGAGGGTATGTGTATTCACCAAAAATGATTGCAATTGACCACTGTAACCAAAAATAATTTTTTTGGAACGATTTGAAATTTTCCAATTTCACCCAAAAGTTTCAGCATTTACTCGAATTTTTTTCTCGAAAATGCGCAGGATTTCGAGGTTATGTCTATTCAACAAAAATGATTGTAATTGACCCCCGAAACGGAAAATAATTTTTCCAAAACGATATCTAACTTTTTAATTTAGTCGAAAAATCTCACACCTTCCCGAATTTTTTTCTCGAAAATGAGTAGGATTTCGGGGGTATGCCTATTCACTAAAAATGATTGTAATTAACCCCTGCAAGTGAAAATAATTTTTCAAAACGATTTGAAACTTTTCAATTTTGCCCAAAAATTTCAGCACCTACTCGAATTTTTTTCTCGTAAGTGCGTAGGATTTTGATGATATGTGTATTCACCAAAAATGATTGTAATTGATCACTGTAACCAAAAATAATTTTTCCAAGACGATTTGAAATTTTTTAATTTCACCCAAAAGTTTCAGCATTTATTCGAATTTTTTTCTCGAAAATGCGCAGGATTTCGAGGGTATGTCTATTCACCAAAAATGATTGTAATTGACCACCGCAACCAAAAATAATTATTCCAAGACGATTTGAAATTTTTGTAATTTAATTTTTTAATAACTTTTTAACGAAGCCTCAGTCAAGAAATTGATATTCTTGATTTTCGTCTTCTTTTGTCCTCTAGAACCTTCCATTAAAATTTTTCCCAAGTTTTCGCAGATCGTTCGAAAACGTTGGGGACCACTGATCCTTGGGGGGTTAACGAGTTTGTGCTAGTTTTGCCGTAACATTTCGACAAGTTCCACGAAGCTAATTCAATATTCGTGCGTTTCCAATTCCAGGCTACCGTCAGTGCCCGGTCCGGCAGCAACTTTCGAACGCTACGCCGATTAGCATCACGCTGAGCACCGGTCGGATCGGAAATCAGTATCCGGTGAACGCCGCGTCGAAGACGAACGCGGTGTCCCACGAGCAGCAGCCTTTGAAGTCGAGCCAGTCGTAAACGTACGAGAATTACGTTCAGGCGTCGCGCCGTGTGCCCGCTTATCGCCACACACCGACCTTACCGTTTGTAAATTGTTCGACGTTTTATGGGTCACCGAAGGTATTCAACGTGCTAGGCGTTATCGCGGCACCGATAAATTTTTCTGTTACGACGTCGAAAATTTCTAGAACGGGAACGGACGCTCGGCGATTCGACGCTCGATGAGAAAAAAAGAAATAAAATGGAGACGCTGTTTCGCTTCTGCATCGTTTGTGAAACGTTTACAAATTCTGGGTAATAAATAACCTATAACGCAACGCAGCTGTCGTTTCGTGATTTCTACGCGAGAATTTCAAAATTCCGACGGGAGCGTACGCGCGCCTTCGACACGTTCTCTACGGTACGAAATCCGCATCTACGGGGCGATCGAAATGTTTCCGACGACGTACGAAGTAGAGGAAAAATTCGTATCTGTTGCTCGTTGATTGAAAATTAAACGACCGTTAAATGTTCGCGATGGATAAGCTGAAATATCAATATTTATGCCCGAAAATGCTGATTTTACACAACACGTAAAACCTAACACCATTTTGTGTGTCACGTGTGTCGTAATTCGATATTTATCTTTAATGTACTTTTAAATGCCTTGAACTACTTGTTGTCAACGAGGGAAATAACATGTAATTTGTATCGGTCAAGGAAATAGATAATTGTTTTTCGATTAAAACACGTTCTATACCACTTACGAAAGAATTACAGAAACATATCTTTTTTTAAATGAATTTATGGAAATATAAACCTTCAAATTGTATAACTTCCTTCCAACGCTTTAACCCTTATATCAGTAACCAGATAACCAGGTACCTTTTCCCAAATTTCATTAATCAGTCAGCTGTGTTTGAAGACTACAGAGTGTTCGACCACCCATGGGAAAAATTTTAATGGGGGATTCGAGAGGCCAAAATAAGACGAAACTCAAGAATACCAATTTGTTAACGGAGGCTTTGTTAAAAAGTTATTAAAGTTTCGCTCGTACTGAATTTTTTTCTCGAAAATGCGCAAGATTTCGGGGATATGTCTATTCACCAAAAATTATTGAAATTAATCCCCGCAACCGAAAATAATTTTTCCAAGACGATTTGAAATTTTGTAATTTTGTCGAAAAATTGCATACAAACTCGAATTTTTTTCTCGAAAGTTAGTAGGATTTCGAGGATATGTCTATTCACCAAAAATGCTTGTAATTGACCCCGGTAACTAAATATAATTTTTTTAATATGATTTGAAATTTTTTAATTTCGCCCATAAATTCCATACCTTCTGGAATTTTTTTCTCGAAAGTCAGTAGGATTTCGAGGATATGTTTCATGAGCAAAAATGATTGTAATTGACTCTTGCAAACAAAAATAATTTTTTTGAAACGATTTAAAACTTTTTAATTTTGTCGAAAAATTTCACATATTCCCGAATTTTTTTCTCGAAAATGCGTAGGATTTCGAGGGTATGTCTATTCACCAAAAATGATTGTAATTGATCTTTGCAACCAAAAATAATTTTTTTGAAACGATTTGAAACTTTTTAATTTTGTCGAAAAATTCCATACCTTCTGGAATTTTTTTCTCGAAAATGCGCAAGATTTCGGGGATATGTCTATTCACTAAAATTGATTATACTTAACCCCCGCAACTGAAAATAATTTTTCCAAGACGATTTGAAACTTTTCAGTTTCGCCCAAAAATTCCATACCTTTTGGAATTTTGTTCTCGAGAGTCAGTAGGATTTCGAGGATATGTGTAATGACCAAAAATGATTGTAATTGGCCCCCGTAACCGAAAATAATTTTTCCAGAATGATATGAAATTTTTGAATTTAATTGTTAATAACTTTTTAACGGAGCCTCCATCAACAAATTGGTATTCTTGATTTTCGTCTCATTTTGACCTCCCCCATTTGAGAACCCATTAAAATTTTCTCAGGGATGGTCGAACACCCTGTATATTCGTCACGAAGAAACGACAGTATTTTAAAATTAATTACCATTATTAAATTACTCGCATTACTAAAATTACCATTCGTTCAAAAAACTATAGAATGCACTCAATATGCAAAACTATAAGAAATACTTAAAACAAGTTTACAAATTATTATATTGAGGTGTTGGAACGACCCTCTACGAAGCTCCCGTTTCATTAATAAAACTTATAAAATAAAAATAAGAATTAAAATATTTTAATAAAAATATGAATTTAAAGATCCGCAGTCTAAGGACGGCAAAGGGTTAAAATAACAAAGATAATACCTCGTGGTCCTCGCCGTAACAATTACGGGAAAAATTAGAATTCGATCAAAAAAGAAAGAACGCGTCACGATGGGACCTACCGTTAGAACAAAGATCAGACCCTCGGAGATTTCTCCGTGGAATCGTCAAGATCGTCGGACGGCGTACCGAGACGAGCTTAACGATGCGTGCACTAGTCGCATAATTCTCTACGCTCCGTCCCACTTTCTTCGTCCTAGTCTCCCCGAATCTGGGTCCCCCCCGACACGACACGATCGGTGTATTCATCTTCGCAGGAGCATCGCCACGCAATGTCGCGATAAAGCAAGTCGAACGGTGGGGGATTCGCGAACCGGGCGGCGCCGTCCACGGTTGTGCACGGTTCCACGAGTTTACAAAATATTACCGCCGCGGTGGGGAGCGACAGTCGGTTCCCGCCACTCGGTACTTACCGTGTGCCCCCCGTTTGGATCGGTCGCTCCTTCGAGGGGGTCTCTCTGTATTCGATCGGTGCACGAGCCGGCTGGCCGTGTGCATTATAGATGCACGGAGCTGCTGTGTTCGCCGGTACACCGTACAAAGCGTTTCCAACCGAAATTCTATTTTGTTTACGCGTTCGAACAAACGGGTGTGATCGTCGAGAATGACCTTGCATGAGAGAGTCCGGTGTCGGTTACCACTCACCCTTCGCGTTATGGGAGAGAGAAAGATCAGTTCTCGGTAATCGCGTTCGCCGAACAACACGGATCATGTAACCAGTGGTGTACCAATTTCTTTTTCCTTACTGGGCCAAATTAAATATAAGGTAAGTGTTTAACCAACGTAAACAACGCAATACACGTAACGATGTTGTTCGTTCTTAGGAACGAGACCACTTAGTCGTAAATTTGAGGCACCCTGTGTATTAATGTTTATTACTTATCTTAGTCATCGTTGGTTTTTTTTAAGAGGAATTTACATAAATGTCTGTAGAAAATAATAATGGTTAGTTCTTCAGATTCTTATGATCAAAACGAGTCCAATCACGGCATAAATCAGAACTATTTTTAATCGACTTTTACGTGCAATATTACGTGATATGGTACAATGACCGCTGACGACTTTCGTAACGTACTCGACCACTGAACAGCGACAAAGGTGCAAAGAAAAAATTGCGCGCGTACATCGTGTTAAAATAAGAACAGCAAAAGAAGAACGTGCATTCGATTATCGCTTATCGTGCCGCAAAAACTGGGAATCGCTTATGCATCGTGTCGCCAATGCCAAAAGTACACTGGCATCGACACACAGAAAGTAAAAATATTTCTTATCGAACGATCAGTCTTACGGAATCTCTTTGCATTACGCGAGTCTCGTTCCCTTTCGTTTTACCGATTCTCTTTCCTTTTCTGCCGGGTGTCAGGTTTCGTCTAGAGTGGACGGAACCGGGGGGATGGAATCCTGGAAAGTTAATCGCGCATAGTGCAATCTGTCACCACGGAGGACGGAATGGGTCGAGGTGGACCGATATCATTGTTTTTTCAGACCGCATTAGCACGATGGAAAAAGTCGCGACGGTTACGTGGAACGGAGCTTCGAAGGCGATCACGTTTTTGTAGCGGCCCACGCCCAGCGTAATGTAACGGACTTCTGAATAAATCAGAACCGCGGGAGAAATTCTTCGGCGGCGTTCAAGGTGACGGAGATCGATCGCGCTCTATGACCGAACTTCGCCGCGATCGAATCGACGATGCAGCGCATATTCGCCGCGCCTCTGTTCCCTCGACTCTTTTCAACGGTGATCTAATAATTACCGACGTGAACAACGGTCGATTACGCGAATGGGAATCGAGACTGTGAGAATCGGGTGAACGATGTGGGCGTTTTCAAAATAAAACCCGTTCGAGGCGATGGTCGCTACAAGAATGTCTTTCGCCGGTGTGACCGTTTGTTTCTTTGTAACACCACTTTTCCTCGAGAGGGGGCGCGTTGACAAAACGCGTGTGGCCCGTCTTACAATTAGCCGCTCGCTTGCTTTGATTTTTTTTTAGCAAAACGTTGCCTTCGATCGCAGCTTCATCGAAGAGATCGACATGTGCCCGCGGTCCAATGTGTTGCTGTTGGTCCTGGCGATAAGCTCCATCAGTTTGCAGCAGCCGATCTTCTTCGCGAACAAGTTCAAGGGGCTGCACGGCGTCACGCTCAGGACCAATATGCTCGACAGGGGCGAAATAACGGCGGTCTATTATCACGATCAGACAGTAGCTGTCGTCGAGATCGGTACCAACAACGAGCTGCACGATTGCAACCTGATCGAAGTGTAGTGAGTGGTTTTTAATCGGGGAGCCGGTGAACGCGGCAAACACGGGTAAAGTAAAACGCGACGTTGTTCCAGCGAACCCGACGAGGCCAACGAAATTTTGAGAAACCTGTCGTCGACGACTATTCCGCAATCGGTCTCGTTCAAAGAATTAACGAGGTTGATGCTACAGTGCGAGCTGTTGGACAAAATACAACATAACGCTTTGGTCACTTCGACGATGGGTACTCTGAGTAGAGGTAACCACGTAGTGAGTAATTCCCTGTCACTTCTTTCGGGTATTCTGCCAGGTGAATGTTTATGATTATCAGGAATTTCTTTCGCGCGAGTTTTTATTTTGGAAAACTTTCTATACGATTCGTGTCGTTGTTTGCAGGGACGAAGTGGTGCGGCACCGGCGACATCGCCGAGAACTATCACGATTTAGGCCACGAAGTCGAAATCGACAGGTTAGAATGGCTCGATGTGGTTTATTTATTCGATCGTTACGAAATTCTGCTTTCTTTCGCGATTTATACAGGGTGTTCAGTCAACCCTGAGAAAAATTGTAATGGGAGAAATCAAGAATACAAATGTTTGTTGATGGAGATTTTGTTAAAAAGTTATTAACGTTTAAAAGTTCCCTTCGTGCTGAATTTTTTTCTCGAAAATGCGAAGGATTTCGGGGATATGTCTGATCACCAAAAATGATTGTAATTGACCCTTGCAACCAAAAATAATTTTTCCAAGACGATTTGAAATTTTCCAATTTCATCCAAAAGTTTCAGCATTTACTCGAATTTTTTTCTCGTAAATGCGAAGGATTTCGAGGGTATGTCTATTCACACAAAATGATTGTAATTGATCCTCGCAACGGAAAATAATTTTTCCAAAATGATATGAAACTTTTTAATTTTGTCGAAAAATTCCAGAAATTCCCGAATTTTTTTCTCGAAAATGAGTAGGATTTCGGGGGTATTCCTATTCACTAAAAATGATTATAATTAACGCCCTTAACCGAAAATAATTTTTCCAAAAGGATTTGAAACTTTTCAATTTCCCCCAAAAATTTCAGTACCTACTCGAATTTTTTTCTCGTAAATGCGAAGGATTTCGATGATATGTGTATTCACCAAAAATAATTGCAATCGACTACTGTAACCAAAAATAATTTTTCCAAAACGATTTGAAACTTTTCAATTTTGCCCAAAAATCTCAGTACCTACTAGAATTTTTTTCTCGAAAATGAACTGGATTTCGAGGGTATGTCTATTCACACAAAATGATTGTAATTGACCCCCGCAACGGAAAATAATTTTTCAAAAATGATATGAAACTTTTTAATTTTGTCGAAAAATTCCAGAATTTCACGAATTTTTTTCGCAAAAATGAGTAGGATTTCGGGGGTATTCCTATTCACTAAAAATGATTATAATTAACGCCCTTAACCGAAAATAATTTTTCCAAAACGATTTGAAACTTTTCAATTTTGCCCAAAAATTTCGACACCTACTCGAATTTTTTTCTCGAAAATGCGCAGGATTTCGAGGTTATATCTATTCACCCAAAATGATTATAATTGATCCTCGCAACGGAAAATAATTTTTCCAAAATGATATGAAACTTTTTAATTTTGTCGAAAAATTCCAGAACTTCCCGAATTTTTTTCGCGAAAATGAGTAGGATTTCGGGGGTATGCCTATTCACTAAAAATGATTGTAATTAACCCCCGCAACTGAAAATAATTTTTCCAAAACGATTTGAAACTTTTCAATTTCCCCCAAAAATTTCAATACCTACTCGAATTTTTTTCTCGAAAATGCGCTGGATTTCGACGGTATGTCTATTCACATAAAATGATTGTAATGGATTCCCGCAACCGAAAATAATTTTTCCAAAACGATCTGAAATTTTTTAATTTCACCCAAAAGTTTCAGCATTTACTCGTATTTTTTTCTCGAAAATGCGCTGAATTTCGAGGTTATATCTATTCACCCAAAATGATTGTAATTGACCCCCGCAACGGAAAATAATTTTTCCAAAATGATATGAAACTTTTTAATTTTGTCGAAAAATTCCAGAACTTCACGAATTTTTTTCGCGAAAATGAGTAGGATTTCGGGGGTATTCCTATTCACTAAAAATGATTATAATTAACGCCCTTAACCGAAAATAATTTTTCCAAAACGATTTGAAACTTTTCAATTTTGCCCAAAAATTTCGACACCTACTCGAATTTTTTTCTCGAAAATGCGCAGGATTTCGAGGTTATATCTATTCACCCAAAATGATTATAATTGATCCTCGCAACGGAAAATAATTTTTCCAAAATGATATGAAACTTTTTAATTTTGTCGAAAAATTCCAGAACTTCCCGAATTTTTTTCGCGAAAATGAGTAGGATTTCGGGGGTATGCCTATTCACTAAAAATGATTGTAATTAACCCCCGCAACTGAAAATAATTTTTCCAAAACGATTTGAAACTTTTCAATTTCCCCCAAAAATTTCAATACCTACTCGAATTTTTTTCTCGAAAATGCGCTGGATTTCGACGGTATGTCTATTCACATAAAATGATTGTAATGGATTCCCGCAACCGAAAATAATTTTTCCAAAACGATCTGAAATTTTTTAATTTCACCCAAAAGTTTCAGCATTTACTCGTATTTTTTTCTCGAAAATGCGCTGAATTTCGAGGTTATATCTATTCACCCAAAATGATTGTAATTGACCCCCGCAACGGAAAATAATTTTTCCAAAATGATATGAAACTTTTTAATTTTGTCGAAAAATTCCAGAACTTCACGAATTTTTTTCGCGAAAATGAGTAGGATTTCGGGGGTATTCCTATTCACTAAAAATGATTATAATTAACGCCCTTAACCGAAAATAATTTTTCCAAAACGATTTGAAACTTTTCAATTTTGCCCAAAAATTTCGACACCTACTCGAATTTTTTTCTCGAAAATGCGCAGGATTTCGAGGTTATATCTATTCACCCAAAATGATTGTAATTAACCCCTGCAACTGAAAATAATTTTTTCCAGAACGATTTGAAATTTTTGAATTTAATTGTTAATAACTTTTTAACGGAGCCTCCATCAACAAATTGGTATTCTTGATTTTCGTCTTATTTTGGCCTTTAGAAACTCCCATTAAAATTTTTTCCCCAGATGTGGCCGAACACCCTGTATATTCTTCTCGTTTTCAGATGCTGTCGTACTCACGATCTGTGCCCGGTTAAAGTTCGCGCCCAACGGACGCGATACAATCTTACCAACTACTCTTTGTACACTAAGTATGCGCGCCTTTGTCGAATTGTTTCCAACGGTAGCGTGAAAAGAAGAAGAGGAAAATTTTGTCGTTACCTTTTACAGATCGCACTGCGTCTGCGACGAGGCGCTGTACAAATGTTTGAAAGCTGCCAATCATCCAACGGCGAATATCATGGGCCACATATATTTCAATTTAGTCAAAGTGTCCTGCATAGAGGACGTAACGGGGAACGAACGCACTTCCATAGGGCCAGTACGACGATTTATTCCCGTTAAAATGAATTTCTGAAGTGAATTTGCTTTCGCCGTGAGTCACCAAATTTGAACGCAGTTTGATTCAAATTTTACTATTTTTGTATTAAAGGTATTGCGGAATTTTCGTAGGGTATACAACCGGGGAGGGGAATTTTAATATCCATAACTATTATTAACGTCATATGTAGGGTGTTCGTTCGAGAACTTTACGTCCAAATATCTCGAAAAATTCAGTTTCTAATGAACACCCTATATGTAAATATTGTAGACAATACGTAGTAAGTCCTCGACTTGTAAGTCGAATTGTACAAATACGACATAGTGTCGAGTAATCGTTGCTTAAAAAAATTGTTAGTTGTGGGCCTTTTACAAAGGCCGACCAAAAACATTCGACCTAATACGACTTGCAACTTCTTCCAGGACACTTATTTTCCTTTCTCTGCACAATATACATATTTGGTATACAATCTCAGCTGAACTTTATTTAATATGTAAATACACGCGTAAAAAAATATGTACAAAGACGTAGGTGACACTGGAACCGCGTGAGTCAAAGACTCGCAGTATTAAAAAGCATGGCGGTACTTGATCAGTCGATCGGGTCCGTACTTATCGACATAGTTTGCTGCGTTGTAGATAAGACTGCTTGCTTTAGGGACGATAACCGCGGTACGATGTCTTGTACAATCTTTTTAACATCGGTACAATTGTGATTGTAAAGATTGCCTGCAAGAGGTATTCATTTTTTTCATTTGATCGACATAGCTGATCTACTAATTTAACAATAAAGTACTTATAATTACCTATTAACCACAACGTCTCTTTCCTAACATGTATATACTGACACGAAAGTAATTTATTCAACAATGTCTCTAAATCTGATCGCGTGTACTTCGGATTTTCCATAAACAATTTTGCCAAATCACCAGACGTTTCGCAAATAGTATTAGCCAGTATTCTTATACACGCTGTGACCTAAAATAAAAAGGAAACTTTTAATACCAGATACTCGATACAAGTGTAAAGGCAGGGGTCGAACGAAACTGTTGAATTTTTAATTGGTTCTGATAGAACAATAATTTATTTCACTATCGCGTTTTAAAACTTCTAAGAAAAGAAATAAATTTTAAAGTAAAAGGTTTACCGTTTCATTCGACCTATAAGCGAATGTTGTTTAAAAGTCACGTACCTCCGTCACGTTGGCGACGTTATTTGTACTATTTTGATACAGATAATCCACTATCGAGGGCACTACACTATGTAAATAGATGTTACAGACTATCTGCGACGATAATAAAGCTAACAACCAAACGAAGTACGGATCTTCGAACGAAAGATTTCTTCCTGTAATTGCTTTAGCGAGCTCGATCATTTTATTTTCCCTACAAATATATGTACCATTAACGATAGCTGAAACCTTAAAAGATAGCGATACGAAACGGTGGTTCTTGATCTTTGTTTTCTACGGACTGTGGACCACAGATTAAAAACCACTGATACGAAAGAATGATTCTCACGGAATTCGTTGAAAACCAACGTGCGTATAATGCATTGCTGTATACGCTACAGAAGGGAAAATAGTATCGTCGCAATTGCTCATCAAACTGACGATATATTTGAAGCAATCTTGCGCATGAAGAATTTCGAAAGCCTTGTCGCTTCCGGCAACCAAATTTCCCAATGTCCACACGCAGACATCCTAACGATACGAATAATATTCAATGGATTAATTTATCAGTTTGAGTAGTGTATTTTATATCGTTTTCTCTACGACCCACCAATAAAGGATAATTTAAGCTGTCCAATTCTGTAATAAGGTACGGAGCGATACTTTTTGTTAACGACGTGCATGCTTTAACGTTTCCAAGTGCTATATTGCAACAGCAACTGATAGCAGACAATTGCAAGGCTGGATCGTTGCTAGAAAAATCACGTACCAAGGCATGTAAAATGTTGTCCACTTTTAGAAATGAATTTACATGTTCCTCGCTCTGCAAAATAATGAAAAGTAAAATTGAAATTAGTGGTATGTACAGTGGCCCACAGAAGTTTCCATACTTCATAAACTTTCGCAAACAAAATAGATGTTTCTGTCTTATTAATTTTTGTATAGGATTTATTTTCTTTCCTTTGTTGACGTTCTTTACATTATTCTGAATATCATTTACTAATTCAAATCGAGAACACGCATGAGACGGTACTAAACCACATGTTTATCGATCGCATGTTTTCTGTGTTATCAATTTTGTTCTGTTTTTGTATACGAACAAGCAAGAGATCCCAAATAAACAATTACTGTACGAATATTTATGTCCAGCACTTTGTGGGCCACTGTGTGTTACATATTTCCTGTATGATTACCTGTATGAGAGCATTTTGTAATTGTTTGTACTCCTCTATCGACAACGGTTTCTTTTTAAGTACTTTAGCCTTCTCGACGACAAATTTCGTCGTCAAAAACGAGACCGGCACTATGTTGCCCAAAGCCACGCGATTTTTATTTAACACCTTCGTGCGGTGCTCCTTCCTTTCAATGTGAGATAATTCTCTCAAATTCTCTCTCATAATCTCCACGACGTCATTTCTTTTTGAATCATCTACCTCCATCTCTTTATCCTACTGTTCAGAGAATTGTAATAACTGTATACGCCGAATGATTAACAGAAACAATGATACTACGAGACAATGATCCCAATAACGAATCCCTAATCATTAGAAATGATTAGAAATGGCATCGGTGCATCGATGTTCTTTTAAGAATTTCCTCATTCGAATCTGAAGTTCTGAAGCCTCTATTGTCGATTGCTATGAAAGTTACTAAGGTTATGTTACATGCCCCGTATAATCGACACCTTCAGATCTATCAGTTAAGCGGGTTATTTGAAAGCTTGACGTTGCGTCTACCAAAAATAAAACTAACATCAGAGTATTACCATTTCGAAACCACCCTAAAAAACTCTATAGAAAACATTTTTCGTTAATAATTTTTTATTTAACAAAAATCATTTACTGTCGATTCAAGAAATCAAACTGTATTTTTTTTTGTGAAGCCTACGATTATTCTTAAGACGTTTTGTTGACAATGTTAAAGTATTTTATAATTCTTAACGACGTTCATCGATTTGGTTCGCGATCAGGCACTCGGCAAGTGCATTCGTTTCATCGTCATCGTCTTCGTTTCTGCTGATCGACAGAATGTTGTAGATGGCGCTCGGGAATGTGGACGTTGGACCGAGTATGTGCAAACGGACGTCGCATTTCTCCAACGCGTATTTCCACTTCAAGTCTTCGCGTTGCGGAATTATCATCGTCTGAAAATATTCGCGAATCGTGTTCGATCAAGGACGTTCCTGCAACTAATCTGTACTCTGGATAATCCATTTCTATATTATGGTGGTCATTTTTTTTTTATGTTTTTCGTTTGTCAGGTATCTTAGGCACAGAAACGTAATAATTTTATTTTGTAGCAACCTGAAACTCGGTGGCGCTGCAACCGAGGACGCGTTCAGCCGCGTCACCGAACAATTTGCAGCCGATAAGATACCCGGTGTCGTCTTTCAGATTCACCTTCAGATTCAGACTCAACACGTTCATAGGTGGCCGAGTTCCGTTGCCCGATGGACACTCGAGATTCATACACGAATCTTGATCATCGAGAACGATCCTCTTGCACAACGCGCTACGAACAACGAGAAATGTACATTAAACAAATTTTATTACCAAGGAGGGAACTCTAGAAAAATTGATGCGAACCATTTTCTGGATAGTATCGTTGGACTCAGGCTGTTCACGTTTATGTCTATTACGTAGGCCTTTAATATCACGGCAAACTGAATTCTATCACCTTGCTTCGGCGTTTTGTTCAACTTGTTCGAAATATCTTGCACGGTCATTACGGTCGTTATAGTGTCCGCTATAAAAGAAAAGCAAGGCAACAAATGACTGTAAAGTAACGCTTCGGTTCATCGCTGTAATTTGATCTCGGAATTCGATCCTTACGATTAGGCGACGCGAAGATATTCCCGGACATCATGTCAGGATTATAGAATTGCACCGAATTCCTTACGGTCTTAGCTTCGGGCACGTCCGGATTTTCGGTGATTAAAGTTTTTCTAACTGAAAGTTCAACAAGGCATAGAAGAATTTTCTTTAATTTTTAATTTGTAAAACATTGGATCGGTAAGAAATCTCTGTCGAATCAAGACCTATGGATAAAACGGTTTTCTTTTTAAAATTGTCATAAGCGATTCGAGCGTCTACGAGGAAGAGCACGGTCCGTTTAGGTTCCCAATACGCGGCCCTCTCGATCCAATCTTTCTCCCAGAGCACGAACGACGCCATTTCGTCCGTCGATCCGTCCGTAACTTCAAAGTTCCGGAACTTTATGCTTCTTCCGTCCCGCGTCATCACGTTACGGATGTCGCTGACCTGTCGATGATTATAAAGCGATTCTGATCGTGTTTTACATTTTTCGATTCGTTTCGAAACGTACAAACGTAACGACGACCAACACGTCGACGTATTGGTCGCGTAGCGCCTCGAGGTTCTCGAAAACGCTTTTCAGGCTTTGCAGCTCGGTCAGATTTTTCATCGGTAGCGTCAGCAACGATTCGTACATCGCGCGTGTCGGTGCATCGTGAGGTTGCACCAATGCATTCCCTTCGTTCACCGTCAGGCTGCACAGGCTGGACACGGTTGGGACGAATAGTTCGTTTCTGTCGTTTTCACGACGCTCCACCACTTTCGGATTTATCACCTCCACTGCAAACGAAAATTTCATCCAACGCCTTTAACGTACGGCGACATACGAGTGGAAAGGGTTAAAATTTGTATAAATCAAAATCTCGAGAACGAGAGTTAAGTATCATGTGTCCACGAGAAGAAGGCACAGCGTGTTTGCATCCCCACTCTTGCTGCAGTCCGCTGATTGGCCGTCACCGATATTCGTCACCGTTTTCGACCAATGCCTGTGAGTCAACGGACTGCAACAGGAGTGGGGATGCAAACACGCCGTGCCTTCTTCTCGTGGACACATGGTACTATCCAGAGATGACTTGTTGGCTAGATACCCACAAACTAAACGGGGCAAGGGCAAGGGGCAAGGTCTACGCGCCGCCTTATTCCTACCATAGAGTAGGCGTCGCTATTACGCCACGGCCAATCGGTGTGCCTAGCCATCGAGTCATCGCTGTATAGTAGATGTGGTGGGAGTAGTTAGGCGGGGTATTTCAGCGAGGTTAGAAGGAACAATGCGCGTTGGATCGCTTGTTATTGACTACCCTGTACATTGCCTACTGTGCAGATACGCGCCCTTAAGTTGGTACACACCTACGCTGCCGATACGAAAATCTGCGGATAATTTTTTCACGTATGCCACGCTGCCCCACACGGTTACGTTTATACTGTGTTCCTTGGAGTCGCGTAACGTGAACGTCCACACGCCTCGTTCGCCGTTATGATCTGAAAGCATTCGGGGTTTGTTTATTTATAAATAGCGAGAAAATATGCAGCGACGTCCGAGTATCGTGCACGATAGAATCATCACACACGTAGATCGTATACGTCTATAAAAATTGTATAGAAATTGCAGAGAAATGTTGACGATTAATGGATATTATTTTCGTACATCTCGTTCTCGTTGCATCGATCGTTTTCATGTTGAAGCTGTGCACGACTATGCCGATCACAAGTGAATTTTGCGCGCCAGGTTGCAACGAGGCCAACGCTTGTCTGTGCACGCCCGACATCATCGATCTTTCGATTCCTTTGATCCTTTCGAATCGCGAAACACTGACTCGAGACTATTCCAAGTTACAGAATGTTCTCGTCGTCCTGAATACAAATATATTTATAACGAAATAAACGTTCGCCAACGATGATAGTGAGAATACTTTTGTTGCCAATGATTCTGATAAGAATTAAATTAACGAATAGGTAGCGATGCTAACTTCGAAGAATTCCCACCGTAGCGCTGCCTGCAGTAGAGTGGAGAATCACAGCTAATCATAATTCCACTCTATAGAATACTACTCTTTGGTAGCCCCGTACAAGATTTGAAGAATTCGAGAATTTCTACTTCAGCGCTGCTCTCGTGTGGTACTGGTACTAAACAGTATTATCACAGATGAGGCTTACGAGCAGACCTTGCATTCAATGGATTTTTTCCACCCATTTTTCTGGGACTTTAGAGTGTTTGCATTTTGAAACATTAAAACCCTCCAAATCCGTTCAGAAGTTATGATTTCTTAATTTCGGAGACCCATTTCTGGTCACGCATTATATTTTTGGTAAAGAATTTTTTTCTCGAAAGTGGTTAGGATTTCGGGGGTATGTGTATTCACCAAAAATAATTGTAATTGACCCCCACAACGTAAAATAATTTTTCCAAAACGATTTGAAATTTCTCAATTTCGCCCAAAAATTTCAGTATCTATTTGAATTTTTTTCTCGAAAATGCGTAAGATTTCAAGGGTACGTGTAATCACCAAAAATGATTGTAATTGACCTCCACAGCGGAAAATAATTTTTCCAAAACGATTTGAAACTTTTCAATTTCGCCCAAAAATTCCATACCTTCTGGAATTTTTTTCTCGAAAGTCAGTAGGAATTCGAGGATATGTCTAGTGACCAAAACTGATTATAATTGACCACCGCAACCAAAAATAATTTTTCCAAGACGATTTGAAATTTTCCAATTTCACCAAAAAGTTTCAGTATTTACTCGAATTTTTTTCTCAAAAATGCGCAGGATTTCGAGGGTATGTCTATTCACCAAAAATGACTGTAATTGACCCTTGCAACCAAAAATAATTTTTCCAAGACGATTTGAAATTTTCCAATTTCACCCAAAAGTTTCAGCATTTACTCGAATTTTTTTCTCAAAAATGCGCAGGATTTCGAGGGTATGTCTATTCACCAAAAATGCTTGTAATTGACCCATGTAACTAAATATAATTTTTTTAATATGATTTGAAATTTTTTAATTTCGCCGAAAAATTTCAGTCCATACTCGAATTTTTTTCTCGAAAATGCGTAGGATTTTGAGGGTATGTCTATTCATAAAAAATGATTGTAATTGACCACCGCAACCAAAAATAATTTTTCCAAGACGATTTGAAATTTTCCAATTTCACCCAAAAGTTTCAGCATTTATTCGAATTTTTTTCTCGAAAATGCGTAGGATTTCGAGGGTACATCTATTCACTAAAATTGATTATACTTAACCCCCGCAACTGAAAATAATTTTTCCAAGACGATTTGAAACTTTTCAGTTTCGCCCAAAAATTTCAGCACCTACTCGAATTTTTTTCTCGAAAATGCGTAGGATTTCGAGGGTATGTCTATTCACCAAAAATGATTGTAATTGACCCCCGCGACCGAATATAATTTTTCCAAAATGATTTGACATTTTTTTAATTTTTATAAGGAGCCCCAGGTTCGTACTCTTTTGCCACCTTCCGACAGATTGGACTCCATCTTGCGGAGGTCCACGTACCGCGAGGAACTAGAAAGATTGCCCCTGAGTGATGTTCGCCATGAGAGAGTAATCTGTCTCTTTGCCCGTAAGACGCGATTTCGCGAAGGTAATGCCAGTAATCATTGGTTCGTACGATACGAAATCTTGGCAAATATTGAAATAATTTTTTACGAGAATACCAATCGCTGCACGTGAACTCCATACAGAGTACTTACTCGACGATGGTGTGAATTAAACGATTATAAATAAAATTTAGCATTGTTTAACATTCCAACGCAATAGTTTGAACAATTCTTAACGATATATGGTATATGAATAATGAAAAGGCCCTATCAGTATGCATAAATAATAATTTTTCGCGAAGTAATTTGTCCATTTTTATGGGTTCTCGAAACCCCCATTACCATTTTCGTGTCATTCGCAATGTTACCATCAGATTCAGAAATGAATTTTAATCCCTTCCATAGTCAACTCGCATGTATTTACGCAAACACTACACTGTTTGTCTATCAATATTAATTCAGAGAATAGTTTCTCAACTGACCGCCATCCGTGAGAAGAGGTCGCTAAAATCAGCTCCGAATTTTCAGGTCGGTAAGGCAGTCAGATTCGGCCGCGAAAGTCCATAAGGTGATGGCACAGACGAGGTATACGAGGCACACGTATACCAGTGATTGTGTCCTCTGTTCATGATTATTATGTAATTAAACAGAAAATAAATAGTTTCTTTAAACTATTAACTCGATATGGTTGTAGTCATTTACGTTACAGATACTCTTATAATCACGACCCATTCCTTTAGCGAATTAAAGACAAAAGTGAATATTAGGTTACGTCGAATAAATGTGTCCTCGTTCCGTTATGGTTCTTTGTTTTACGTATGTATGACAGTCGCAGAGTGAATTAAATTATGCAATAACAGGTAAAAAATCGTGATGGGAAGACGTCCGTGTACGCACTATATTAGGAAGTATGGCAGGGGGCCAGCGAGACGACGGCCACGAACCAGAGGGAAGAATCCCATCGATACGGGTCGTCTAGGATCGACAAGGCGTTTCTTGACGATTAATATCTTAAGCAATTCGTGATCTTGTCTCGACACGGTCGAGTACGACGGTTTCAAGTGCCGCGTTTCGTGTTGGCAAATGCCACGGTTGGTTTCATGGATTTCGAATCGAAACGCATTCTCTGCTATTAACGATGCATTACCACCCACGTCGACGGGCCGTAGATCAGAGCAGAATCATGCTACGTACCAGAGAACACTGTTATGTAAACCCCGCTATTATTCGACTTACGACGTAACAATGCTGATTTACAGGAAATATTCGAAATTCAAATATATTTTACATTTACTTTTCCTCTCTTCGTATATACGAGATATTTTCTTTTTGTTCGATACTGTACCTAAACAGACTAGAATATGTAACGCTCAGCTGTCGAAGAAGATGAATAACTCTATTTACAATTTCGAAAAATTGCTATACTTCACACGAAGTTGATTAAAATGATTAGTGACGAATCTAGAGGGACTCGAAGACTAAACACCATTGTTTATAATTTCTTATATGGCATCCCACTACGTTCAAACTGACTCGAACAATAACGTAGTAATTTCCGATTTGGATCCAATTTGGAACTTCGCAGAGTTTCTATATTTCCACCTAGTAGAAGTGGACTGAGGTTATTCATATAACGATTAAGAATGAAAGAGGCGATGTTATTGAATAAATTCTCGGAAACCCACGTTACTTATGATCTAACCTAACGTATCTAAATAGACACGAATAATGCCACAGTTATTTCCGGACGATTCTATTTTAAATTTCTTATTCTCGGACAAGTTTATTTGAAATTTGTTATGGTATAACCTCACTTATCCAAAATAGATTCGAATAATGTCGCAACTCGATATATTGCAAATTAGGGTTACGACCTCTAGGTGGGGAACCATGGAAGCGTCTTGTTGGGGTTTTGTAATGAGCTGACACATTCGATATAACTGTTCGATATAAACGTATATTTAGAAGTAAATTAAACACGTGTGCATACCAAAAACGATGCGTACTCTCAGGGAGACATGTTTGGATTGAACAACAACAGAAAAACAAAACAATATGTTCGTATCGATAACGGCCATCGTCGATTCTCTAACACATCTCAGTTTTACCCACAAATACTCATTGTCCTTAAATACCAACTTGTAAAGTAAAATAATGAACCGCCTTTTCGTCATTAGGAAAAACAGTTTCAAATTTGTTCTTTATTTTGTCTAAAAATGAATATGGCCATCATATTTAAGACCATAGATGGTGTCTTTAATCTTACCTGTTGCTTGGCAACTGTCCAGTAGCGGATACAAGGGCGGGAACTTGAGCCCTACTTCCCTTCCTATTGATAAACGTTACAGGATCATCAAAACCTCGATATTTCTAAATTCGAACACTGTGACCCTTCCACTTATCGACAATATTTAATAAAAGAGATTCTCATGCAATAATTTGTTGATAGAAGCTTCGTTAAAAAGTTCTTAGCGTTTAAAGTTCCATCCGTACTGAATTTTTTTCTCGAAAATGCGCAAGATTTCGGGGGTATGTGTATTCACCAAAAATGATTGTAATTGACCTCCACAACGGAAAACAATTTTTCCAAAACGATTAGAAACTTTTCAAATTCGTCCAAAAATTCCATACCTTCTGGAATTTTTTTCTCGAAAGTGAGTAGGATTTCGAGGATATGTATAATGACCAAAACTGATTATAATTGACCCCCGCAACCGAAAATAATTTTTCCAAAACGATTTGAAACTTTACAAATTCGTCCAAAAATTCCATACCTTCTGGAATTTTTTTCTCGAAAGTGAGTAGGATTTCGAGGATATGTATAATGACAAAAACTGATTATAATTGACCCCCGCAACCGAAAATAATTTTTCCAAAACGATTTGAAACTTTACAAATTCGTCCAAAAATTCCATACTTTCTGGAATTTTTTTCTCGAAAGTCAGTAGGATTTCGAGGATATGTCTATTAACAAAAAATGCTTGTACTTGACCCTTGTAACTAAATATAATTTTTTTAATATGATTTGAAATTTTTTAATTTTGTCGAAAAATTTCGCACCTTCCCGAATTTTTTTCTCGAAAATGCGCAAGATTTCGAGGGTATGTCTATTCACCAAAAATGATTGTAATTGACCCTTACAACAAAAAATAATTTTTCCAAAACGATCTGAAACTTTTCAATTTCGCCCAAAAATTTCACACCTTCCCGAATTTTTTTCTCGAAAGTGCGTAGGATTTCGAGGGTGCGTGTATTCACCAAAAATAATTGTAATTGACCCCCGCAACGGAAAATAATTTTTCCAAAACGATTTGATATTTTTGAATTTAATTGTTAATAACTTTTTAACCAAAGCCTATATCAACAAATTATTGGCCTTTAGAATCCCCCATTAAAATTTTTCCCAGTGGCGTCCGAACACCCTGTATCTCTTTTTGTATCATTTGTATCCCACATATTTTGGTTACATAACGGTTCGTTCGAAGAAAATAAATCGTCCCCAAAAAGGTTAAGATTTCATAACTTTGTAGGAGGGTGGCTAGTTATGCAGAGTAAAATGTAAATTAAGAAAAAATCGATAAATTAATCCTTCGTGAGATACGGTACCGTTTCCAATTAAACGGATCACCTTGTACGACAAATCTGATTTTTACTGGACGAAAATTTCGTGAGGCTGTACCGTTAGGGGCGGCATCCGCATGCCTCTCTAACGAGTCGTCTTCCGACGGGAACACTTGCCAAGGGAGTGGTGATTTTCAGAACTTGGCACCGGCGCGTAATTGCTTTTGCACACCCGAAACGCCGTTGTCACTCTCCTCCGCGGAGATCGTCGCGAGGATGGCAATGGAGGGGGGAAGGGGGAGGGGGTACGAAAACGTTTGGTGAACATCACAGCCCACGGCAACGGCAACGACAACGACGACCACGACGACGATGATGATGATGAGCTGGCACCGAAAATATTTCTAACGAGACAAATTTACGTGGAACGTATCTGTTGGCCGGTTTTCACACGCGTCTCCGACGTCTAGGAATGAAGATCGTCTGAATGAAAGCGGGACTAATACAAACACTTCGCGGTCCTTATGACACCCAAAATGAAAATCGTGTACCAAACCGACGCCGGTGATTGATTGCCCGACATTATTTATAGACACCGGGGTAGCAGAGACGCGCGGGCATATCCTTTGAGGTTAGGAACTTTACGAGCTATAGAACGCGCGTTTCTGTACGAATATTTTCGTGTATGCGCGAACTAGACGACATCGTCGTTAAAAAGATTTTGCGTCGTCTTCGACGATGCAACCTTCCTCGCGAGCTTGGGCATCGTTCGGTGACCAAAATTCGGTTGGTAAGGGCGCGTGTTATGACTGGGGCAGATTCTTTATTCGACGATTCTATTCTGTTCCACTTAACGAAGCAAAATAGTAGAATGCTAGTAGACAGCTATGTTTTAACGCATTCGACTTTTTTTCAAGTCCAAATCAAACAGATATCGTACACTTGAAAATTACAAAATACAACAACAGTGTAAATAAAACATTTAAAAGCATTGGGAGCCGCTGGTAACAAAATTGGAATATAATTTAGAGTGCAAAGAGTTATTAGTCGAGAATTATTAGTCGTCAGAGTTCAAATATTTTTGCGATTTCTGGTACACACATGTTCAAATATATTGTAGAAACGATTATACAGGGTGTCTCACCCGATTTTGACATCTTGATTTTCTCGCTATTGTTACTCGTAACAAAAAATGTTTCAGCGGAGGCTTGAATGGTATCGAGTGGAGCATATTCTGATGTTATTAGTTTTTTCGTGAGTGGACGCGTAAAGGTCATATAAAGGTCAACTTTGTTTTTTTAAATGGAACGAGGTATTTTTTAATACATCGATCGATTCAGCTGGACAATCGTTATAAAAAAGTACTAAGTGTGTAACGTCGAAAAATTAGTAGTTCAGGAGATATTCCAATTTAAATAATTCTAAAGCACCATTACTGTTGTACTAAGACGTTAGCGTTTATTTACAGGAATGGTTCAACGTAACGACCATTTACATCACGGCATTTTTTAAATCGATCAAATAATGACTGGTTTACGTTGTTTTTGCTAGTCTAACGTTGGTAAACAGAGCTAACGTCTTAGTGCGGTAGTAATGATGCCTTAAGAATTTAAATAATTTAAATTGAAATATCTCCTGAACTACTAATTTTTCGACGTTACATAGTTAATACTTTTTTATAACGATTGTCCAGCTGAATCGATTGATGTATTAAAAAATACCTCGTTCCATTTAAAAAAACAAAGTTGACCTTTATATGACCTTTACGCGTCCACTCACGAAAAAACTAATAACATCAGAATATGCTCCACTCGATACCATTCAAGCCTCCGCTGAAACATTTTTTGTTACGAGTAACAATAGCGAGAAAATGAAGATGTCAAAATCGGGTGAGACACCCTGTATATTGTTGAATTATGTTGTAATTCCGTTTATGTAGCCTTAAGACCCATCTTAACTTGTTTAACACACGTATATTTCGTTAGTTGAATATTATAAAGGAATACTTTTGTGTACGAGTGTAAGTGGTGCCAGTCTGTCACTCACGGGTGATACCATCGTTCACCACCAGGGTGAGAATATAATGTATGGCTACGCGACATTTGCAACGTCGCAGTTTTGAAATGTTATGGGAGTCGAACGAGCCGCCATAGAATGATCGCGTGGCTATTGCGTTGTTGATCGGTTGTCCGCGCAGCTTCGATCCGCAGCTCGGTATCGGGAAACGGCCTCCGGCCTATTTTATCCTGTCTGGAATACGCGTGATTCGTTGATGAATCGTTCTCAAACAGTCCGAGGACTCGTTATATTTTTACCGGTCCCGCAAGCCAGGTAGAACGTGTTGTAATCGTTTGCAACGCGTGGGCGGATGATCTAAGTACGGCGACGTGTCCGAATATTGCGCGCAGATCCGCGTTGTTATCACGCAAGAATTTATAACCATTTGCGCGAACGATGGATGGATTTATGTGCGTTTCTGTGCGTGTAAATCGATGTTCGAACTTGCTCTCGGGCACGGATCACGAAGATCGAACGCGGAAATGAAAATTCTATGTTTTTCCAGTATGATAGGTTATAGTTACTACCAGTACATACGTATCGTTGTTCGAACGGGAAGAAATTACGATTGAAATGATATTTATCGATTTATCTGTACTGATACGTTCCAATTTCCGAAGTACATAATGTTTCGTGCATAATGATAGTGCAGGTAAAGTACGACACGCTTTACAATGAGTATATTATTTTAAAAGGCTCCTGGATGCAACGTTTCTTTCATCGTGCATTAGAGCCAAACTGTTTGTAACGTTTTTAGACAGATGTCACTAATTGTCACGAAAATCTCGTAAACAGATATCAAATACGTAACATTTATTGCATTCGGGAATATTTTGCAGTGAAAAGTGATTTTAATGTACACGTGTATTAGAACGTACGGCAGGTTTTAATAGATTAATCGCGTCCACTGCCAAGATACATACCAGACCGATCCTTTCGTTCGAGCGAATGAAGATGTACATAATTTTTATAATTGTTAACTCAGTTGGCGGTCACCGGTGTTCGGTGCTTCAACCATGCAACGTATTGCAATATTGTTTGTAATGAAAGAACCTTATTAATATGAACGAAAAGTAACGGATATCAAATTTTTTTCATATGGAAAAGCTGGAAAAGATTTTGCGTCGAAATAAATACAATTTTAATTTTGGCCATGTAACGTCGCTACCTGGAATGAATAAGACCCTAACGGTGTCGAGAAACGTTCGATAACGTGTGATTCGACGACGAATCGAAATCTGCGAGCGGTCAAAGGAGTTTCGGACACGATTTCGCGTGATTTACCGACGGCCTTCCGACTTTGCAGAGGGACCCACTTATAACATATTTCATTTTTCGTCGGGCCACTCTATTTTTGCGCCCGCCGATTTTCTAGCTGGTTTACCAGACGCGGAGGATGTCTTTATACCGGGACGGAAAAGCCGCGACACTTCAGGTGTCCAACGTCCGTCGTGAGAGAAAACCGTCGCCATGGTAAGAGTCGCGGATCCGTTCGATTCTAATCGATTCCATAACCCCAGAGTTCGCGAGATCGACGTTTCGCGACGTAGCTAGAAGTTTATTCATGGTGATTTTTAATCGATAGAAGTGATCGACCTACTAACGTGTTCCCGCGGAAAGTCGTGATTAAAATGCCACGCGTTGTATGGGGTGAGTCGTGCGACGTGCTACGAATAAATAGTTCATATTAGACAGACAAGGATTGCAGTGTCTTATAGAATTTTCTGATGTTCGCAAATTTCGTTTTCCAATGGAAATAGAGAATTTTAGATCTCGACTATACAGGGTGTCCGGTCAACCCTGGGAAATATTTTAATGGGGGATTCTGGTGGCCAAAATAAGACGAAAATCAAGAATACCAATTTGTTGATGGAGGCGTTGTTAAAAAGTTATTAACGTTTTAAGTTTCGCCCATATTGAATTTTTTTCTCGAAAATGCGCAACATTTCGGGGGTATGTCTATTCACTAAATATGATTGCAATTGACCCCCGCAACCGAAAATAATTTTTCCAAAACGATTTGAAATTTTTTTCCCCATCGAAAAATTTCACAAGCTTCTCTAATTTTTTTCTCGAAAATGCGCAGGATTTTGGGGGTATGTCTATTCACCAAATATGATTGCAATTGGTCCCTGCAACCGGAAATAATTTTTCCAGGACGATTTGAAATTTTTTTTTTTTCGTTGAAAAATTTAGGCTCCTAATTAGATTTTCGGTAAGGAATTTTTTTCTCGAAAGTGCGTAGGATTTGGGAGGTATATGTATTCACCAAAAATGATTGTAATTGACCGCCGCAACCGAAAATAATTTTTTCAAAACGATTTGAAACTTTTCAGTTTCGACGAAAAATTGGTCCACTTTCTTGAATTTTTTTCTCAAAGATGAGTAGGCTTTCGAGGGTATGTATAATTACAAAAAATGATGGTAATTGAACCCCCTAGCTAAAAATAATTTTTTTAACACGATTTAAAATTTTTTAATTTAATTATTAATAACTTTTTAACGAAGCCTCTATCAACAAATTGGTATTCTTGATTTTGGTCTTATTTTGGCCTCTAGAATCCCCCATTAAAATTTTTTCCATGGTTGGCCGAACATCCTGTTTCTTGGTAGTATTATCAACACTTGATCCGCCAACATTTGAAAGTTTGAGAACAATTTAGTTGACAAAGTTTATAATTCTTCGGTAGAAAGCAATAGTGATTTCATGACATTGGAAAATTCATTATAGTTTAATAGATCACCACAAATCTATTCGGGGCCCCCTTCACATATCTTTGTAGTTTACGATTTTGTTGCAAACCGTTTGTTACTCTTGGAAATTATCTTACGACTTGTTATTGGAAGAATAATCATTTATTCATTTTTATCGTCAATATTAATTGGGGTAACCAAAACGGAACTTAAGCTATCGATAATGGTTATCTGTAATCCCACAAAAAATTCCCACCATCGATCTTGGTTATTGACAACTATAATAAAATTTCCGTCACCATGCCGATTAATCGCAACCAAAATAAAGTTCGCGTCATCGATAAAGATTACCCGGTAAACAAAACATGTGACTTTAATTTATTTGTAATCGGGACAGTTGAGAGTTCGTTCTATTTTAATCTTTCTAATTTTTGAAATTCATTGACGATATCGCGTTTCAATTATCTTTTACGATCCATAACAAATTCATCACGAATTTTTCCACGTACATAAATATCCGTGTAGATAGAAACATATTTTGATATAAGAAATTTTTTACTAACATGACAATAATATACAGGGTACACCTGGGTAAAATTTTAATGGGAGATTCTAGAGACCAAAATAAGACGAAAATCAAGAATATCAATTTCTTGACTGAGGCTTCCTTAAAAAGTTATTAACAATTACATTCAAAAATTTCAAATCGATCTCGGAAAAATTATTTTCAGTTGCGGGAGTCAATTACAATCATTTTTGGTCATTAGTCATACCTCCGAAATCCTACTGACTTTCGAGAAAAAAATTCGAGGAGGTATGCAATTTTTCGACAAAATTAAACAATTTCAAATCGATCTGGAAAAATTATTTTCGGTTGCGGGGGTCAATTATAATCAGTTTTGGTCATTATACATATCCTCGAAATCCTACTGACTTTCGAGAAAAAAATTCCAGAAGGTATGGAATTTTTGGGCGAAATTAAAAAGTTTCAAATCGTTCTGGAAAAATTATTTTCAGTTGCGGGGGTTAATTACAATCATTTTTGGTCATTAGTCATACCCCCGAAATCCTACCCAGTTTCTAGAAAAAAATTCGAGAAGGTGTGAAACTTTTCGACAAAATTCAAAAATTTCAAATCGTTTCAAAAAAATTACTTTTAGTTGCAAGGGTGAATTGCAATCATTTTTGGTCATTAGTCATACCCCCGAAATCCTACCCAGTTTCTAGAAAAAAATTCGAGAAGGTGTGAAATTTTTCGACAAAATTAAAGTTTCAAATCGTATCAAAAAAATTATTTTCGATTGCGGGGTTCACTTACAATCATTTTTTATGAATAGACATACCCTCGAAATGTTGTTCATTTTCGAGAAAAAAATTCGAGAATGTGTGAAATTTTTCGACAAAATTAAAAAGTTTCAAATCGATTCAAAAAAATTATTTTTGTTTGCAAGGGTGAATTACAATCATTTTTGATGAATAGACATACCCCCGAAATGTTGCGCATTTTCGAGAAAAAAATTAAATATGGGCGGAACTTAAAACGGTAATAACTTTTCGACGAAGCCTTTCAACGCATTCTTGATTTTCGTCTTATTTTGGCCTCTAGAATACTCCATTGAAATTTTTCCTGTATTTTAAACAACCCTTAATCGGTACCTGGTAATAAATAATTCAGTCGAGTATTTGTAAGGATTTTTTTGATCGTTGGAAAAATTCGCAGGAGGAAGACGAGCAAAAGACGGCCGTGATGCGGAAGGCATTCCAGATGTTCGACACAACGAAGAGCGGCTTCATCGACACGTTGAAGATCTCGACGATCTTGAACACGATGGGCCAATTGTTCGACGACGCTGAGCTAAATGCTATTATCGAGGAGAACGATCCCGAACGATCGGGAAAAGTGAACTTCGACACGTTCTGCAGGATCGCTGGCCGATTCCTGGAGGAGGAGGACGCGGAGGCGATGCAGGAGGAGCTCAAGGAGGCCTTCCGTCTGTACGATCGCGAAGGGAACGGTTACATCACGACCGCCACTTTGAAAGAGATCCTCGCTGCCCTCGACGACAAACTGACCAGCGCCGATCTCGACGGTATAATAGCTGAAATCGATACCGACGGCTCGGGCACGGTCGACTTTGACGGTGCGTATGATCGATCGCTCGAACTTTTCGCTCGGTAAAACATTCGGTTCAGTATTTCTCAATCTCTGTTGGACCCCTACTTCGACACTTCAAAGATCTGGATGTCCTCTCGTCGCGAGCACGACAGACAATCAAGTTCCAACGAAGTACAATGTAAATAAAAATTGTCCAACCGCGAGGCGTGGGGCCCGCGTTGAGAAACACTGATTTGGCCGTTGCACGGAACTCGTGACTCGTTCGATCTTTGTCGCTACAGCGCAACCTGGCGGGAGAGAGAGAGAGAGACAAAGAGGGAACGTGAACTCGAGAATTCGAATCGAGCTAATCTCGAATCTGCTAATGCGACGCGAAATTAAAACTTTTTTTTCTTTAGCATTTTTTCGACTTTTCGAATACTTTTTAAGGCGTTTCTATGGCGTGGAAACGTAGCGTAATAGTGTTTTATATACCGTTTTTTGCACTTTTCTTTTAGAGTTTATGGAGATGATGACAGGAGAGTGATGATGAGTTTGAGGCTACTGACAGAGGACACGCTAACGTTGTTTTAATATTTGAAGCAGCATCGGCCAGCTGGCTCGAAGTTTGTTTAATAAAATTATTGTTTAAACCGTCTGGCTTTCAATCGTCGAAACCTACCTTAGTTCTGTGACTGTTATCCAGCACACGTTTGTCTGAGATGAATTACTATTCACTGAACTGTGAATTTTATGCATGTATGGCGTATATAAGGATGAAAAACATATAGAAAACGCGTGTAAAATATATGCACTCATTTTCTATATGTTTAACATATTGAAGTACAGAAATTAATGCACACATTTTTGATTATTTGATGTTTAATAAAGACAAGCACCTGTTTCATATAAGAATAACTATAATTAGTAAAATATAAGGTTTGCAATTTATAAACATCCCTATACATTCTAGGATTTATATCATACAGCAAAGCAACATAGTCAACTGTAAATTGCATTGATAATTCAGAAAAAAGAATCACAGACATGTATCCAATGTAGTAGAATATTTCTGATTGTTTGTTCATAAGTATCTACTCGGTAAAATGAAAGATATTCAATTTCAAATGTACCTGTTCTCCTTTTAGGGTTAGCGAGTTGAAACATGGCAAGAAGGGTTTCTTCTAGGGACCTATCGACCACTATGCACCAAGATCAGTTTTAAGTCACTTTTACCATGCTTAACAAGGTACTGTTTATTTCTATCGAGTTATATCACCCACCCAAAGCGTCTATAGAAGGTATACGAACAGAGTAGACATACATTATAATAAACATTTGCTCTTTAAAGCAATTTATTCATTATAAACGATACATTGATAAATCTTTGTTTGTGCATTAACTTTACATTTTCTGCGCGCTAAGTCCATTGTACGAGCGTGACCGCTGTCGCTGTAGGAACAATTTACTGGGTGATGTCGTTGGTGGGTTGTCCCTCGTGGTAGACGAGTACATCCTTGACGAAAATGTTTGGTACGGCAAGGACGGCGGGAGACAGTGGTCTGTCCAGTGGGAAACCAAGGGGTTTGCCGTCAAGAGAGATGGCACCACCAATGATGTCGCTGCTGGGCATGTTCTGGTAGTATTCGTTGACAGTTTGGTCCTGGACCGTCTGTTGTTGTCCGTGGATACCCTGGAAACCACCGGCGTGCAGTTGTCCGCTGGCGATCTGGTTCACCACGTTCCAACCGGTCTGGATTCCTTGCCAACCGGCTACGTTGTCAACGGCACCTTGCATACCGTATGGGATCTGCAAGTTCTGTTGACCTTGAGCGCCTTGGATGCTCTGTGATCCGGTCTGGGCACCGAAGATTCCTGAGATCACACCTTGGAGACCTTGTGCTCCTTGTTGTGCTCCCTGTTGACCGGCCAGTCCTTGTACTCCTTGCTGTACACCTTGAACACCTTGGAGACCTTGTCCTACGCCTGCTACGCCCTGTTGCACTCCTCCCAATACTCCTCGTACGCCTTGAACACCTTGTACACCCTGTACACCGGATACACCCTGTACACCCTGTACACCCTGTACACCCTGTACACCCTGGGCGCCTTGCAGGCCTTGCATGCCCTGCATGCCCTGTTGCACGTCCTGGAGTCCTTGCCATCCCTGCTGGATGCCTTGTTGTCCTTGTCCAGCCTGTTGCTGTTGCCATTTCAGTTGTCCTTGTTGCAACCTCTGTGCGTTCACCTGGTTCAGTCCCTGTCCCTGCAGTCCCTGTTGTCCGGCGACCGACTGGATCGGCGAAATTTGACCCTGTTGCATCTGTTGACCCTGGATCTGTCCGTGCAATTGCCATTGTTGCTGGAGCTGTGCACCGGCGCCTTGGATGGTGTAGCTCATGTCCTGTCCTTGACCGACCGGGTTCTGGATCTTAGTGTGCGGGTACTGGCCGTGGTATTTGGTGTAAACGTTAGCGTAGTGGTTCCTTACGGCTGTAACAAAGAAACAACGTATAAGTATCGGTGGTACAAAAGAATCGAACGCCTTCGTTTCATCTTGAACGTATTACCTTGGATTCTCTGTTGAGCCCAGGTCCAGTTCTCGGGGAGAACTTCCACGTTCTGTTGGATTCCAGCCACTTGAGGAAGCTGGTTCTGTTGCTGTTTGAGCTGTTGGTACTGCTCGGGGCTGACGATCTGGAACTGCTGGTTCTGGTAGGTCAAGCTTTGTTCAGGGATCACTGGGCCGGATGGTACGTTCAGTGGGCCTGGTCCGGTGATCACGACGAGCAACTGAAGAGGGAAACCTTGGGGCTGACCCTTGGGCAGGGACAACCTAGCGGGGAAGCTGAGGATCTGGTGCGGCTGCAAGAACACAGTTTTCGTTGTACGGTGTGTCTTCTAACCCGGACCTAACCTAGACGATTCGCTAACCTGAGTGATGTAGAATGGTTCCTGGGACCTGATGGCGCTGTTGACGCCCTGTTGGATGGTTTGAGCGGACGGCCAGTCGAAGCTACGGCCTGGGGCCTGCTGGGAATTACGGATAATAACGCTCTGGCCCTGTTGGACTGTAAAACAGAGTAAAAGGAACGGTTAGACGTTGATAGTTTGCAAATGGCCGATGATGGAAGGATGAATTGGGAGTCTCACGGTTGTGGATGAACTGGTCGAGTTCGACGAAGAGGTGTCTGTTCTTGGTGATGCTGATTGGTTTGCCCTGATAGTCGTGTTTAGGTCCAAGGAAGACACGGACGACCGCGTTGGGGACGGTCTGCTCGCTCTGGACGGTGATCTGGTATTGGTAGGGCCTGTGGTCCAATCTCTTCAGATGAGCCAACACCTGTTGCTGAACCTGTTGCTGTTGCTGCTGTTGCTGCGACTGTTGCTGTTGTTGGGATTGGCCAACTTGCGGACTGACGGCGTCAAGGTCGATGGCGAAGTCGTTGAAGAGGGTGACCAGCTGGCTGATGTCCACGTTCTGGATGGTGACACCGGACAGGATGAGATCGTTGGTCTGGTAGGCGGGCAGAGATTCCTGGTATTTGCGGTAGAGGTTCATGATCCTCTGGGTCAGCTGGTAGAAGGCTGGGTCGTGGACAGCGGTCTGGCCAAGTTCAAGAGCAGATGGTGTGTAGTCCCAGATGTTCTGAGCTTCAGGTGCATTGCCAAGAAGTTTGCGTGCTACTCCTTGAAGGCTTCCGTAGTATCTGCTCAGCGAATGGGTAAGTAAATATTAAAACTAGATTTACAGAACAAACTATAGCGTTAAATAGCTTGGTAAATAATTATTTTTTTTTTAGCTGACCTAGGGTTGACACTCTTGCCGCAACCTTCGATCAAGTCACCAAGAATGTTCACACCCTGGGGCTGGTAGAGAGACAGGAAGATGCCTTGCGGGGTGATGACGTGGCCGGCGTCGATGGCGGCCACCAGTCTTTGTTCCAGGGTGTTCACGGTCTCGATGAGGTCGTTCTTCTGTGGCTGGAGTTGGAGGTTCTCGGGGCGGCTTGGGAATTCGAGTCCGTTCAAGTTGCGGAGGTGTGGTTGGTACGGTGTCTGCACGTTGGTGAAGTCGATCTCGTCGATGGAGCTGAGACCGTTCGCGAGACGGTTGAGTTCGTAACGGGCCAAGAGCTGTTGATGGAGGTGCAAGTAGATGGCTCCGTGACCAATGGTGCTCTGTTGTCCCTGTCCTTGTCCTGTGCCTACTTGTTGCAAGTACTTGCCTACGATCTGTTGCTGGTACTGTTGGGAGGTCAAGGGCTGTTGTTGCTGCTGTTGCTGCTGCTCGTTCTGGTTACGGAATTATCACGGTTATTAATTATTTTTATAGGTAGAACAGTTTTTTGACCGTTCGTTGATTTTTTAGGATGTTGGAATTGCTTACGCCTGCCAAGATGTATCCGGCGAGGTTCAGGTAGCCGTAGAAGGAAGCGAGACCAACGTCCTGAGTGAAGTAAGAGAGCTGTTGTTCTTCCGGGGACAGGAGTGCGGTGTAGTTGACAGGGATAAGAATGTTTTGTGGGATTCCACCATTCTGGATTCCTTGGATGCTAGCTTCCTGAGCTTCCTGAATAATTCTGGCGTCCAAGTGGTACTGGGGCAGGATCTCGTAAGCTGGTGGAAGGATGACGCCCTGGGTGTCTTCGCGCATCAATACAGCACCGATGAAGGCCTGATAATTTCATAAAACGTTCAGTGTACAGAGGTGTTCACGAAGATCGGTCGAGCGCTTGCGAGAGAGAGACAAGAGCGTAGCCCTCTGACGGCGAGTACGGGAGGCGATGTGCCCCCACAGTAGTTAACATTACTTTTGGAATTTAGATCTAACTTGAAACCTTTTTAGGTGAAAACTGTGAAACCAGTGTTCCGTACCTTGACGAATTGTCCCTCGTTGACGTGGACGCGAGCCCATGCTGCGGTCTTCAGGAAAGTCTGGTAGTCCTTGGCGCCTGTCAGAATCCTGTGCAGAAGTGAGACTTCTTTGCGCAGCTGACTGATCGAGTTACTGTAAACTGTGCCCTTCGGTTGGACCAGACCAGCCCTCACGGCGCCGGCATAGTATTTCACAACGATCGGGTTTTCGAATTGCTGTACGTTGTTCTCGATGTCCCAGTTTTGGCCGAGGTTCTGCAGTTGCGGGTTCGGGATGTCTTGTGTGATCTTTTGCAGGAGTTGTATAACGTCTTGTTGTTTGTTCAGGAGATCTTGGTCAGCTGCAAGAACCGAAACGATGGAATTCGTACCGTCGAGTGTCTCTGATCGTTGCAATTGATTGTCAAACAATGTACAAATTTGTTAAAATGCCAACTGCTACGTTGGTATACTTCTTACGTTATTCCGTTACTCCCTTGCAATGGGAGTGGACGGAGAAGCAAACAGGTACTCTTGGTAGCAATATGTTAGATAAAATAATACATTCTTTCTTAAGGTTTCTTTCAAAATTTCAATCTCTTTTTTTTTTTAATTTGACAGCGTCGAGCATAATTATGAAGCACTATAGGTAGATGTTGCGAGAGTAGACTTACCAGCATGTTTGCTGCTGCTGCTGCTGGCTGCAAATGCCACAAGAGCTAACAGGACAACTAGGAACCTCATTGTGATCCAATGACACAATGTGATGCTGACTGTCTGTTCGTCCAGGCTTTTATACTCGAATCCTATCGAGGAAGGCGGTTATCGGCGACCTGTCGACCTACCTCCCTCAAGATTTCGCAGTCTACCCGCGATATTCCTTGCTATTTCAAATTTATCCAACGCGTCCGATCGAAGGCTAACCAACGATACGATCGCGAACAGATCGTTCATCGAGATGATACGCTGGACATTCGGTAGCCATTGTCTAGCCAAATTCTTTGTTTCAAATAGTTCAAATAGTTCACCATATCGTATAATATATTTAACTTCATTTCATTAACTAATTTTTGTCCACGTTGGATCTACGAGGATCGTAAAAAATAACTAATTTCAATTCCATGACGGTCGATTGTTCATGAAATTTTATTTATTTAAGGCGAAAAGCATAAGAACAGGGATCAAAAGAGAGGTTTCCAAAACGTATCGAAAACTACTTTTTGAAACAGCGTTTATTTGCATATAACAGGAAAGAAATAGATTTCTTTATTAAAGTTGGTATAAATAAATGTTACTATCGTTGATCAAGGTTCAAGTAAAATGGTAAAAATACCTATTTGATTTGGTGCAGACGGAATTTTTTATTTGGACAATTTCGCCGCTTGTTAAATGAAAAGAAAAGATTTCAATTTTTGATCTAAATTATTTCAGAGGTCACGGATAAATTAGCTACATGTTGATTTTATTTATTATCTATTATTAAGTAGAATACAATTTTACCCAGATTTCGGTCCAGACACCTGCATTATTGTTCTGAGATTTTCTCTTATTTGCAAAAGTTCGGTAAATGTTTTAAATAAATCTTACATAAATAACTTTAATGGAAGACAACATTGTTGCATAAGTAAACGACATTAATTACGTGCATATATATTTTAATCGTTATATTTATAAACACATTGTCGTGTGCAAGTAATTATTCCATTAAAGTAATTATTCTATTAATATTATTTATTACGTTTGTTCGATCGTCTCAATAAGATAAAATGGCGGCTCCAGATTCCATTTTGTCTAGGGTTCCATGAGGTTACAATAGGGCCATAAGTTGCCAATATCGTTCGGTCATTGTTCCTTTGTTCGATCGAAATATAAAAAAAAAGGATAAAATGAACTTAATTCTTAATGCATATAAAAATATTCGATATACGCGAGTAAATTTATTTATTTTTTTTTCGCGTATACGATAGGTATCGACGATGGGGTTAAGAGAATAATAGAGCACGATAGTTTCGTGCACTATTTTTGTTCGGAACAGAGGGGTCCCAGTGTGAAATATTATTTCGCAATTAAGTCAGGTCGTTTTTAACATTTTGAGACGAACACAAAATGTTGAGGGTCATCGGTATCTACGCTCGCTGAACGATACAGCACGATAATACGTCTTGAACTTTCAGGTGGCTGCATATATGTGTAAAGGTTATCGCTTTGTTTACCTCTTACTGGACCGACTGTATTTTATATTCCTGGGGGGGTACAGAGAAAAAAGTAGACGGAATTATATCAACGTGCAATTTCTCCAACGGAACAAACAAGACGGGAGATAACGATACAATTCGATAGTTTTAATTTCGTCACGTCTCTGAACGAAAATGAAAATTTCTCTCGTTTCATTACGCGCGGCTAATGGAAATAACATATTTATACCGCTTTAATACACGTTAATAACACTTATTTTACGTATCGACGATTCCCACGAAACAATTTTTAACGAATAATTCAAGTGCATTTCTAAACTAGTAAATAGCCGTATCATTTCTTTTCCACCATGCAGATTAGCTACATCGTGGCTTTATCTCGCGATAACAAATAACTGCACACGTAAATGATACAAACAAATCCTATACAAACGCGATAACGTACAAAAAAAGAGAATATTCTTTCGTTTCAGATAGTGGCAGCACAATCAAACATAAATTTGTTTCTTTCCTTTTATTTATTTTCATTCTCGGTGGTACATGTAATTATCCTATGTTGATGCAATAATTTGCCGTTTTGCTCCACAACGTTATCGAGAATTAGAACGATAAAACTTTTCCAAAAGATAAGTCAAAAGGCCTAATGATCGCACCAAATAAAAATGGTAAAATCCACGTACACGGTGGCCGTAAAAATATTAACAATAATAACTTTATATTTCGTTTAAATTTGTTGTTCGCGCTATGAATTGCTTCGCGAAGCATAAAATTGTAAGCATCCCTTTGCTTTCGTGCCACGGTGTATTCCGAAATTTCGAGCCGTGTATTTCGTCACGATCGTAAAGGTTAGGCCGTTTAGCGTAAAGTTTGTGGTTTGCTTTTTGGAAAAACGTACGAAAGGTCAATCTCGAATGCTGAAATGTTTGAACACTATCGATTTCTACGAGTTTCGCGTACATCTACCGTGACACGTGATTTAAATGTGGGCGCTGCGGATCCATGAGATTCGTTCCACGAATAGACCGATTTTCCATCCAGCCAGGGCGCGGGTTTTTTCCTTTTAACGAAACCTATTAAGCCGAAACCGAACACGGTGGTCTCGGTCTCGTTGCGTATTGTACGATCGAGCTACCGTCCCCATCGTCTCTACGTGCCGCTTCCTATGCACATCGTTGCGCACGTGTGTACGTTTTATGTGTGTACACTGTCATTTGGAGTACGGAACGTAACCTTGAAAAGCCCACCCTCGGAGCGCAAGTTCAATCGCAGCGGGTGAAGTAACGTTTTTTTTTTTAAATACCGTGTACACAAAAGTATCGCGGGCCTCAGCCACCGAACCTGGTAGATCGTAATCGTCGATAAGATGTTGACGTAAGACATCGTGAAAATTTTCTAGAGAAGTGACATAGAAAGCAGCTAATGCGGTGGTAAGGCGCGAGTTATAGGTTAGGGGAGAACACGGAAGTTTTTTCGTCGAGAGAGCCACGAAGATGTTTTTAAAGAATTAGGCGGTGAACGCCGCTGTTACGCGCGATAAGTAATCCTTTCACGAAGGCAGCGATTCAGCATGGTGCAACGTCCAGTAGCGCCTAGGCGCAACGTCAGAATTTTGTTAATCGGCGATCGCGGGGTCGGCAAGACTTCTCTGATTTTATCGTTGGTCAGCGAAGAATTCACGGAAGATGTGCCCTCGAAAGCGGAGGAGATCACTATACCGGCGGACGTTACGCCCGAACAAGTGCCCACGCACATTGTTGATTATTCAGGTATACATGATCGATGTTTATGTGTTGGGTGTGGGATCCAACGTGTGGGCCCTGATTCAGCGCCCGATCGAACACACAGAAACAATTAACGAAGTTTGTGCAAACATCGCTCCCCCTTAACCTCACTCCCAAGTTATAGCTAATTTTTATATCTTGTCGATGCATACTTCCTTATCATAGATACGAAATGGCCACCTTCCGCTCGAATGCAAGCCTGCGCTTCTCTCACAGAATCTCTCGATCTTTCAAACGCTTCGTCTTTCAGATTCTTTGACAAATGTACTTTGATGAACTTCGACAAACATTGATATAGATATCATAGCGATAATCTATCCGATTCCTTAATAAAGCATATAAGATGTCCCAGCTTTTCCCCTACAAAGCTTTGCCAACGTGTGGCAGCAATCGACGAATGTAAAAATAAAAAGAAATTTGCATCGACTTTGAAAATCACCGATTTGGAAGCGATGTTATCGGTGTATTTATTTATAAGCCAATTTTTGCATCGAATAGTTATAACTTGAGGATAAGATCGAACAGGGTACATGGTTGTGCGAATTTATCTGATTGTTTCTGTGGTTTTTGATACGTTAGGATACATTTTATACACTATTCAAAAACTTGCCTACCGCTATATTAGTGTCCCTTTAATTGCAGCCGTTGAACAAACCGAAGATCATCTCACAGATGAAATTCAAAAGGCCCATGTAATCTGTGTTGTATATTCTGTAGTCGACGAGGATACGTTGGACAGAGCAGCTACTTATTGGTTACCTCTGATCAGACGCTGTTCTTCTAATAATCGGTGCCCGATTGTTCTTGTGGGAAACAAAATTGATCTTGTCGATTATTCTACTATTGAGGTTTATTAACGAAATGAAATTCATAAATGTTCCTTTTGATTTTGTTATAGTAGTAAATACTAATTGTATTCTTTGTTACTAGGCTGTATACCCTATAATGAAGGAATTCACTGAAATTGAAAGTTGCATAGAGGTAAAAAAAGAAAATGACGATTCTATCTCGCGTATACCGAACGAAATGTTGTTAAAACGGTTTTCTAATCTATATGTTCATTTTAGTGCTCTGCCAGAACGTTGCAAAATGTATCGGAAACGTTTTATTATGCACAAAAAGCTGTTTTACATCCTACTACACCATTATACAATTACGACGTTCAAGAGGTAAAATTTGTTAACAAAATACGTGTCTGTACTAAAGTCTGAGAATAACTTATCGATGTAACGTAATTTTTAGCTTACAGACGAATGTAAAGTAGCGTTACAAAGAATTTTTAAGGTAAGTTCATATACTCGGAACTCGAAACGTTTTGCATTTCGCGTTTATACAATTTCATTGTACAATATTTTAGATATGCGACTTGGATAACGACGGTTTGCTAAACGATATGGAGTTGAACGCATTTCAACAATGGTGCTTCAACAGTCCGCTTCAGCCGCAGGTTTTAGAGGACGTGAAAGCTGTTTTATCAAAGAATATTCAAGATGGCGTTTGCAACGGATGCGTTACAATGAAAGGTATTTTGTACCTTGTGATTTGTAAAGCGAGATCAATACAGGAGAACATGTTATTTGTAGGTTTTATGTATCTTCAGTGTCTGTTCATACAACGCGGGAGAAACGAAACTACTTGGGCTGTGTTGAGAAAATTTGGTTACGACAATGAGTTACAAATGTCCAAAGAATATATACACCCCCCGTTAGTACGAAATTAACAAAAAGATATCAGCGTTACTCGATTTATATTATATTCGTTTCTATCGTTCCCGACAGATTGAAGGTTCCTGTTGGTTGCACGACTGAATTATCCCACAAAGGACAAGAATTTTTAACACTGTTATTTATGCAACATGACCGAGATCGCGATGGTGCTCTTTCACCTCCAGAAATGGAATCGTTATTCTCACGGTGCTTATCCCCACCTTGGAGCGATGAATATAAATACACTGTGCCAACTAACGAAAAGGTTCATTTTTTACATTTAACAAATCATACCAATTTACACGGGGCGCTTCGAAATCAAAGGGAATCAAAAATACCAACTACAGCGGTCTCCGAATATAGTATAAAAAATTTTTTTTTAATTTTTCTTCCATACATGTTTTCACTTACGTGGGTATACATAGCTCATTCCTGTAATAAAATGACCTTGAGTAGTTAAAATAGCCAAGGTCGTTTGAAGATCATATCGCCATACATCATTGAATCGGTCGTGACATCAGTTCACGTAACTTGTACCAGTAATAACGTTATCCCATTTTGAAGAAAAAAAACATAAATGATCTTCATTACTAAGGAGTAATTAATATTCGAAATTTTGTTTAAATTTATTAAGTCGTTGTTAGCCTACTGTTTCTGTGGTTCTAATGTCGTTCTCTCGATAGGGATGGATGACCTTTCAAGGTTACATGTGTCAATGGGCGCTATTAACTCTGACTAATGTACGCAAAGCATTAGAATATATGGCATATCTAGGTTACAACATGTATAATAACGAGTGTCAAACAAACGCGGTGTTGATCACTCGTGAGAAAAGATTGGACTTGGCAAAGAAACAATCGAGCAGAAATGTTTATAGCTGTCACGTAATCGGGCCGAAATTTAGTGGGAAAACAACACTATGCAGAACGTTTATTGATCCTAAACTCGAGGTATACACGGCTGTACGTGTAAGCGTATAGATACATTTCAATACGAACTTAAATCATATTTAAATAACACTTTGGTACGATTGTAGAAATTGACCGACGACGTGGTTCCACCAAAGTCACACGTAACTGTGAATACAGTGCACGTGTATGGTCAGGAAAAGACAATAATTCTGCGGGATATAAATATACTTAATGTTCAGGATGCTTTAACCCCAGCACAAATTCAATGTGACGCGGCAGCTCTGGTTTACGATGCTAGCAATCCTAAGTCGTTCGAATATATTGCACGAATTTATATTGTAAGTGTTCCTTACAGATTTTTACCCTTAAACAGTCCTTTAAATATTATTTCTTTATTACAAGATATTAGAGATAAGAAAAAACGAGATGGAGAAATTTCTTTTCGAGTATCGTTAAACGCATAGCGGTTGGTTTGTCAATTTTTCAGTAAAAATGGTACAAAATTATTTTCTTTTTTTCTTCCAGAAATATTTTGCAGATAGTAAGATTCCCGTTCTGATAATAGCAAATAAGAGCGATCTCTCTGAAGTGAAACAAGAATACTTGCTGCAGCCAGTAAGTTTTTGCAATAAGTACAAACTGATGCCACCGCAACCTTACAGCATCTCACGTACCGTAAGACGCGAAATCTTCGTTAAACTGGCGACAATGGCAGCTTTCCCGTAAGTTTTGTTACCTGAGATCATTGATTAATTAGCAGGCATAATTTTGTACGAGTAATGGATATGCCCCGAATATATCGCGATAAGGAACAAAGTCGTGTTTACTCGAGATCGAACGTTACAGACAAAAAATTACGTAAATAGACGTCAGTACTTGCGTTGCACATGTTTACTGCTGTCAAACGTTTTTATTTGATACTCTTTGTAGTTTTTAAGTAAGATAGTATAATTTTTTCAAACTGTATGACACTAACAAAGAGATTTCATGTTTAGCCGCTTTCAAGGAGCATGGGTATTATTTTACAGAGACAGGTTGGTCTGAATTTTTGCCACACCGTAAACATTGTAAGCTTGAGCAAATCGTGAATCACATTGTTCCTTGTTTTTTTTTTCTTCTCTATTTGTGCTTCCTACAGAACATGATATACATCCGTGAAGTGTGTTAGGCGATTTGCTCAGATTAGGAGATGTCGCATGACATATTGTGTTGCATATTAATATCGTAATGAAGTCTTACGTCTTTTCAGTCCTTTGAGGCGTATGGTCCACATGTTGCTTGTGAAACCCTCACCTAGTCAATGGTGGAGTTCTTTTACAAGGTTTTTCGTTCGTATTATACGTTCCCGTTTCTTTCACGGCGTGCTCACGACTTACAATATAAACCAATATCAGTATTATTTTATTGCATGAGCATGAGATGGCGATTGATCGTTGGTTTCCTGTCTTGGGTTTTTTTTCCATACTCAATACGTGTTTCGGAACTATAATACATGTTTTTTTTCCAATTTTGTGTGTATCAAAGTGTGATAAAATTCGATTCGACTAAATTTACAATCGAGAAATAACTATACGAAATACTATTTCGAACAACGTGTCGTCACGTTTTATTTTTTAAATGCAGTCGCGTTATTTCGATCTAAGTTGAGTCTAAGAAAGTGCTTCGTTAAAAAATAAATAATTTTAATAAATATCGATTCGTTATGGAAATAATAACACTTCCATTTCGAAACTTATTCGAAATGTCCGTTCTCTGAAAGTTTATTTCAAACGAATGGATGTTTCGATTATTTTCAAATAACATCGCTGGTGACGAGTAACCGAGATATTATTTGAAATAGTTATTTCTTATTTTCATTTCAAACGAAATTTGCTCAGGTCTGGTGTGAAGAAACGAGTACATATACACGGGTTTTATCATACTGAAGACTCAATAAGATTTTTTTTATTTGCTATGAACAATAGTTGTTGACATTTCAGGCATATAAATCAATTTGGACTAATGCAAGGGGATTCCATCGTCTGGTGGAAGGCTGGCCTCGGCATTGCAGTCGCTACTGTCGTGGGCTTCGTGGTGATGCGCGTCTTAAATACAGAGAAAAGATAGTCTACCATATTCCTTTTCTTGCACATTTAACTGCCTCGTTTGACCGAGTATAAAGCCGTCTTTGAAAAACGCGTTAAGTTAATAAACTATGTTCTTAAATCATTAATTTCTTCTGTGTCCTTGATCATTTCGTAATGGAAACAAAAGATTAATATTTCTGCTCGCCCCCTTTCATCCGTTAAGGAAGTTGCTCTTAACCCCCAATCCGCGAACTTAACATTTATCTTCATTCCACATATCACACCTAAAAATATCGACTTCATCTCGATTACGTTAAAATGGAACGTGAATCCACGATCCTTTCCCGTTTAACATACATTCTAGATACAGATCTAGCGATGAACTTATTGATCTTAGAACCAAAAATTTGCTAAAATTTAAACTCGTAAGAAAAGTCACAGCGATCTGTGCAAGTCTTTATCCTGTCTTGAACGTTATGTCCGATCAAGACAGAATTTTCAATGTTGATTCCAATTAATATTTAAGAATTATTTCGAAGACCATTGCATGGAAAGGGTTCGCGAGCTCTACGTATTCATATATGAAGCTCGATATTAGACCGCCAAAAGAGGTCTGCGGGGAAAAAAAGAACTACTGCCTTGGAGTATCGTAAGTCCTCGACTGACGCGATTAATTTCTTCCAAAGCTTTTCGAATTATAAGTCTGATATAAATCTGTGTAATTCGAAACCGCGTAACTCGAGGATTTACAGGTTATTCATCTATTGTAAAAGAAACTCTCGTATCTCAAGAACACAATATTCTCGCCTTTCTGTGGAATCTAGTTTGTTGAAATTCTACAGGAGATTCGCGTCTCGTGTTGTGTTTCAATTTCATTAACACACTTTAAATAAAAATGAGGATTTTTGCTCATTGCCTTTTATTACACGTCGTCCAAAAGGGAAGCAAAACAAAACTAACTTCGCGTTCAACGTGTTGACTACAGAATACAATTAGCAAATCTATAATGTATAAAGTTCTTTATTAGAACACCAAGTCACCAGGGGGGAAAACAATGAATCACCAAGTTCAGTAATTTTATCACAGACAGATTCTTTTCTGGCACAAATACAAATTTCAATTCAGAGCACTATTGCATCACATAATTCACAGCAAATAGGAGGAACATGTGCAGCAGTCCCTCCCCTTTCGTTATCCAATAAAATGTTCCATGATCGTCCGTCGCGATTACGTGATTACAATATTAGGGTTGAACACGTACTAGGAGGGTCTAAATTGTAAATCAATTAAGCGAGCATACATTGTAAGTAATTTATTCATCGTCTACGTATAAATTTATTCCTAATGTAATTTCCAATTCGATATATGCAACAACAGCAACATTTGCATAATAGATGTAGATAGAAGTGGATATATCATCATTTGTAATACAATGAAACGAACTTTCTTTTTGTACCATCAACTGAATCCAAATTTCGTATAGTATTGATTTTTCTAAATACTTTCTACAATCATTTTGCTACCATCCACTTTTCAAAAAATACTGCTTCAAATCATGTCTGAAATGCATAAACAGTTTATGTATTATTCGGCGGGGTAATAAAGAATTGTTGGAATACTTATGGATGTAAACACTTACTGTGAGAAGCTTTGCATTGGCGAAGGGCTTCGTTGAATCCGTCGCACAATGTAAGGTCGGACTGGTTCTGGGCACAGTCCAAGAATTGTTTGACTTCCCATGCACAAGCGCCGGTTGCAGGTGCAGGTCCGGATGCGCTTTGAGCGGCCGCGGGTGCTGCTGCGGGTACAGCAGCAGCCTCGCTGGAACCACCGCTGAAAAGGCCTGTTACGGCATGTCCAATGGTGTGACCCACTGCTGAACCGATGGCCACTCCTCCAGCAGTGGCAGCCATTTGTCCCATGAGGGACGGCTGCTGAGGTTGAGCTACCATGGGTGTCGATGGAGCGGCATGTGCTGGAGGATGTGCTGCGACCGGAGCAGGAGCCGGTGCGGCCCTCCTAACTCTGAAAAGATGTAAAAAAATTACAATTACAGAATTACAAAAAAATAATTAGAATGCGAAGATAAATGAAACGTCCCACGATACATAATGATTTCAATGGCATTGAATAACGATTTTTCTTGGCATCCATTGTCAAAGTACCGTTTCGGAATACGCATAATAATTATACCCGTTTTAATTATTTGATGCGATACCATTGCAGAGTTTGATTTAAGAGTGAAAAGTATGTATAACGCGATCGATGTTCGCATATTACGTTTTAGCGGAATTTCCGTGAAATTATACGTAGCTTGTTTTAATTATGGTAGAAATAATGAAATAAATACTTACGTCCTTGGTGGGGGAGCAGATGCACGTCGTCGTGGCATGTTTAAAATGTTTGCTTCGTAGACTTTCTTCGATAGACACGTCCTTTCTCTTGACAATTTCCTTTGAGACTGACGAGACTGCGCCTACATCTTTGATCTCTTGGACACGTTACGCAATCAAAAGTTTTACGCAGGCTCGTAGCGAATCACGTGAAAGTTCTAGAAATAATACAGGAAGTCAACTATCGCGCGAACGAGACGCACTTCGGATCATTTCGAAATCTATCGTGTATCAGAGAGATTATGATTGAAATTGACGCATAAAAAAAAAGAAGTGAAATCTGATAAACCTCGTCCGGTGACGTGCTCGAACGTGTTTATCGGAATTAACAGTGAAATTTATCGTATTATTGATTCTAGGTTGACTTCACGCCGTACGATGCGGAGACGATAATGTTGGCTAGCATGCTCGATGCATATAATCATAGATGAAATATATTACTATCTCACGCCACATGCACGTGTCTAGAAATTAAGTTATGTTGTAAAAAAAACATCGATTCCTCATTGCCGTCAAGTGTAATTATTTTTATGCCCGAAATCCAATTAACTATAAAGCAACGAACCCGTACAGTCATTTTCACGTGTGTATTACTAACGTTTCGATTGCTATTGCACGATTTTACGCAAAATTATTCTGTTTATAGATCTTTACTCATAATGTGCAGTGTTCTGCGTAATTGAAAAAAGATATATCTCTAAAACGGTTAGAGATACAAAAAAATTTCATAAGACAAAATTAAACGGTATTGAACGATGCACAAACTGAATGCAATTATATTTTGAAATTCTAAACCTTTTCGTTGTATCAAAGAAGAAAGCACTCGGCTTTATTTTCCGATTCTTCCTTCGAAGAATCTATTTTATAGGATCGTTCCTCTTTCGTCCGAGCATTGCAGTTGTATTTTTGAACAAATTTCTTTAACTCAGCATTTGACCATACACCGGTAATTTGATCGACGGATAATTTTTACACGTTGAACAATATTTTTTTTTGTTGACAGAATTATTAGAATCCGGCCATCTTTATTTCTATACTATACACACCTTTGAAGTAGGATCAATATGATCAAAATTCAACGACGTTCGTTTCGAAAAAAAAGAATGACTGTCTGAATTCAGAGATTGGAACTGATGTTGCAAACATCGATAAAATGTTAGTTATTTTTTATGATCGTTTTATTATATCTAAAAAAAGCCGGTATCTCGTCGAATACTGGCGTAATATTGGTAAATATTTTATAGGGAAGTAGGAAGGTTAGGATTAAACAAAATACGAAGATGTAATAATTTAGTTCACGAAATGTGTTAAAATCAATTTATCGATCAGCGATTACATCGCAATAATTTCGATACAAACACCGGTATCTCGTGATATACCGGTATTGTCTTCGATCTGTATTAGGCAAACACGTAGTGGGTGTATATTTTCTTCGTTATTTGTATATGCATTAATTGTACAGTTCGAAATGATTTGCCAACGCGATCATGTTTCGTAGGGAATCGCGAGAGAGGGCGCCACAATCTGTTTCTAACTTTCCACTAAATTTCCGTCGTCTAAAAATATCAAAAATACAGCACAATGATTTATGTTCGTCGCACGCTAGATTCATATTGATGCTAAACGTTTAAAAGCCATCGATTTCTTCTTATCGATAGAGAAATCCTATCAGCATTCCACTCGTATCGATGTAATTAAATCGATCGAATTGACAAACAGTGATTTATATTCTTCACGAATTGCTCGGTAATTCGACAATGACTACAAATGATATTTAACGAGCGACTGTCGAACAACGAGATTCGAAGGTTGATTCGATCCACCGTGTTCGAAACACGAATTTAAAGTTCGAATGACCTCTGTCGTTGTTTTTCCTTAATTTGTGAGATGACTTTTAATAGCTTTTATCTGCCAACGGTTTCGTGCGACGAATTACATTTTTTTTTTTTAAATTCCATTACGATGATCCACGGGGAATCGCGTAGATTTTTCAATCGGTTCCAACTACAGCACACGCGAATCCATCTCGTCTATTTTCATTCTGTTTTCTAGAAGTACGCGCGCCTATTTTTCAACCGTTATATTTAGTACGAAAAATATTGTTCCTGAGTATCCGAACGTTAGCAAGAAAACAACTGCAAAATGTCGCGGACGAAATGGGCAAACGTCACTGTGGACGTCATTATAATCAAAATAAACATATGCCATAACACGTATTTGTGACTTTCAGAAAAGTTTGATGCTCTGTTTTTAGGAGTGGGTGTTTGGGGGTTAGGATTCGATCAAACTTATCTCGCAACAATAAACACAACTTACATATATATTTTGGTACATAACCAGTGAAATATGTCAAATGTGTTTTGCATTGAAAGCAATCAGGTAGACTAACGTTATAATTTTTAAAACAGTTAATATTATTTTCTATTTGATAAAAATTTTCTTAACGTAGGATCATAAAATTCTTACAACAAATATTTAACCTTAAAACAACGGAATCTGAATCCATTTTGACCCATAGAAACTATATTTTAGAATAATGTTTCAGTTTTTACCAAATAACAATAATAATAGTAATTATTAACCTAACCAAAAATCAACGATCGGAAGGAATGATTTTTAACTCTGTGTAGGCAGCCTGGGTCGCTGAAGGTACAGGAAAATTCTGATTTTTTTCTGAACTCTCCTTCAAGGTTTTATTTCTATTCGTAAAAGTTTTAAACAATTCGCTATTGTATGCACATCAAATTAATGACCTTTGAAGAGTATCTCAGAATTTATTCAGATTTTTTCAAAGTTTAAAACAATACAATATCCATTTTTCGTTTCATATATTCGCCACCAGATGACCGTCAATAAGAACGTAACCTCGCAACTGAAAATTTGACTCGAATACCTTAAAACCAGAGTCCGTCGAATCTAAGATGAAGTTTCTTTGTCTGTATTCGACGAGTAAAGTGGCAAAAGAAAGAACCATTCAATAATTTGATAGTGTATCTGTCAGTTTTGTAGCATTTCTTAACAACAGCAACGTTATTTACAATTTCACGAGTATTATTACGATTCTTCCTTTGTATGAATTTAGCGGTCGCCCAGTATCCATTATGGCGGTAAACGTGTTAACTTACCGATTCAAATCTGTATTTGTAAAATTCAATAACAGACGGGAGTCGTATAAAGAGATTGAAATCTCGTCGATGTGTTTATTAATTATTAAATTGTCTGAATAATTTGCAGCTGTTCATCGTCACTGAACGGAAGAAGAACGTACTCGCGTGAAGATCGATTCAGCGATAGCGACCCGTTTTCAATGATTAGAATCATCGCGCGATGAAAACAAAGGAAGCTGACGTTATCGCCGCGCGAACACAAGAGTTGAACCCAAAGTGACCACGTTCGAAATTCCAGAGATAGGAACCGTGTGACGCTCGAAACGCGAGGGAGGTGTGTTTCGAAAATGATGCACAGCGGGCAAAATAGCAATTCTGCAGACAACGTCCACAGGTATTCGGAGAATAAAACAAATTGTAAATTAAGTAAGGAAAAATGATGAAAAGATTGATTGTTTATTTGTTAGGATCAATTTGACCAAGTGTTGTGGCAGAGAGCGATGATCCTCCCAAGCCAGCCGTTTTCTGCGTCGTTTCTTCTGTCTCTGGTGCAATGTTATCGGCCCCTGTTATCGTCGTGTACACGTGTCGATATAGACGCGCGCGTTGGCTGCGGCGGCGGGTGCATTCACCGACACATGCGCACACCAGCCGAACGAAACTCTTCATAAACCGGCGGGAACGCGTTACCCGTGACTCAGTGTACACGATGCCACGGCTTGGCTGCGATAGACCACGTACCACGTATATACGCCCTTCTTTCTCCACGTTTTTTCCACGCTCGTGTTACCACCGCGACCGCGTTTACATTGTCGCGTTTTCTTAACACGCGGTCACCGCGGCACACGTGACATCTCACCGCTGTTTCGACGCCCGTCGTCGTTGCGCGGTGTATCAGGGGACCAAAGTGTGTTGTTCGCGACAAAGAGAAGGCGCGACGTCCGATGCCGTCGTCGGTACAACGGCCCACCCTCCCTCCACCGCGGCAGACATCAATTTTCAACCGATAAACTGGGGGGGAAAAACAGCGGAACAGCAACACGTAAACAGTCCTTGAAGGAATGACCGTACATTTGGTGCTGGAGGAGGATCGACAAAGGATCGACGCGGACCGTCCGTTCGGCGAACGCGGTGAGTGATTGTTTTTGTTTTGATCGGTTGTTGCACACGTGGGCTGGCCAAAGCGTACCTGTCGGTCAGCGGCGATTCGATGGAACCGATCGAACGAACGGGACGCGCCTTAAAATCTCGCCACGGTTCCGAGGACTGACGTAATACGAAACGGTGATGGTGAAAACAATCGTGACCGTTCCGACGTGACAGCGACGATAACGGGAGAGGTTGCCGGACGTGTAAAAGTTTTTCGATGATTCGCGATGGTGGAACGATAGCGGGAATCGGCGAACGGAAGACGGAATTAAATAAAGAGCCAAGATGGAAACGAAAATAGTCTCCATAGATACGGTACGAGTTACATGCGCGAGAATTTTAAGATGCACGTTGCCTGACGGTGTCGCGTCTCTTACGTGCTGCTGTCTGCCGGTGGACAGCCTCACTCTGTCGCGGTGTCCGGCGATGTCGCGCGAGACGTGTCGCGTTTTTTCTCCAGTGCTTTGTGCCCGTTTCGGATTTTCATCGTTCGACGTTTATTTGCGCGGCACCCTTGCGTCGTAACGGCCCAAAATTATTCTTCCCGGTAACGCGAACGTAGCGTGGTAATCCCGTCGCGGAATTGCGCACTTCTTTCGTGGCACTCTGCCAATTTCAAGGTTCAGGTACTCGAGATCGGTATGTACAGGGTGTTCCTTTAATCCAGGGTCTTGAAAAGACCCCGAAAATAATTGTTTCGAACTGTTTGTAAAAGTGATGGTCAAAACTATGACGAAGAACTTGGAAAGTCGGACTTGTATGTCAGGTTAAGTTCTTACGCTGTCGTATACAGTCGAGACCGCGTAAGTGTTCGTATAGGGAAAATAGAGTAAAGATGTATGTAAAATTTAAATGAAAAATACCGAAACTAATCTTTCTCAACGCAAAATAAGGTAAAAAATTAAGCGAGATATTCATCCATTTTCAAACTAATCGAATTATTGAGGTTATTAGGTTAATATTTAATGGAATACCCCTTAAGTTTAATTATAGCTTCTATATTCGTTTTTCTCGTTCTTGTACAAATCGTTGTTTCAATTCTTCACGATCTTTAGGAGTTCACGAACATTTCTTTTTATTTCTGCCCATAAGTGTTCAATGGGGGTTATATCCGGCGACTGTACCTTATTACGTACTTCGAGTGTAGAGATGCGAGTCTTTAGCTTGACTAGAGACTTCAGAATTCATGTTGTCCTTCCTATTCTTATCGTAGTTAATCAGCTTTCTATAACTAAAATTATCGTTTAAATCGAATATATCGCGATGTATGGATACCTTTTTCAGTAACTGTATGGCCTTGTTTCGCTGCCAGAGGGCGTGACCACGCTTCTTTCGACAAAAGGAACGAACTTTGCCGATTTCACGCACGACTCGTTCTATTCAACCGGTGTTTTAGGTTATCCGATCCGATTTACCCGCAGATCATCGATCAGATGCCTGTAATCTCGCGTCGATGTGGAACACGGTGTGGTACAGTGTTTCTCAAACTTCGTCTTCCGCGGACCGCCATAAAAGGGAACTTTTCGATAGAAATGAATGAATGAAGTTGAATCATACAGCATGGGTCATCGGTGACACGCACACGGTCTGGTGGGAAACCACATAAAACTGACTCGGCCGCTAAACGTGCCAAATTTGGTGGACAACCATGCACGATGCTTTTCGAAATTCTCGAGATTCAGAAAAAAAAAATTTCAATCAATTTAAAAAATTCTACGACTGAAAACGTGATTGCTAATTTCGACACCATCGTATCGGCGTACGGTTTAAATTATAATGCACCGATGACCTAATGAAACTCGTAATTGATTCAAACTGCACAATGTCGAACGATCAGGAAACCATTGTGAATAATTAATCGACCTAGTTAGTTAGATATCCGATAAAATGCGGAGTTTCTTCCATCGAGCGATGCTCGACTAAGCGTCTCCTTCGTGGCGCGCTGGAAAAATAAAACGATCGCGCGGAAAATCCGTCGAGTCATTGGGAAACACGATTGGTTCGGAGGAGATCTGTGTGTCAAGTACGCGCGCGCGTTAATTCATGGGACAACCGTCCTTTAGACGGTTCTTTCTTTTTTTTAATTTTTTAATTTTACACTAACCTCTTCCTCGAGGTCGTTATTCATTTTCCCGCGATGAAACTGGTATCCTTAAATAGAAACACACCCGGAGCTGTCGTCCAAGCGGTTCGCGTTTGCATAGCGAAAATCCATACGCACGAAACTTATCTCGTTCCAAGGTCGAGCGCCAATATGGATAGTACATATTACGCGGGAATCCGCGTTTGGTGGACGCTATCGACGCTAATATGGAACACGTTTCGCGTAGAAATATGTAATAATAATAATATACAGGGTGGGGTCAAAATAAGAGGAAAATCAAGAATATCAATTTCTCGACTGAGGTCTCGCTAAAAAGTTATTAACAATTAAATTAAAAAATTTTAAATCGTGCTAAAAAAATTATCTTTAGCTAGGGGGGTCAATTATCATCATTTTTTGTCATTATACATACCCTCGAAAACCTTCTCATTTTTTAGAAAAAAATTCAAGAAAGTGGACCAAATTTTTCGTCGAAATTGAAAAGTTTCAAATCGTTCTGGAAAAATTATTTTTTGCTAGAGGGGTCAATTACCATCAATTTTTGTCATTATACATACCCTCGAAAGCCTACTCATTTTTGAGAAAAAAATTCAAGAATGTGGACCAATTTTTCGTCGAAATTGAAAAGTTTCAAATCGTCTTGGAAAAATTATTTTCAGTCGCGGGGGTTAAGTATAATCATTTTTAGTGAATAGACATACCCCCGAAATCCTACTCATTTTCGCGAAAAAAATTCGGGAAGTTCTGGAATTTTTCGACAATATTAAAAAGTTTCATATCATTTTGGAAAAATTATTTTCCGTTGCGGGGGTCAATTACAATCATTTTGGGTGAATAGACATAACCTCTTAATCCTACGCATTTTCGAGAAAAAAATTCGAGTAGGTACTGAAATTTTTCGTCGAAATTAAAAAATTTCAAATCGTTCTGGAAAAATTATATTTAGTTACAGGGGTTAGTTACAAGCATTTTTGGTGAATAGACATATCCTCGAATTCCTACTGACTTTCGAGAAAAAAATTCGAGGAGGTACTGAAATTTTTCGGCGAAATTAAAAAATTTCAAATCATATTAAAAAAATTATATTTAGTTACAGAAGTCAATTATAATCATTTTTGGTGAATATACATATCCTCGAAATCCTACGCATTTTCGAGAAAAAAATTCGAGAATTTACTGAAGTTTTTCGGCGAAATGAAAAAATTTCAAATCATATTAAAAAAATTATATTTAGTTACAGGGGTCAATTACAAGCATTTTTGGTGAATAGACATACCCCCGAAATTTTGCGCATTTTCGAGAAAAAAATTCAGTACGGTCGGAACTTTAAACGTTAATAACTTTTTAACGAAGCCTTCATCAACAAATAGGTATTCTTGATTTTCGTTTTATTTTGGCCTCTAGAATCTCCCATTAAAATTTTTCCCATGGTTGACGGAACACTGTTAGGTCGAGGTGACTGGTACTGTATTCTGTATTTAAATATAACAATCATATGTGTTTTATTTAAATAGGAATTAGATGTTAGTTTTGTGCAGCGTCCAGGTAAGAGACAGATTAACTATAAAAATCTATTGTATGTATTGTTCAATATAGATGATAAACAATTATCCTGTAGTTTCTCGTAATAATCTAATATTTATAATAATATACTATATTCGTTGGATTGCAACGATCCAATATTTGTAATTCAATACGAAACAGCCAATTACATTCTTTGGCGAGTCCAGGTGATTGATTCAAGGTAACTGGCGATTATTCCGTAGTAGATTACTGTTGTTGGTTGTATGCGAAGCTACTGTACAACGTACACATGAAAATGTACACACTCTATACGCGGCCCCGGAATTCTTGACTGCTCGCGATTAAAACACTGTTGGATAAATATTTTTGTTTCATTACCATTAAAAAAAAAAAAAAAAAAAAAGAAAAAAAAAGTACAGATGCTCACGCGGCAATTAATCACTTCTGTGTGTAATATCTGTTTCCCGGTTCGGAGATGCACTCATTATTCGTGTCACGTGCTTGTTTTGTCAAGAGGCCTCCGATACGCGCCAATGACGCATCATTAACGTTTTAGATAAGAATCATGCTTTAAGCAGAACTCGTTGGTGTCGTTTGTCTGATGTTATATTCGATAAGGTTTACCTTGTCGCTGCTGCGGTTTACACTTTCATAATTAACGTTATCCCAGCTGCTAGACGCCTCCAAATTTGTCTATTTCTGTTCCTTTTGCAATTGTTTTTGTATGAATTAATATCCCTGCATAAAAATTCGAAACATCGGTCGTCGACGAAAAATTCTCGACCCGACCTGACCCGATATCTTCGGGTCTTACAATAATTGTATAGTGATAATTTTAATAACCTAAAAGTAAACGTTCGTCGGACGTATTAGCAGGCGTCTGCGACACAGTGTATGTTTGTGGCACGGCGGTTAAGAGTCACCGGTCTAATATGTTGGTTTCTCTTTGACAAACAAGACCCGTTTCTTTTACTTTCGGCATAGATCATCCGTGTTGAATCCACGGGGAACAGTAGACCAGTGAAAGGACTAATCGTCATTAGACGCCATTAAATGACTCGGTGAAGTGTACGTGGTTATGGAAATCACGTGACCAGAGGGAATTACGTAACCTCGTCAATATTGCGATTTGGCGCGGAAAAATTAAGATATAACTTGTTGTTTGTTCTAGCGATCAGATTAATATAATTTTTCTTATTTATTTATAAATTAAATTTAAAATATGTACTTTTCTTGTTGGAATTAAATCGAGACCACTAAATTTCTCGCGGAGAATTATAGGTTAGAATTTGCTCTAGAAATCGATCGACTTCAGAGCCTCTCTCGACTAATTTGAATATTCCGTTTGCTATTTTGAATTTCGTTCGATTTCGTATGTCCTACTTCGGAGTTGTAATCAGCAAATTGCGGATGTTTATGCACGTAAGATATGCAAAGGACATACATGACTTTATGCGCGTAGGATATGCATATGCGCATGAGAAATATGCACATATGTACGAAAAATATATTAATAGCACGAATAATATTGCACATCTAACGTGTAGAATATTATCCAAACTATCGTCGCGTATTCTTGAAAAATAAATACTTTAATAACAATTTTTTAATTAATGACAATTAATTAACAATACCAAGTTTATTAATAACAATTAATTAACAAGAGCAAGTTTATTAATAACAATTAATTAACAGTAACAAGTTTATTAATAACAATTAATTAACAATAACAAGTTTATTAATAACAATTGTTAGATTTAATACAGTAGTAGTATTTAACACAGTAGTATACAGGGTGCTCCGCCAACGATGGGAAAAATTTTAATGGGTGATTCTAGAGGCCAAAATAAGACAAAAATCAAGAATATCAATTTGTTGATAAAGGCTTCTGTTGGATATGGTGGGAGAAATGAAGTAAAACTATTTTAAATTAAAACTTTATAATTGGCTTTATTTAAAGCAGACAGAGATTGTGTCTTTACTCAACGAGAGAAACTAAAAGACTGAACGTCGTGAACGAAAATTCCGTCACGCATTCGTAGACCCTCTTGGGCCCTATCTCGCTTAGACTAAACAGCAACTGTGATCAAAGAAACACAGCTGCATGCTCTCGACTCGAAACTTGAGAGTCGAATATATACCAGGATATCCGGTCGATAATTTTTGTTAATAAATCAACAGCTTCGTTAAAAAGTTATTAACGTTTAAAGTTTTACTCGTACTGAATTTTTTTCTCGAAAATGCGCAAGATTTCGGGGGTATGTCTATTCACCAAAAATGATTGTAATCGAACCCCAGAAACGAAAATAATTTTTCCAAAACGATTTGAAATTTTTTTTTTCTGTCGGAAAATTTCACACCTTCTCGAATTTTTTTCTAGAACATGGGTAGGATTTCGGGGGTAATTGTAATGACCATAAATGATTGCAATTGACCCTCGCAATCGAAAATAATTTTTCTAGAATAATTTGAAACTTTTCAATTTCGACGAAGAATTGGTCCACTTTCTTGAATTTTTTTCTCAAAAATGAGTAGACTTTCGAGGGTATGTATAATGACAAAAAATGATGGTAATTGACCCCTCTAGCTAAAAATAATTTTTCCAGAACGATTTGAAACTTTTCAATTTCGACGAAAAATTGGTCCACTTTCTTGAATTTTTTTCTCGAAAGTGCGTAGGATTTCGGGGGTAATTGTAATGACCAAAAATGATTGCAATTGACCCTCGCAATCGACAATAATTTTTCTAGAATAATTTGAAACTTTTCAATTTCGACGAAAAATTGGTCCTATTTCTTGAATTTATTTCTCAAAAATGAGTAGGCTTTCGAGGGTATGTATAATGACAAAAAATGATGGTAATTGACCCCTCTAGCTAAAAATAATTTTTCCAGAACGATTTGAAACTTTTCAATTTCGACGAAAAATTGGTCCACTTTCTTGAATTTTTTTCTCGAAAGTGCGTAGGATTTCGGGGGTAATTGTAATGACCAAAAATGATTGCAATTGACCCTCGCAATCGAAAATAATTTTTCTAGAATAATTTGAAACTTTTCAATTTCGACGAAAAATTGGTCCACTTTCTTGAATTTTTTTCTCAAAAATGAGTAGACTTTCGAGGGTATGTATAATGACAAAAAATGATGGTAATTGACCCCCCTAGCTAAAAATAATTTTTCCAGAACGATTTGAAACTTTTCAATTTCGACGAAAAATTGGTCCACTTTCTTGAATTTTTTTCTCGAAAGTGCGTAGGATTTCGGGGGTAATTGTAATGACCAAAAATGATTGCAATTGACCCTCGCAATCGAAAATAATTTTTCTAGAATAATTTGAAACTTTTCAATTTCGACGAAAAATTGGTCCACTTTCTTGAATTTTTTTCTCAAAAATGAGTAGACTTTCGAGGGTATGTATAATGACAAAAATTGATGGTAATTGACCCCTCTAGCTAAAAATAATTTTTTCAGAACGATTTGAAACTTTTCAATTTCGACGAAAAATTGGTCCACTTTCTTGAATTTTTTTCTCAAAAATGAGTAGACTTTCGAGGGTATGTATAATGACAAAAAATGATGGTAATTGACCCCCCTAGCTAAAAATAATTTTTTCAGAACGATTTGAAACTTTTCAATTTCGACGAAAAATTGGTCCACATTCTTGAATTTTTTTCTCAAAAATGAGTAGGCTTTCGAGGGTATGTATAATGACAAAAATTGATGGTAATTGACCCCTCTAGCAAAAAATAATTTTTCCAAAACGATTTGAAACTTTTCAATTTCGACGAAAAATTGGTCCACTTTCTTGAATTTTTTTCTCAAAAATGAGTAGACTTTCGAGAGTATGTATAATGACAAAAAATGATGGTAATAGACCCTCCTAGTTAAAAATAATTTTTCCGGAACGATTTGAAATTTTTGAATTTAATTGTTAATAACTTTTCAAGGAAGCCTCCATCAACAAATTGGTATTCTTGATTTTCGTCTTATTTTAGCTTCTAGAGTCCCCCCTTAAAATTTTTCCCTGGGGTGGGCATAGTGACAGGAATATAATTTTTAATTAATAGCAGATGAATGTTGCCAAACAGACGCTTCTCTTGTGGAAGAGAACATCTCTTGCTTCTCTTGTTTATTGCAGATTATTGCAGAATTTATTGCACTCGGATAAAAATGCCGTGCGCGAGATATGGAGAGTTGATTGACTTTTGTGGACTCGGGCGACGAATTCATTAAATTCCGCACGCTTATCTAGACATTTTAGAACCTTCGCTAAAACCTGATCAGATCCTTTTGTAAAATAATTATGAAATCTCGTAATATCGTGTTTAGTCGTTTTCGCCTTTTACTCGATATTACTATTAGTATAGATAATTATATTTATTCTGAAAATAACTGTAAACGTGTAAGTCGAACCGTCGTAATAAAAATAGCTTACTTAAGACTGATAATTAAACGTTATTTATAATACAACAGCTAAAAATATTTTAGAGGTCATGTTTTAGTGATTCTGACACACTTCATTACACCATCGTATTACAGACATGTATAGGAACGAAAGAACAATAATTACCATGAAAATTAGCGAAATGATATGTGTTGTTTTACTTTGAGGTTAATTCCCATTGTGTGTTTCTAAAACTTCGATTTTTTTTTTTTAGTCAATGCAAATAACATTTACATTTGTCTTTAGCGAATTAATATTAACTTGAATGTGTAAGTTAATGCAAATAATTTCACGTTTCGTTCAAATTGTTTCCGTCAGAGTTTTAAGAATTTCGTCACGTCCCATGTATCATGTTTTAATTTTTCCCATGGTTTTACGCGTCCACGAAACTCGACCTCGACGAAACACTTTAGGGCAAACGACCTTTAAAATCTGAGTCAGGGTTCGTTGGCCCGTGCCCGTGGAGGCGACGAAATACCCGCAAAGGGGCACACGAGATCCTCGCGGAATTGCCAACGTCGTAACACAGTGGGCCAAACAGCAATTCTAGGAAATAAAAAATGACAGATCAGTATCTCATATGTACCAGATGGATGTGAATTTACAAATTTAATTGCTGCCTCTTTCGTATATTTTTCGAAGAGGGTCAGTGTCGAGGAACAATTAAGTAAGAAAGAAGCAATGAAAAATTGACTTTTTTCGTTCGGTGGAATGGCGATTTGACCTACCGTGGAGCGTCGAGGAAATGGCACGGATAAAGAGAGACGGTTTGCGTTTATAAATACGGCGTATGTATTTTTGCGGCGGCGCGTTGTTTAATTATCGAAACGAGCAACAAAAACGCGTGTCGCGCGTACTGCGCAGCGATTCGGTATCAAAAATTCCGGATGAAACGCGAACTTGAATCACAAAGTGTTCCGAGAGATACGTCTGCCGCTCCTTGGTATTAAGCATCTTGTAAACAATGACGATACAGTAACACAGAGTTTACGCATACAACGACACGCTTGATCCAGGCCACGCTTGTTTGGTATCGCTCGGTATCATAGACGTAATTTAATTCGTCTGCGAGAGGAGATAAATCCGTAGGTGTTATACATTTCCAAACAATGGAAGGAAGGTCGCGTTAGTGCCGGTACAGCGCCCTCTGCTCGACGGAAAGTTTCGCCGTGAACGCGGTGAATAAAATATTCGTGTTTCGAGCGGTCCCATTGGTGATGTTTGTCCTCGGGGACGAGCAGGATTTAAAAACTGTAATTTAGATCCTCGAAACAGTCACGAAGAACTTTTATTCCGAATAACTGTCGTAAATTGATCGTCTCTTCGAGACATTGTGACGTTTATAGGTTAGGAACCTGAAACATGGCAGTGTATGGTTCTGCTCGTAACAGTTATTCGGAATAGAACCGCCTCGTGATAGTTTCGATCGGAACTTTTGTACAGCGGTTCGAAACGATTATTTTCGGAACCTTTTCAAGCCCTGTTTTGACCTCGTTGATCGAAATTGAACACCCCGTATATACCGAAGCGTTCTGTTTATAGGTGCGCTATCGAATCGCAGTGGTGAGGTTAGCACGTGAGAGAGCCAAAACGAGGACGAAGACGTTTGAAATGAGGAAAAGTAACGGGGCGAATAACGGGTCGAATTTAACGCATCTTGCCGTTACGGGCACGTTCGCGAGCGCAGTCGTTAGGTCACAGCGGATAATGTAACTCTATGACCGGCTGCGTGTCGATAATGCGCGTCTGTCTCGATCATGAAAGAATCGTTTCCGTTCTGCGAGAAAACACTCGATTTCCGAATGTCAGCCGCCGAAGATCTGCTTCGTCAGTGGATTGTAGTCCCACTTCCAGTTCAACGAAGTTTAGAAACCTTGTCTTCGATAAGCCAGATCCTTAACGTTATCTTGGCTGCTTATCGATAACGATGACGCAGTACGGCTTCTCAAGAATCGTAAACGTGCAGTTTCTCCCGGTGAATAATCGTCCATCTCGATTACGCATTTATCGATATAAAATATTTACATACGAACAGAACACGTTTGTAACAAACATAAAAATATTTTATCTTTATTAAAAATTAGACAATTGTGATGTTTATTTCGAAGAAACTACGATGTATTTTTATCTACAATTTTGCTTAAACATTTATTCGTTTTTGCAGACTATGAAATATTTCCATTTTTAATTGTTTTTCGCCCGCAATATTGCGAATTTTTATTTTTGATTTCGTGCCATACATATTCAATTACGCTTTTAATTCAGCAAGTGAGGTTACGCTTCGATCGTTTTGGAACAGTTATAAATAGACTGCGGATATTATGTATTTATTATTATTTATTAGACTTGTAATAATACGGAGGAATATATGAAAAATACAATAGCAGCAACATTTCATTTTGTATATTGCATTCGGCAATATTCGTATATGCCATTAATGCATAAAATTAATTTACGTTTTAATTGTCAATTTTATAAACGTTGAATGTGATTGAAATGTTTAATTTTTTTGCGTTTGCTTGAAAAATTCGTCATGAGAATGCCTGAATAGGTTTCTTCGTGTCCATGTTGCCTTCGACAAAATGTGAATTATCGCGACCAGATGTCGCCATGCATCCCCAAACCATAACCAATGCCATGTTTGACCGTAGCAATATGTATCTCCGGATTGTGGTGTTCCCGTTTGAAACACATATAGCAGTGATTTTTAACCTTTTCCGTCTCGTGACCTCCTTCCGAGTTTTATTTATCTCTGTGACCTTTAACCACTTTTTCGATCGATTTTTTCATTGTTGTACAAAGTTAATATTTAACTTCGTCGATATCATACAACGGAACAAGTAACAATACAAATGGTAAATTTTCAAATTGCTTGTTGAAATTGAATTCCGCGAGTGTAACGCGTGTTAGGAAAAAATGCGCCGCTCATCATGCTTCCGAGAATTCTATTACCGTGTTCCAGGAAAATTCTGACACTGACTCCGCGTGAATGAACTGATGTAATAGGATTTCCGGAACTCAGTCATATTCCACTTTCGAAGGAACGCGGTTTCGTTACGTAAAAATTAGATAAACTTAATTCGAAGATCGACAATTTTTAAATTTCAATTTAAGATTACATTAAATTTTGAAATTATAGTTCAGTAGCCTTAAACAATGAAGATAAATTAAACGTGGTCGAATTTTCCATAAACTATAAACATAGTGGGTAAACTTACCCCTGTTAAAAATTATTTTATTTATTTCGTGTCTTTATTGTACGTGTATATAGAGAAAGAAGAAGAAAGTAACTGGAATATTGATACAAGACTTATCCACGTTATATCGTGCAATTAAAATCGTCGTGACGGGTACAACGATTATAAATTCTATGAATCATAAGAAAGGAAGTAAATATGTACAGTGCTTATGTTGAATGTACGCTCGGTAGAAATTTTAACATGGACTATGTAATGAGTTGAATGGAAAGTTTTTGCGTTTTCTCCGAGATGGTGTTGGTGTAGATCAATATGAAAATTAACGATTCCCATATTGTTGGTTATATTAAATGAAAATGAAACAAAAAGTTAGAAGGATCGATAAGATGCGTATTAGCGTTTTTTGAATCAGCCTTATTGACTCGTTCGAATAATTTTGATTATTGCTCCGCATAGAACCAATTAATTCGATCACACGATTACGATAGATCCAGAAGTTTCAATCGACGCCATTGTTCCTTTTCTCCTACACCTATACACAGGGAAGATGCACACTTGTCCAAACACACGTGCTGTTCGGTACTCGCATTCGCACCGTAAATAACAATACCTATTCATTGCACTAAGGATAGATTCTATTGCAAAAATATACGCAAGTGGGGGAAAAAGAAATTTAATAGGATAATGATTAAATATAGCAATGCACGGTTAACTTTCCGCGATTCATCCTCTGTCCCCAATCCCTTGCACTCGGCGTCTCGGGTTCAACGAAATCTGATCTAGCAGAGAAGGAAATAGAACACTACATTCCTAAATTAATGTACAAAAAAGTGCAGAGTTACACATTGGTACTACCAATGGACTAATTGTTAATATCGTAAAAAAGTTATTCAGCAGTTTGGAAGGTCTCATGATACTAAACATAACTTATAAAAATCAAGTCAATCGGATAAATATGCTAAAACTGTCATTCGATTTCCAGCTAAATTTTCAACAAAAAATTGACAAATTTAAAGTAAATTGTAAGTAAAAAATTATGGATTGCGTTAAAATCTATATTTCTTTATTAGTATTTCAAGATGTAATAAGTTACGAATCGTAGGTTTCAAATTTTTAACATCGTTCCATTAGTAGAGACTGTGCGTCGAGGAGAAAACAACGAAATCGTATAAGCACCCGTGTGGCGTGCAACGTGTACGACGAGGCATAGAAAACTCGCGTTAAAAGAGTACACGGCGTTAACGTTCGACGGCGCAAGTCCCACACAGTGGGAGAGCAACGGCGAACTACGTGGGGGTTGAAACGTGGTGGGGGATCGTGGAAGGAGCGGGTTAAACGCGAGGAAGCAAGGAGTACCCAGCGCGTATATACCGGTACTAATGGCACGTTTGGGCAAACACGCGTTTCGAGCTGTTACAAGCGTTACATTCACTGGACGAACTACCCAACGTGTCTCGTTCGCCGCGATGATTCCGTCTGATTTCCGAGTGTGCCGCCAGAGCACGCGATCGGCCAAATGGCTTACGTAAGTTGCGCGGTAACGTCGATTGCCCCGAGTTAAATCGCACCGCTCCTTTTTTTAACCGCAACGCGAGTATTCGAAGAGATCCCGGACCGGGTGACGGACCAACGATATTCTCGCGCCGGACGTAGCGAAACATTCGCGCGAACACACGGGTCCGCGTACGCCGGAAGCCACCCACGACGGAGCACGAGACACTCTGTCGTTTCTTTCCACGAAAACGAAACAGAGTTGCCGGCTCTTGGCTTCGCTCGAATCGACGTTCGACAACTGGGACGCTGTCGTTATTCACGTTTCGAGCCGCGAACAGTGCAAAACAGAACAGAAGTATTCGCACGGAGGAGAACGAATCAACGAATTTCGAACGATAAAAGAAAGAGAAAAAAAGAAAAGTGTGTCGTGCACGAAATACGAACTCGGCGACGAGCGTGTGGCGGGTGACCCAGAAACGACACCGAAGCGGTAACATTATCATCGCCGTGGACGAATTTCTCGACGGGTGCCAAGAAAAAACGAACAAGGGGACCGAGGAATGCGAGCATTGTTCTTTCGGCGTGCTATGCGATAACGAGAGGGACACTTTCGGGGTACGAAAACCGTCTGCTGTGCTCGGCGCGTTCGCGACAGCAATTATGAAATTCGCGCCACGACGTCGAACGGACGCCTTCGTTTGAATCGCTTACGAGGACGGAATAGTCACGTTTCGATCGACGAGTTTCTCCCTGGGGAAGCAAATTGGACGTTGACGACTCGGAACGGGGAAGAGAATTGTTTCGACGACGATACGAAAACGAGAACGAGAACGAGAACGGGCGAGAGAAACAAATGCGTCGGTCGTCGCTGTCGGCGGTTACGGACACGGACACGAACGGAGACTGTACGAAATATGTCATGGAGTTTCGTATCTGCGATCCCTGTGGTTCGTGGTTGAAGACACGGCAACGGTCGAGCGTCGTCCCGTCTATAAAGCGCGTAGTTCAGGCCCGCCGTGGAGTTGACGCACTGGCCGCGATCGTTGTGTGATATCTCGTGTATTTTGGAACACGCGGTCGTTTGTATTCTCGGTCGCGTCTCGTGCTCGAAATTCACGGCGACTTTTTTGACGGTTCTGTATCGGATCGAGCGTGCGTTGGAAAGTGCGGTGAGGTAAAACTAAAGTGAGGTGGCCTGATCACGCGGTGAAGATGGAGGATACAGGGGCAAAAATCACGCCGGGAGCTAGCATGTCCGTGTTGGTGCTCATGAGCACGCTGTTCCTCGGCGTAGCCGTCCTCGTAATCGGTTACATCGTTAGCCGGTTGTCACGTTCCAGCAGATCTTCGGATTCGACGAAAAGTAAGCATCGACGCAGAATAGATTATGCTATTTAGAACGCGTCTACGCGGTTCCTGGACAGAAATCACGCTTGCGTGCTCGTCGCGTGCCTCTCACGCCGTCGAGCACGATTCTCTTTTCTTTTTCGTGGGTCTTTTCACTTGCGGATATCGCGATTATCGTCCAGACGCGAACGGCAGGAAATTGGTCGAAACGTGTCGCGGGACGATGTCGCGTGCATCGAATTCCTTGAACGAGAAAAGTTCCTCTAGCTTTTTATCTACGACCCGGGCTTGAACTGAAACCGATAAACATTTTTTCTTTCTCGTTTCTCTCTCTATCCACTCGCGAAACGTGTACCGGATAATTTCGATGCTTACGAAAGAAAATCCGCGAGTGAGAATTGCAAGTTCGATCGAACCGAATCGAACGAAGAAAAACAAGAAGGTGCGTGGTGTACGAGAGACATTTCGCGACGTCGAATGCTGTTCGCGTGCGTGGTCGCGTTGCATATACGAAAAATTGGCGGGAAATTATGCCTCCGCGAGGAATACGGTTTCGCCGACCGTTGGCTATTCGCGATTCGTTGCCCGATCGAACGGATCACCATGTACCGCGGAATTGTTTTATGCGAATGGATTTTTGTTCAGCACGGTATTTCAATGCTTTGCACAATACCGCCACGATTACGCCACTTATTCTATTTTATGTGTGTTTTATTCAGTCCGCCAGATAAGTCTCGTATCGTATGCACATTATCGTAACGACGAGCCATCGCTGGAGAACGGTAACACTCGTAAACCGAAAGAGTTCGTAAAGCCGGTGTGTATCGAGTTCGTTAGCGTAACGTCGATATTCTCGTTTCGGGCGAAACAGGAGTAGCGCGTCGACGGTACGCACGGAAGGTTTTTCGGCGCAGAGAAAAGAATAGACGCGGGGGAGCGTTGGAGGGGGTAAACTGTTGGTACGGGGTGAATCAAAGAAGACAAAGGGGGGAAACGCAGCTGCGTCGGCACGCAATATTTCGTGCCGCGGTACACTTCGTCCTGCCTCGTGACCAAAGTGGACTGAAACCCCGTGCAAAAGTTTCGATTGGTTTTAAAATAAACGAAAAAAAAATATTAATTCATAAAAAATAATTTATTCAGTCCTCTTCACGGAATAATTGCGAACCATCGGATTCGTAAAATCTGTATTCGATCACACTGTAAAACTCGACAATTTTGTAGACTATAAATTATACCACAAATGGATGCCAAGTATAATTATTTTAACTATGAATATAAAGTTACTGTATCGACCATACGTCAGACTTTTGATCCCGAATAAACTCGACAGTTTTGTAGACTATAAATTACACCACAAATGGATGCTAAGTAGGCATGTGCGAGACCCCGAAATATCGGGTCGGGTCGAGAACACGAAATTTTTTCGGGATCGGGTCGGGTTCCCGACAGTTTCGAGACTTTTAAATTTTCGGGATTCTCGAGGGATTTGGAATTCTCGAAGGAGTCGGGATTCTCGAAAGAGTCGGGATTCTCGAAATAATCGAGATTCCCGAATGAATCGGGATTTCCGAAATTTCCGAGAGCCCACTAGTCATTTATATTCGTTTTAATGTATACAGGGTGAGTCTCCTAACATGACGACCTCAAATAACTCGTAAGGTATTCATTGTACGAAAAAATGTTTGAAACAAAAGTTGCATGGTATCTAGAGGAACATACAGTGCTCTAATCTGTTTTTTATTAACTTATTTTTTTATTGAGATATTAGGGTCTGGGTTAGGTCTGGGTTATTTGAGGTCGTCATGTTAGGAGACTCACCCTGTATACATTAAAACGAATATAAATGACTAGTGGGCTCTCGGAAATTTCGGAAATCCCGATTCTTTCGGGAATCTCGATTATTTCGAGAATCCCGACTTTTTTCGGGAATCCCGAAAATTTAAAAGTCTCGAAACTATCGGGAACCCGACCCGACCCGACCTCTTCCCGATTCGTCCCGACCATCGGGTTCCCGATGTTTTCGGGGTCTCGCACATCCCTAATGCTAAGTATAATTATTTTAACTATGAATATAAAGTTACTGTATCGACCATACGTCGGACTTTTGATCCCGAATAAACTCGACAATTTTGTAGACTATAAATTACACCACAAATGGACGCTAAGTATAATTATTTTAACTATGAATATAAAGTTACTGTATCGACCATACGACGTCAGACTTTTGATCCCGAATAAACTCGACAAGTTCAATAAATGATAACGTTACGACTGTAAACAGTGTATTGTTTTTGTGCTCGTTGTGCGCGTTGATAGCGATTGCACGTCGCGGTAACGAAACTGCAAAACGACATTAGCGCGTCGAAGGCGCGATCTTGAACCACCGGGGGGAAACGCGTTCGAAAAGTTTCACCGGCGCGCACGATTATCGAGCGTGCCGATCGCGGATGGGAGCAACGTGGCCGCTCCTGAGCGCATCGTTGCTAAATCTTCGTCGCCATGGCAATGAATTTATTGCGCGAAAGAATACAAACGTTACGCGGGGGGAGGGGCTTTTTTTTTCTTCTGGTTCGCGCGCGGAGCGACGAGGAGGAGAGAGCCGCGCGAAGGGGCACCCTTGCGTATAAATAAACCGACACCGCGCGTATATTTATACGTGCGTCTCGCGTGCGTACACGTGTACTTGCGAGGAGAAACGCTCAGGGCCGTACGGACAAATACGCGCGCGGAATGGTGAATCGCGAGGCCTGTACTGGGATCCTTCGAGGCCCTATCTACGGTAGAAGGAAGTATTACCACGTCTTTTACGTTCATCCTCGAGCTTTGCCCCGGGAACGACATCAGCGCGCCCGGGGGACCTTATCGAATTCGGAATTAGATGGCTTTAGGTGACGGAAACTCTTTTGCCGATTCTTTTCCTTATTTTGCTCCCGTCGTCGATGAACAATACGAAAATAACGCGTGAACGTTTTACTGATCTCGTTCGGCGCTTCAACCCAGATCCGAATCGAGCAAAATTTAATTTAAATGTAAGAATGAAATTAAACGGTTCTTCTTTCAAGATTAGATCGAAATGTGTTGTAATATTCGAAATAAAAAAATGTAAGAATTTTGAATAAAATGTATGGATACGTTGTAATCTAGTTACGGGTCTAACCTTTGATTTATAGGTGGGTTCGTAATTATATAAATTTATAATTTTCGGCTGGATAAAAACTGTGTTCGAGAATAGAAAATTTCATGATATCGGAAATTGCTGAACGGGCAGGAACGACGGGATTTCTGTTCCGTTCTTGGTCGAGGAATATATAAATTTGTCGCAGTGCGCTACATTTTCCGGGCCAGTGCGGCAAAACACGTCCCTGAAAACTCGCGACACGCACCGTGAGTAGTGCACTGACCGCGGACAACTATTTCTATTCGTCGATCGCTTTTGCTTTCTCCGTTGAACCAAAAAAGAAACGTACGTACCATTATACAGGGTGTCCATTTAGTAATGCCCAATGAAATGTCTCGCGAATAGTAAAGTTACAAAAATAATTCGATAAGAGAAATTTTTGTACGTAAATTATTTTTTTTTAATTCGCGACCTTTCTGAATTATGAAAAAAACGGCTTAGTTTTTTTAATCGGATACACATAATTTCTTTTTGCATATTTTGTTAGTAGAAGTCATTTCCAATCAAAATTCTATCGTTAAAAATTTTTATTATGCCTCGTTTAGAAGATAGTCTGTATCTATAGCATCAAAACAGTAACTTGTATCCTATCTTCTTGTTAAAGTATTTTAATTCAATTTTCATTAGAAGAATTAATTTTTTAACTATCAAATTGATAGATATTGTATAGTAATTTGTCGATTACTTCGTAAGCGATGCATAATAGTAATTTTTAACAAGATATAATTTTCATTACAAATTACCTCAACTAACATACGTGATAACAAATTTTGGCAGAACATTTGATGAGTACGAAGGAGGAATTAAAATTAACAAAAGTGAATTAGTAAATAACGCTTCTATATTTTATCTATATTTATTACGCTAGAGTACGTAGAGATAGCCATTCTTGCGTAAGATACGTTTGCTTTTCAACCAAACAATTCCAAACAGTTCGATCTAATCATATTTCTGTATACTGTTATCGCAGAAAATTCTCGGTCGCCTACTTAGCAGGTATATACGCTTGTGTATACGATCGGAAATTAATTTCACGCTTCGTTTGTGAAACGGCGCGTATCAAATACTAGGAACAGCGTTGGGCAACGACAGTCGTCACGGCCGGTGGAAACGTTAACCCTTACATAACCTAATATAGTTCAGGTCCTGGAGTTCATGCCCCCTCGGCCGATACAGTCCCTCCTCTCATCCCACGATCAACTTGAGATCGCTGGGTTTCGCGCGAAGAGGTTAGGGCGTGAATTTTTTTTCTCGAAACGGATTCTGACGCGGAGTTAGTACCGTAATCCCCCGCGTAACAATAGCGTCGCTTCGATCGCATAATCGGCATTTAAAGAACCCTATCTAATCTAAACGTATCGCTGAAAACTGTCAAGATTGTCCGATGATTGTTGATTTTCTCGCAATAAATACGGAAGAATCGTCTCTTTCTGCTAATAGAATCGTTTTAACGATAAAAAAAAATCTTAATATGTTATGATTCACCGCGCACGTGCATACATTCTTACAGAATAATAAAAAAACACGTCATTAGACGATTTCGGATAAATAATCAAGAATCATTAACGAAACTTAAATAAAATATTATTTCGCATAAAACGTACGCCAGCTGATATCTGTTCTGATTTAATATAGGTTTCTAACCAAAAACCTAACCCTCAATTTTTGTATACCCTTTAAAGACAACTGTGTCATCCCCACTACTATATTTATTTATTCAGCACGAGCAACGACAGCGTGTGCTTATCGCACGCGTGATCAAATTTTATCTACTACCGTGCATGTATTTTCTCTTTGTACAGTATAATAAATGCATTACTATTGTTGAGTACCTA